GGAGATGGAGAAATGTTGAGAGACAGAGTGTATCCTTTCTGCCCCTCAAAGCCCTTCGTGTCTCCTGTGTCCCCTGTGTCCCCCGTGACCCCATGCTCTGCATGTCCCCCATGCTCCCTGCACGCCCAGCCACTTCTCTGCCCCCCAAACCCTGCAAAGCTTCCTGTGATCCCCATGGCCCTCATGACCCCTGTACCCCTCAAAGCCCCCTTTACTCTCTGTGGCCCTTGCAGCACCAAAAGCCCCCTGTGACCTCAAAGCCTTCTGTGTCTCCAAACTCTTCCTCTTCCCTGTACCCCCTTGTAACCCCTGTGCACCCCAAACCCTCTCATGTCCCCAAAACCCCCATGTTTGCTGTACCCCCTTACAGCCCTTTTGCACCCCAAAGCTCCTCATGCCCCCAAAGCCTCCTGTGTCCCTAAACTCTTCATCTTCCCTGTACCCCCTTGTAACCCCTGTGCACCCCAAACCCTCTCATGTCCCCAAAACCCCCATGTTTGCTGTACCCCCTTACAGCCCTTGTGCACCCCAAAGCTCCTCATGCCCCCAAAGCCTCTCATGTCCCCAAAGTCTCCTGTTCCCCCAAACTCCCCGGGTTCCCTGTACCCCCTTGCAACCCCTGTGCACCCCAAAGCTCCTCAGGCCCCCAAAGCTCCTCATGCCCCCAAACTCCCCGTGTTCTCTGTACCCCCTTACAACCCCTGTGCACCCCAAAGCTCCTCATGCCCCCAAAGCTGCTCATACCCCCAAAGCCTCTCATGTCCCCAAACTCTTCTTCTTCCCTGTACCCCCTTGTAACCCCTGTTCACCCCAAAGCTCCTCATGCCCCCAGAGCTCCTCAGGCCCCCAAGGCTCCCCATGCCCCCAAACCCGCTCATGTCCCCAAATTCTTCTTCTTCCCTGGACCCCCTTACAACCCCTGTGCACCCCAAAGCCGCAGACCCTCAAGGACGGGCGGCACCCCCAGGGCGAGCAGATGTACCGTCGGTACGGGCACTGCGGGGGTCCCCACGGCTTGTCCCCACGGTCCTGTGTCCCCAGAGCCCTCCATGCCCTCCTTGTCCTTTCTGCCCCTCAAAGCCCTTCGTGTCTCCTGTGTCCCCTGTGTCCCCCGTGACCCCATGCTCTGCATGTCCCCCATGCTCCCTGCACGCCCAGCCACTTCTCTGCCCCCCAAACCCTGCAAAGCTTCCTGTGATCCCCATGGCCCTCATGACCCCTGTACCCCTCAAAGCCCCCTTTACTCTCTGCGGCCCTTGCAGCACCAAAAGCCCCCTGTGACCTCAAAGCCTTCTGTGTCTAGGCCCCCAAGGCTCCCCATGCCCCCAAACCCGCTCATGTCCCCAAATTCTTCTTCTTCCCTGGACCCCCTTACAACCCCTGTGCACCCCAAAGCCTCTCATGTCCCCAAAGCTTCTCGTGTCCCCAAACTCCCCATGTTTGCTGTACCCCCTTACAGCCCTTGCGCACCCCAAAGCTCCTCATGCCCCCAAAGCCTCCTGTGTCCCCAAACTCTTCGTCTTCCCTGTACCGCCTTGTAACCCCTGTGCACCCCAAAGCTCCCCATACCCCCAAAGCTCCTCATGCCCTCAAAGCCTCTCATGTCCCCAAGCTCCCCATATTTGCTGTACCCCCTTGTAACCCCTGTGCCCCCCAAAGCTCCTCATGCCCTCAAAGGCTCTCATGTCCCCAAACTCCCCATGTTTGCTGTACCCCCTTACAGTCCTTGTGCACCCCAAAGCTCCTCATGCCCCCAAAGCTCCTCATGCCCCTAAAGCTTCTCATGTCCCCAAACTCCCCATGTTCCCTGTACCCCCTTACAACCCCTGTGCACACCAAAGCTTCTCAGGCCCCCAAAGCTCCTCAGGCCCCCAAAGCTCCCCATGCCCTCAAACCCTCTCGTGTCCCCAAACTCCCCATGTTTGCTGTACCCCCTTGTAACCCCTGTTCACCCCAAAGCTCCTCATGCCCCCAGAGCTCCTCAGGCCCCCAAAGCTCCCCATGCCCCCAAAGCCTCTCATGTCCCCAAACTCTTCCTCTGCCCTGTACCCCTTACAACCCCTGTGCACCCCAAATCTCCTCATGTCCCCAAAGCGTCCTGTGTCCCCAAACTCCCCATGTTCCCTGTACCCCCTTAAAGCCCTTGTGCACCCCAAAGCTCCTCATCTCCCCAAAGCTCCCCATGCCCCCAAAGCTCCTCATGTCCCCAGAGCCCCCCATGTCCCCAAAGCCCCCCGTGCCCCCAGAGCCCCCCATGCCCCCAGAGCCCCCCGTGCCCCCCGAGCTCCCCGCGGCCCCTGTCCCCTGCTGACACCTCCCTGCCCGCAGCGTGTACCGCCTGCACGAGCGCCTGGTGTCCATCCGCACTGAGTACAACCTGCGGCTCAAGTCGGGGGCGCCGGCGGCCGCGGTGACAGCGCCGGTGACATCGGCGCAGCGGCGGCCGGAGCCGGACGAGGCCCCGCTGCGCTACCTGCAGGAGCTGCTGGCCTGGGTGGAGGAGAACCAGCGGCGCGTGGCCGCCGCCGAGTGGGGCGCGGACCTGCCCACCGTGGAGACCCACCTGGGCGCCCACCGCGGGCTGCACCGCGCCATCGAGGAGTTCCGTGCCAAGGTGGAGCGGGCACGGGCGGATGAGGTGAGGCCCCTGGGTGCTGGGGACACCCTGGTGCTGGGGGTGATGGGGTGAGATCCTGCAGGGTGCTGGGGACACCCTGGTGCTGGGGGTGACAGGTGAGACCCCTGGGTGCTGGGGATCCCCAGATCCTGAGGGTGACAGGGTGAGACCCCTGGGTGCTAGGGACACCCTGCTGCTGGGGGTGACAGGGTGAGACCCCTGGTGCTGGGGACACCCTGCTGCTGGGGGTGATGGGGTGAGACCCTGCAGGGTGCTGGGGACACCCTGGTTCTGGGGGTGACAGGTGAGACCCCTGGGTGCTGGGGACACCCTGGTGCTGGGGGTGATGGGGTGAGACCCTGCAGGGTGCTGGGGACACCCTGGTGCTGGGGCAGGGTGAGACCCTGCAGGGTGCTGGGGACACCCTGGTGCTGGGGGGTGACAGGGTGAGACCCCTGGGTGCTGGGGACACCCTGGTCATTGGAGTGACAGGGTGAGACCCTGCAGGGTGCTGGGGACACTCTGGTGCTGAGGGTGACAGGGTGAGACCCTGCAGGATGCTGGGGATCCCCAGGTCCTGGGGGTCCTCTGGGGCTGTCCCCACTCTTTTTCAAGGGGTCCCCCCTCCCCTGCTCCTGAGCATTCCTGTGGGGCTGCCTTTGCTCTGTGCCTCAGGGTCCCTGAAGCACCATGGCCACCCCTCTTTCTGCTCCCCAAAGCCCCCAGGCTCACCCACCTCTGCTCCTGGGGCCGTGCCCAGCCTGCTGGGGGGGCGGTTTGGGGAGAGCAGCCCATCCCGGCCCCCACAGCCTCAGCCCCCAGCTGTGCCCTTGCTCTGGAGCCCCTCGGGAGCCCAGGGTGCCCCAGGAGGGTGGGGGGCACCGTGCCCCGAGGGCACCCCCCGCACCCCTGGTGCAGTGCCCTCCCCACGAGTCCCCGCTGTCGCTCCCCTTGGGGGGTTCAGGGGGGTTTCTGGGTGGGGGTCCTGGAGCTGACGGTGTCTCCTGCAGACCCAGCTGTCCCCCGGCCCCAGCGGCGCCTACCGGGAGTGCCTGGGCAAGCTGGAGCTGCAGTATGCCAAGCTGCTGGTGAGCCCGGGGCGTGGGAGGGAGTGGGGCACATGTGGGGGGACCTGCTGGGGACGTGTGAGGGGTCAGGGGGGTGGGAGATATGGGGGGACCTGCTGGGGACGTGTGGCCTGGGGGGTCATGGGGGGTGGGAGACATGAGGGGACGTCATGGGGAGGGGGTGTGTGCCATGCTGGGGACCTGGCGGGGGTGTGTGACCTGCTGGAGGAGGGTGTGACAGGAGGGGGGACAGTGGAGGCGGATGGGTGCTGGCAGTGAGTGTGGGGAGGAGGATGGGGAGATGTGGGGCAGGAGGATGCGGGACATGGGGGAAAGTGGGGAGGAGGATAAGGGGGGACAGGGGGTGTGGAGGGAGCAGCCCTGTGGGGTGAGGCCGTGCAGGGTGAGGACACAGCTGCCAAGCACCCCCTGTGGCTCCCCAGAACTCCTCCAAGTCGCGGCTGCGGCACCTGGAGAGTCTCCATGGCTTCGTCAGTGCCGCCACCAAAGAGCTGCTGTGGCTGAGCGAGCGCGAGGAGGAGGAGGTGGCCTTCGACTGGAGCCACAACAACCCCGCCATGGCTGCCAAGAAGGAGAGTTACTCGGTACGGGCACGGCACGGGGTGGACACGGACATGGGGATGGACACGGACACAGGGATGGACACGGACATGGGGATGGACACAGACACGGGGATGGACATGGACATGGGGATGGGCATAGGGATGGGCACGGACATGGGCACAGACACAGGGATGGACACGGACACGGGGATGGACACGGACGCAGGGATGGGCATGGCACAGGGATGGACACAGACATGGGGATAGGCACAGACGCAACATGGGTACAGGGATGGACATGGACGTGGGGATGGGCATGGACACAGGGATGGACACGGACATGGGGATGGACACAACATGGGCATGGACACAGGGGTGGACATGGGGATGGACAGGGACATGGGCACAGACAGGGATGGACACAGACACGGGGATAGGCATGGACACAGAGATGGACATAGGGATGGGCAAAGACACGGGGATGGACATGGATGTGGGGATGGACACGGACACAGGGATGGACATAGGGATGGGCACGGACTTGGGCACAGACGCAGGGATGGACACGGACACGGTGTCGTGGTGCCTCACGGGCATGAGGATGGGCACAGACATAACATGGGTACAGGGATGGGCATGGACATGGGCATGGACACGGGAATGGACACAGGGATGGATATGGGATGGGCACGGACATGGGCACAGACACAGGGATCGGCACGGACACGGGCATGAGGATGGGCATGGACACAACATGGGTACAGGGATGGACACAGGGATGGGCATGAACACAGACACGGACACGGGGATGGACACGGACATGTGCATGAGGATGGGCACAGACACGGACACGGGCATGGACACAACATGGACATAGACACGGGCAGGGACACAGAGATGGACACGGGGATGGGCATGGACATGTGCACAGACATGAGGATGAGCACAGACATGACATAGACATGGACATGGACATGGGGATGGGCATGGACACGGGTGCAGGGATGGATGTGGACACAGGTATGGGCATGGACATGGGCATGGGGATGGGCACAGACACGACATGGGCACAGGGATGGACACAGACACGGATGCAGGGATGGGTGTGGACAAGGACACAGAGATGGGCATGGGCATGGCCATGACATGGACATGCATATGGGCAGACACGCATGGCGGACACAGCTGCTCCATGTGGACACACCCATGGACACACACACGTGTGCCATCCCCACACATGGACATGCACATGGCTGGGTCACGTGGTCCCCTCCCTGCTCTGTAGCACTGATCCCCCATGTGCCCCCACACCCAGAACCCCCAGAACCCTCTGAGCACCCCCAGAGCCCCCCTTGCACACACAGTCCCAGGTAATCATACACACAGAGCTTGTGCACACATGTGTGAGCCCTGAACCCTGCCCTGCACACGTGTGTGAGCGCTGTCCCCCTGCCCTGCACACGTGTGTGAGCGCTGTCTGCATGGACTGGGGGATCTGGGGGGATGTGGGCAATCTGGAGGGGGCCTGGGGGTCTCGGTGACCTTGGGGGAAATGAAGGGGCTGGGAGAGTCTGAGGGGCACCTTGGGGCCTTGGTGGGTTGGGGAGGGGGTTCAGGAGGGTCTGGGCATTGAGGGGTCACTGGTGTGGGGAGCAGTGGTCACTGAGGGTCACTGGTGTGGGGTGCAGTGTGCACTGGGGGTCACTGGTGTGGGGGTGCAGTGGTCACTGAGGGTCACTGGTGTGGGGAGCAGTGGGCACTGGGCGTCAGTGGTGTACACGTGTGTGAGCGCTGCCCCCTGGCCCTGCACACGTGTGTGAGCCCTGCCCCCCTGCCCTGCACACGTGTGTGAGCGCTGCCCCCCGGCCCTGCACACATGTGTGAGCCCTGCCCCCTGAGCCTTGCACACGTGTGTGAGCCCCACCCCTGCCCTGCACACGTGTGTGAGCCCTGAACCCTGCCCTGCACACGTGTGTGAGTGGGGCTGGGAGAGTCTGAGGGGCACCTTGGGGCCTTGGTGGGTTGGGGAGGGGGTTCAGGAGGGTCTGGGCATTGAGGGGTCACTGGTGTGGGGAGCAGTGGTCACTGAGGGTCACTGGTGTGGGGTGCAGTGTGCACTGGGGGTCACTGGTGTGGGGGTGCAGTGGTCACTGAGGGTCACTGGTGTGGGGAGCAGTGGTCACTGAGGGTCACTGGTGTGGGGGTGCAGTGGTGTGGTGTAAGGGTCACTGCCTGTAGCACTGCGTGTGCAGGTGTGAGTGCAGGCCAGGTGTGAGTGCAGGCCAGGTGCGAGTGCAGGTCAGGCGTGGGTGTGGGCACCTGTAGCGGTGCAGGTGCCCTCGGTGCCAGCCCCGGTGTCCCCCCTCCTCCCGCCAGGCGTTCCTGGCAGCGCTGCAGACCCAGTGGAGCTGGATGCTCCACCCCTGAGCCTTGCACACGTGTGTGAGCCCCACCCCTGCCCTGCACACGTGTGTGAGCCCTGAACCCTGCCCTGCACACGTGTGTGAGTGCTGCCCCCGCCGCAGGCGCTGATGCGGGAGCTGGAGCTGCGGGAGCGGCGCATCCAGGAGCTGCGGACCACGGGCGAGCGGCTGCTGCGAGAGGAGCACCCCAGGGTGCAGACTCTGGAGGTGGGCGTGGGGCAAACTGGGGGGCACGACAGGGGCTGGGGGCAGTGGTCACTGAGGGTCACTGGTGTGGGGGTGCAGTGGTGTGGTGTAAGGGTCACTGCCTGTAGCACTGCGTGTGCAGGTGTGAGTGCAGGCCAGGTGTGAGTGCAGGTGTGGGTGCAGGCCAGGCGTGGGTGTGGGCACCTGTAGCGGTGCAGGTGCCCTCGGTGCCAGCCCCGGTGTCCCCGCTCCTCCCGCCAGGCGTTCCTGGCAGCGCTGCAGACCCAGTGGAGCTGGATGCTCCAGCTCTGCTGCTGCATCGAGACCCACCTGAAGGAGAACACCAACTACTTCCAGGTACGGGCGGGGTGCCAGGGCGGGGCCGGGAGTGGGAGGGAGGGCGTGGTGACCCCAGCACTGACCCCTGGCCCCCCCAGTTCTTCGCCGAGGTGCGGGAGGCCGAGGAGCTGCTGCGGAAGACGGAGGAGACGATGCGGCGCAAGTTCAGCTGCGACCGCGGCACCACGGCCACGCGCCTTGAGGACCTGCTGCAGGACCTCGCGGTGAGGGCAGCCCTGAGACCCCCAGCGAGACCCCCAGAGCCCGGGGAGACCCCCACAGTGACCCCCAGGGTGACCCTCCCAAGATCTGCAGGGTGACCCTGCTGCATCACCCTGTAGCGAGGGCAGGTGGGAGCGCAGGGGGACTTCCCATGTGGATCCCCCCAGGATCCTCAGGGTGACACCTCCAGGGTGACCCCAGCCCGATGGCAAGCCCAGGCTGACCCCACGTGCAGGGTGACCCCAGCCCCAGGCAGCTCTGGGGTGGCAGCTGCCAGGATGAGCCCCAAAATCAGAGTCCCAGAGCAGCCCCTGGGGTGTCCAGCTGCAGACTTCTGGGGTGCCCACCCCACTGCAGCTCCTGGGGTGACCCCCACACCCCATTGCTGCAACAGACCAGGGTGACCCCCCTGCCTCATATTCCTGACCCTTCCCTGGACTCCCTGGACACCCCCCAAAACCCCAAGAGCTCCCAATACCTTTGGGACCTCCTGATATTTCTGATCTCACTCAAAAAAACTGGTACCTCCCTAAAATTCTGGTGCCCCTCAACACCACGAATTACCCCAAATCCTGAGGTGTCCCAAACCTGCCCTCCACAGGAGCAGAAGGAGCAGCTGGCGGAGTTGGGGGCGCAGCTGGGGGGTCTCTCCCGCCGCGCCAGGACCATCGTGCAGCTGAAGCCACGCAGCCCCTCGACACCCCTGCAGGGCCGCCCCCCCATCCAGGCCGTCTGCGACTACAAGCAAATGGAGGTGGGGGACGCGAGGGTTGCGCTGGGGTTGGTTCCCCTGGGGAGGATGTGGGGAGCCATGGTGGGTCCAGCACCCCGCTCTGATGCTGCCCCAGCCCCGTGGTGGGGACAGAGGAGGACCCCCGCTCTGGTGTGACACCACCTTGGAGGACAAGGGGACACATGGGGGACCTCCCACCCTTCTCTCATTCTGCCCCAGCCCCATGGGGGGACACAAGGGGCCCTCTGCCCAGACTGAGACCACGCCAGGCCCGTAGGGGAATACGGGGGGGACACTGGGGAATGTGGGAGAGACACAGGCGGACACAAGGGCCCGCACCCCACCCTGACCCCCTGCCCCGCAGGTGACGGTGCACAAGAACGACGCCTGTGCCCTGGTGAACCACGCGCAGCCGCAGCAGTGGCGGGTGCTGAGCGCTGCTGGCAGCGAGGCCATCGTCCCCTCGGTCTGCTTCCTCCTGCCACCCCCCAACAAGGAGGCCCTGGACGCCGTGCACAGGTGGGGACAGTGCCCCTGCACCCCATTCGGGCTCCCCTGTGTCCCCACCTCTAACTCCACATCCCCACAGGCTGGAGAGCCACCACCAGCAGCTGCTGGGGCTGTGGCAGCAGCTGCACCAGGACCTGCGCAGCCTCCGCGCCTGGCAGTACCTGACCCGGGACATCCAGCAGATCCACTCCTGGACGCACAAGGGTCACTGCCTGTAGCACTGCGTGTGCAGGTGTGAGTGCAGGCCAGGTGTGAGTGCAGGTGTGGGTGCAGGCCAGGCGTGGGTGTGGGCACCTGTAGCGGTGCAGGTGCCCTCGGTGCCAGCCCCGGTGTCCCCCCTCCTCCCGCCAGGCGTTCCTGGCAGCGCTGCAGACCCAGTGGAGCTGGATGCTCCAGCTCTGCTGCTGCATCGAGACCCACCTGAAGGAGAACACCAACTACTTCCAGGTACGGGCGGGGTGCCAGGGCGGGGCCGGGAGTGGGGGGGAGGGCGTGGTGACCCCAGCGCTGACCCCTGGCCCCCCCAGTTCTTCGCCGAGGTGCGGGAGGCCGAGGAGCTGCTGCGGAAGACGGAGGAGACGATGCGGCGCAAGTTCAGCTGCGACCGCGGCACCACGGCCACGCGCCTTGAGGACCTGCTGCAGGACCTCGCGGTGAGGGCAGCCCTGAGACCCCCAGCGAGACCCCCAGAGCCCGGGGAGACCCCCACAGTGACCCCCAGGGTGACCCTCCCAAGATCTGCAGGGTGACCCTGCTGCATCACCCTGTAGCGAGGGCAGGTGGGAGCGCAGGGGGACTTCCCATGTGGATCCCCCCAGGATCCTCAGGGTGACACCTCCAGGGTGACCCCAGCCCGATGGCAAGCCCAGGCTGACCCCACGTGCAGGGTGACCCCAGCCCCAGGCAGCTCTGGGGTGGCAGCTGCCAGGATGAGCCCCAAAATCAGAGTCCCACAGCAGCCCCTGGGGTGTCCAGCTGCAGACTTCTGGGATGCCCACCCCACTGCAGCCCCTGGGGTGACCCCCACACCCCATTGCTGCAACAGACCAGGGTGACCCCCCTGCCTCATATTCCTGACCCCTCCCTAAACTCCCTGGACCCCCGCCAAAACCCCAAGAACTCCCCAAACCTTTGGGACCTCCTGATATTTTTGAGCTCTCCCAAAAAAACCGGTACCTCCCTAAAATTCTGGTGCCCCTCAACACCACGAATTACCCCAAATCCTGAGGTGTCCCAAACCTGCCCTCCACAGGAGCAGAAGGAGCAGCTGGCGGAGTTGGGGGCGCAGCTGGGGGGTCTCTCCCGCCGTGCCAGGACCATCGTGCAGCTGAAGCCACGCAGCCCCTCGACACCCCTGCAGGGCCGCCCCCCCATCCAGGCCGTCTGCGACTACAAGCAAATGGAGGTGGGGGACGCGAGGGTTGCGCTGGGGTTGGTTCCCCTGGGGAGGATGTGGGGAGCCATGGTGGGTCCAGCACCCCGCTCTGATGCTGCCCCAGCCCCGTGGGGAGACACTGGAGGACCCCACCCCCCTCTGGTGTGACACCACCTTGGAGGACAAGGGGACACATGGGGGACCTCCCACCCTTCTCTCATTCTGCCCCAGCCCCATGGGGGGACACAAGGGGGGACACAAGGAGCCCTCTGCCCAGACTGAGACCACGCCAGGCCCGTAGGGGAATACGGGGGGGACACTGGGGAATGTGGGAGAGACACAGGCGGACACAAGGGCCCGCACCCCACCCTGACCCCCTGCCCCGCAGGTGACGGTGCACAAGAACGACGCCTGTGCCCTGGTGAACCACGCGCAGCCGCAGCAGTGGCGGGTGCTGAGCGCCGCCGGCAGCGAGGCCATCGTCCCCTCGGTCTGCTTCCTCCTGCCACCCCCCAACAAGGAGGCCCTGGACGCCGTGCACAGGTGGGGACAGTGCCCCTGCACCCCATTCGGGCTTCCCTGTGTCCCCACCTCTAACTCCACATCCCCACAGGCTGGAGAGCCACCACCAGCAGCTGCTGGGGCTGTGGCAGCAGCTGCACCAGGACCTGCGCAGCCTCCGCGCCTGGCAGTACCTGACCCGGGACATCCAGCAGATCCACTCCTGGACGCACGTCACGGTGAGTTCCTGGGGGTCCCGGAGCGGCACGGGGGTCCCGGGGGTCCCAGCGGGGGCTGACATGGCCGTGACCCCCCCAGTTCCGCACGCTGCCGGCCGAGGAGGTGCGTCAGGTCCTGTCCAGCCTGGAGAGGCACTACCAGGAGTTCCTGCGGGACAGCCAGGACTCCCAGAGCTTCCAGCCCGACGACCGGCTGCAGGTGGAGCGCGACTACAACGCCTGCACTCACAAATACGAGCTGCTGCTGCGTAGCCAGGAGAAAGGTGGGTGTCCCCTCTGAAGGGTGGGGGTCCCCAGGGTTTCCCCAGGTCCTTGTGGTGTCCCTGGGGTATCGCCATAGAGCTGAGCTGTCCCAGTCTCCCCCTCCTCACATTGGTTCCTGGGGTGTCCCCAGGGTGCTGAGCCATCCCTGCATCTCCCCTTCCCACCATGGGTGCCGGTGTTGTCCCCACAGTCTGAGCCATCCTCGTGTCCCCTCTCCCTGCTGTGGGTCGCCAAGGTGTCCCTGTGGTGCTGAGACATCCCTGTGTCCCCCCTTCCCACCATGGGTGCCCGTGTTGTCCCCACACTCTGAGCCATCCCTGTGTCCCCTCTCCATGGTGTGGGTGGCCCTGGACGCCGTGCACAGGTGGGGACAGTGCCCCTGCACCCCATTCGGGCTTCCCTGTGTCCCCACCTCTAACTCCACATCCCCACAGGCTGGAGAGCCACCACCAGCAGCTGCTGGGGCTGTGGCAGCAGCTGCACCAGGACCTGCGCAGCCTCCGCGCCTGGCAGTACCTGACCCGGGACATCCAGCAGATCCACTCCTGGACGCACGTCACGGTGAGTTCCTGGGGGTCCCGGAGCGGCACGGGGGTCCCGGGGGTCCCAGCGGGGGCTGACATGGCCGTGACCCCCCCAGTTCCGCACGCTGCCGGCCGAGGAGGTGCGTCAGGTCCTGTCCAGCCTGGAGAGGCACTACCAGGAGTTCCTGCGGGACAGCCAGGACTCCCAGAGCTTCCAGCCCGACGACCGGCTGCAGGTGGAGCGCGACTACAACGCCTGCACTCACAAATACGAGCTGCTGCTGCGTAGCCAGGAGAAAGGTGGGTGTCCCCTCTGAAGGGTGGGGGTCCCCAGGGTTTCCCCAGGTCCTTGTGGTGTCCCTGGGGTATCGCCATAGAGCTGAGCTGTCCCAGTCTCCCCCCTCCTCACATTGGTTCCTGGGGTGTCCCCAGGGTGCTGAGCCATCCCTGCATCTCCCCTTCCCACCATGGGTGCCGGTGTTGTCCCCACAGTCTGAGCCATCCCTGTGTCCCCTCTCCCTGCTGTGGGTCCCCATGGTGCTGAGCCATCCCCCTGTCCCCTGGCCGTGCTGTGGGTTCCCAGGGTGTCCCTACTGTGTGTTCCCAGGGTGCTGAGCCATCCCAGTGTCCCCTCTCCCTCTGTGTGTCCCCAGAGTGTCCCCGTGGTGCTGAGCCATCGCGGTGTCCCCTCTCCCTGCTCTGGGTCCCCATGGTGCTGAGCCATCGCGGTGTCCCCTCTCCCTGCTCTGGGTCCCCATGGTGCTGAGCCATCGCGGTGTCCCCTCTCCCTGCTCTGGGTCCCCAGGGTGTCCCCATGCTGCTGAGCCATCGCGGTGTCACTGCGGGTCCCCGCGGTGTCCCCATGGTGTCCCAGGGCACTGAGCCGCCCCCCTGTCCCCGCAGGAGAGCAGGACGAGTCTCTGTGCAAGAGCTACATCTCGCAGCTGAAGGACATCCGGCTGCAGCTGGAGAGCTGCGAGAGCCGCACCGTGCACCGCCTGCGCCTGCCCCTCAAGGCCGACCCCCTGCGCGAGTGCGCCCAGCGCCAGGCGGAGCAGCAGGTGTGTGACACACGTGTGCCAGCCCAGGGGAGCTAACACAGTGGATCCCCCCAAGATCCGCCTCCAGGGTGACCCCAGCAAGCCCAGGCTGGCCCCACGTGCAGGGTGACACGCGTATGACATGCGTGTGACACGTGTAGTGCGCACAGATGGACACCTTGGTGCCAGGATGGGCCTGGGGGAATGGTTTGGGTTGGAAAAATGCTCAGAGCCCATTGAGTCCACCAAGGCCACCCCTGATCATGTCCCCAAATGATCCACATGGCTGTAAAATCTCCCCAGGAGTGGCACTCCAGCCCTGCCCTGGCAGCTGTGCCAGGACAGCCCTTTGCAGGAGTTTTCCCAATATCCCACCCAAACCTCTGCTGTCCACCAGCACAGACGGGCTGCAGAGCCTTCCCTGCTCTGCTCCTCCCGGGGTCCAAGAGCGGGAGCATTCTGTCAGGGGCTGGCCCTGGCCTCAGCAAGGACTGAGGGACTCCTTCCCTGCAGCAAACCCACCTGGAGCTGGAGGGCATCCAGAAGAACCTGGCCAAAGTCAGCGAGAAGACGGAGCAGGTGCTGGCGCAGCCGGAGCAGGCGGGCTCGGCCCCCGTCCTGCGCTCCGAGCTGGAGGTCACCCTGCGGAAGATGGAGCAGGTGTACAGCCTCTCCAGCATCTACCTGGAGAAGTGAGTGAGCCCTGGCACGTCACTCCTGGGCTGGAAACAAGCCTGGGTAGCTGGGAGGCCGTAGGGAGTCTGGAGAGAGCCAGCATGCCTTTCCCTTTCTTTTCCTTCCCTCTTCTTTTCTTCCTTTTGTTTCTCTTTTCCCTTTTTTTTTCCTTTTCCCGATTTTTTCCATTTCCCTTTTTTTCCTTTTTTCTTTTTTTCTTTCCGCCTTTTTTCCTTTTTTCCTTTTCTCCATTTTCCTTTTTTCCTTTTGCCTTTTGAGTGAGCCCTGGCGCGTCACTCCTGGGCTGGAAACGAGCCTGGGTGGCTGGGAGGCCGTGGGGAGTCTGGAGAGAGCCAGCATGCCTTTCCCTTTCTTTTCCTTCCCTCTTCTTTTCTTCCTTTTGTTTCTCTTTTCCCTTTTTTTTCCTTTTCCTGATTTTTTCCATTTCTCTTTTTTCCTTTTTTCTTTTTTCTTTCTGCCTTTTTTCCTTTTTTCCTTTTCTCCATTTTCCTTTTTTCCTTTTGCCTTTTTCCCTTTTTTCTTTCCCCCTTTTTTCCTTTTCTCATTTTTCCTTTTTTCTTTTTTTCCTTTTTTTCCTTTTTTTTCCTTTTTCCTCTTTTTCTTTTTCCCCTTTTTTCCCTTTTCCCTTTTCCCTTTTCCCTTTTTTCCCTTTTCCCTTTTTTCCTTTTTCCCTTTTATTCCTTTCCCCTTTTTTTCTTTACCCCTTTTTTTCCTTTTCCCTTTTTTCCTTTTCCCCATTCTTCCCTTTTTCCCTTTTTTCATTTTTTTTCCTCTTTTCCTTTTTCCATTTTTTCCTTTTTTTCCTTTTTTCTTTTTCTCCCTTTCCCCTTCTTTTGCTTTTTCCCTTTCCCTTCCCTTCTGGGTCTGCGGTGCTGCTCTTGCTGAGCTGCCCGCTCCCATCCCAGCTAATCCTGCTCCCACTCCCACCCCACTCCCGCTCCCGGCTGATCCCATCCCATTCTCATCCCGCTCCTGCTCCCATCCTGATCCCAGCTAATCTGTCCTGCTCCCAGCTGATCCCGCTCCCGCTCCCAGCTGATCCCGCTCCCAGCTGATCTCGCTCCCAGCTGATCCTGTTCCCAGCTGATCCCGCTCCCGCTCCCAGCTGATCCCGCTCCCAGCTGATCCTGCTCCCAGCTGATCCCGTTCCCAGCTGATCCCGCTCCCTCTCCCAGCTGATCCCGCTCCCAGCTGATCCCGCTCCCAGCTGATCCCGCTCCCACCTGATCCCGTTCCCAGCTGATCCCGCTCCCAGCTGATCCCGCTCCCAGCTGATCCCGCTCCCAGCTGATCCCGTTCCCAGCTGCTCCCGTTCCCAGCTGATCCCGCTCCCACTCCCGGCTGATCCCGTTCCCGGCTGATCCCGCTCCCACTCCCGGCTGATCCCGCTCCCAGCTGATCCCGTTCCCACCTGATCCCGTCCCTGTGCCGCAGGCTGAAGACCATCGGGCTGGTGATCCGGAGCACGCAGGGCGCTGAGGAGCTGCTCCGCAAGTACGAGGAGCAGCTGAAGGACGTGCAGGCAGTGCCCGCTGACCTGGCTGAGCTGGAGGCCAGCAAGGCTGAGCTGAAGGTACCAGGGGCCCTGGGGGTGCCAGGGGGACCTGGGGGGGTGGCTGGGGACACCGCGGCTGGCTCTGACCAGTGCCCGTCTGCCACAGCGGCTGCGGGCACAGGCCGAGGGCCACCAGCCCTTCTTCAGCACGCTGGAGACCGACCTCGGCAAGGCCAAGGACGTCAACGAGCGGATGGTCCGCGGCCACAGCGAGCGGGACGTGGACCTGGAGCGGTACCGGGAGCGGGTGCAGCAGCTGCTGGAGCGCTGGCAGGCCGTGCTGGGCCAGGCTGACCTGCGCCAGCGCGAGCTGGACCAGCTGGGCCGCCAGCTGGGCTACTACCGGCAGAGCTGCGACGCGCTGCGCCAGTGGATCCGCGACGCCCGGCAGCGCCAGGAGGCCATCCAGGCTGTGCCCATCACCGACAGCCAGGCCGTGCGCGAGCAGCTGCTGCAGGAGAAGGTAGGGCTGGCCGTGGGGCAAGGGGTGCTCCTGGGCATCCCCAGCAGGGTGAGGGGTGTGCTTGGCCATCCCCAGCAGGGTGAGGGGTGTGCCAGGCCATCCTCCATGGGGTGAGGGGTGCTCCTGGGCATCCCCAGCAGGGTGAGGGGTGTGCCTGGCCATCCCCAATGGGGCAAGGGGTGCTTCTGGGCATCCCCAGCAGGGTGAGGGGAGTGTCCGGCCATCTCCAGCCATGGCATGTTGAGTTTTGCTCTTGGGTGGCTGCAGCAGAAGGGGGACTGTCCCTGGCCATGGCACGTGGGAGCTCTCAGCCATCCCCAATGGGATGGGGGGTGCTCTTGACCATTTTTGGCTGTAGCAGGGTGAGGGGTGCTCCCAGCCATGGCAGGGCAAATGGTGCTCTTGGCCATCCCTGGCCATGGTGGGGTGAGGTGGGCTCCTGGGTGGCCATGGGGTGCCCGGGCTCACCCCCACATGTCTCCCCAGAAACTGCTGGAGGAGTGTGAGCAGCACAAGGAGAAGGTGGAGGAGTGCCAGCGCTATGCCAAGCAGTACATCGATGCCATCAAGGTGGGCCCGCTGCCTGGGGGGCTGGGGGGGCAGCACAGCATCCTGCAGGGGGTGGGCTCACAGCACCGTAGCCAGGGCTAGCAGAGCTTTGATCACTCTCTCCTCATCAGGACTACGAGCTGCAGCTGGTGAGCTTCAAGGCACAGGTGGAGCCGGTGGCATCGCCGGCCAAGAAGCCCAAAGTGCAGTCGGCATCTGACAGCATCATCCAGGAGGTGAGGGGGGCTCTCACTGACACTGGCCTGGGATGTCCTGCAGCTCCTGGGGCGTGGCTGCTCACTGAAGGGGTGGATTTGGGGCTGTGGCACATGGTCGTGCAGCCCCGTGGTTGCTGGGGTACCGGCGGGCCGCGGGCAAGCTCCCCTTCCTTGTGCTGACCCACTGTCTCCACAGTACGTGGACCTGCGGACGCAGTACAGTGAGCTGACCACGCTCACCACCCAGTACATCAAGTTCATCACTGAGACACTGCGGCGGCTGGAGGACGAGGAGGTAGGGAGCGGTGCAGGGCGGCATGGCCAGCTGTGTAACCAAAAGGAACGCAGCTCACAGGATCTCTGGCCCCGTCACTAACACCAGCCCACGGCCATGACTCCAGCCCTTTCACTGGTGGTAGCTCACGTCCATGAGTCTGGCTCCACCACTAACGCCAGCCTATGGCCGTGACTCCAGCCCCATCACTAACACTGGCCCAAGGCTGTGACTCCAGCCCCGGCCCCATCACTAACAGCGGCCCATGGCTGTGACTCCAGCCCCGGCCCCATCACTAACACTGGCCCGTGGCTGTGACTCCAGCCTTGGCCCCATCACTAACACTGGCCCAAGGCTGTGACTCCAGTCCTGGCCCCATCACTAACAGCAGCCCGTGGCTGTGGCTGCAGACCCATGACTAATACTGGCTCATGGCCATGACTCCGGCCCTATCACTAATACTGGCCCACAGCCTCTAGCTCCTGCTCCCTGCTGGGCTCCTGGCAGCAAGGCTGCTGGCTCTGCGTAGAGTGGGTCTCCGAGCCACGCTGGCTCTGGGCACTGGGGGCTCTGGTGTGACTGGTGGTAGGAGGCACTTCCCAGATACACGTAGTGCAGTCAGCACCTGCCTGCGCATGCTGCTGTGCTGGGCGCTGGCCCGCGGGGTCTGGCGCGGGGTAACCTCTCTAACTCTTGGTTTCTGCCCTTGGAGCCGCTTTGCCAGTGCTTTTTCTTGGGGAATATTTGTGTTGGTGGGGATCTAATGGAGGGTAAAAAACCAGGATGACTCTGGCAGCCGTGCACCAGGTACTCACTCTGCGCATGCCTTCTCCCTGCGGCACCCTCCGCCTCCCCCACGGCTCACCCTCTCCTCCTCGCCCTCCTCTACGTCTGTGCTGCTCCGGGTCCAGGGGTCCGGTGTGGGGTCTGGCTCCCCTGCATGCGCTGCCTGTGCCCAGGCCCTGCGGAGCGTGTGGCTGCCTCGCTCACAGTGCATGTGGTGCGTGCGCTGTGGCACGGCCCCAAGCCAGGCGCCAGCTGCGTTGGCCCTTTGGCAGGCCCTGCTCCCAGTAGCCTGGAGAGGGCTGGGAGGGGTTTGAACCAGCTGAACTGCTCTCTCCTGTTGAGACTTTCCCGGCAGGGAAGGCTCTGCTGGCACCGCCCTCGCACCGCTCCCCTCTCTTCTGCTCCCAGGCCGTCTCTCTCCTTTCCTCATGGCAGGGGCTGTCTGTGCCAGCCCCCTCGCAAGGGGAGCCAGGGTGGTGATGTGCACGCTGCTCGTATCGTCTTCATCGCTTGGGCTCCGCTCGCTCTCTGTCCCTTCTCTCTGGAACGCGGCTTCCTGCGCTGCTGTCTGGCTCCTGTTGCCTGTCTGCCTGTGCTGTCGTGTGTCCCCTGTCGTGCCACACATCTTCTGGAAGCTGGCGTCACCGGCTCGTGTGGTGGCCCAGGGGCCGAAGCCATTCCACGCGCATCTGCCACCCCTCGGCTGTCTCGGCAGTGTGTGCCTGGGCCAGCATCGATTCCACGGCGCGATCGCATCCCTTGTGATTTGTCTCTCTCTCCCCTCTCTGTCCCCTGCACCCTCTTTCCCCTCCAGAAAGCCGCCGAGAAGCTGAAAGAGGAGGAGAGGAAGCGGCTGGCGGAGGTGGAGGCGCAGCTGGAGAAGCAGCGGCAGCTGGCCGAGGCCCACGCCAAAGCCAAGGCACAGGCGGAGGCGGAGGCGCGGGAGCTGCAGCTCCGCATGCAGGAGGAGGTCACCCGGCGGGAGGTGGTGGCCGTGGATGCCGAGCAGCAGAAGCAGAACATCCAGCAGGAGCTGATGCAGCTGCGGCAGAACTCGGACCACCAGATCAAGTCCAAGGTGAAGCTGATCGAGGAGGCTGAATACAACCGCAAGAAAGTGGAGGAGGAGATCCGCCTCATCCGCCTGCAGCTGGAGAGCACCGAGAAGCAGCGGGAGAGCGCGGAGACAGAGCTGCAGGAGCTGCGGGCACGTGCCGAAGACGCTGAGCGGCAGAAGCGGCAGGCACAGGAGGAGGCCGAGCGCCTGCGCCGGCAGGTGAAGGAGGAGAGCCAGAAGAAGCGGGAGGCGGAGGAGGAGCTGAAGCGCAAGGTGCAGGCTGAGCGCGAAGCGGCACGGGAGAAGCAGAAGGCAGTGGCAGACCTGGAGCAGCTGCGGCTGCAGGCGGAGGAGGCTGAGCGGCGCATGCGGCAGGCAGAGGCTGAGAAGGATCGGCAGATCCAGGTGGCCCAGGAGGTGGCCCAGCGCAGCGCTGAGGCCGAGCTGCAGAGCAAGAGGCTCTCTTTTGCCGAGAAGACAGCGCAGCTGGAACTGTCACTGCAGCAGGAGCACGATGTGGTGGCCCAGCTGCAGGAGGAGGCTGAGCGGCTGAAGAGGCAGCAGCTGGAGGCCGAGCGCTCGCGGGAGGAGGCTGAGAAGGAGCTGGAGCACTGGCGGCAGAAGGCCAACGAGGCGCTGCGCCTGCGGCTGCAGGCCGAAGAAGTGGCCCACAAGAAGTCACTGGCACAGGAGGAGGCCGAGAAGCAGAAGGAGGATGCAGAGCGCGAGGCCCGCAAGCGCGCCAAGGCAGAGGAGGTGGCCGTGCGGCAGAAGGAGCTGGCGGAGGAAGAACTGGAAAAGCAGCGGGAGCTGGCAGAGGGCACAGCCCAGCAGAAGCTGGCGGCAGAGCAGGAGCTGATCCGGCTGAAGGCGGAGATGGAGAATGGGGAGCAGCAGCGCCTGCTCCTGGAGGAAGAGCTCTCACGGTTGAAGGGCGAGGTAAACGAGGCCATCCAGAGGAGGAAAGAGCTGGAGGAGGAGCTGGCCAAGCTGCGGGCAGAGATGGAGGTCCTGCTGGAGAGCAAGGCCAAGACAGAGGAGGAGTCACGCTCCAGCAGCGAGAAGTCCAAGCAGCGGCTGGAGGCAGAGGCCAACAAGCTGCGGGAGCTGGCTGAGGAGGCCGCCCGCCTGCGCGCCCTCTCTGAGGAAGCCAAGCGGCAGCGGCAGCTGGCAGAGGACGAGGCCAGCCGGCAACGGGCCGAGGCCGAGCGCATCCTGAAGGAGAAGCTGGCGGCCATCAACGAGGCCTCACGGCTGAAGGCGGAGGCAGAGATTGCTCTGAAGGAGAAGGAGGCGGAGAACGAGCGTCTGCGGCGGCTGGCGGAGGACGAGGCCTACCAGCGCAAGCTGCTGGAGGAACAGGCAGCCCAACACAAGCAGGACATTGAGGAGAAGATTGCCCTGCTGAAGCGCTCCTCAGAGAGCGAGCTGGAGAGGCAGAAGGGGCTCGTGGAGGATACGCTGAGGCAGCGGCGTCAGGTGGAGGAGGAGATCCGTGCCCTCAAGGCCAGCTTCGAGAGGGCCTCAGCTGGCAAGAGCGAGCTGGAGCGGGAGCTGAACCGCATCCGTGGGGAGGCAGAGGAGGTGCAGCGCAGCCGGGAGCAGGCGGAGCGGGAGGCTGAGCGGCAGCGGGCGCTGGCGCTGGAGGAGGAGGGCCGCCGGCGCGAGGCCGAAGAGAAGGTGCAGGCCATCCTGGCGGCCGAGGAGGAGGCCGGGAGGCAGCGGCGGCTGGCCCTGGAGGAGGTGGAGCGGCTGCGGGCCATGGTGGAGGAGGCGCGGCGGCAGAAGGAACTGGCGGAGAAGGAGTCAGAGCGGCAGATCCAGCTGGCACGGGAGGCTGCGCAGAAGCGGATTGCAGCGGAGGAGAAGGCACACCTGGCTGCCGTGCAGCAGAAGGAGCAGGAGCTGCTCCAGACACGCCAGCAGGAGCAGAGCCTTCTGGACCGGCTGCGTGAGGAGGCTGAGCGGGCCCGGCGGGCAGCTGAGGAGGCCGAGTTTGCCCGTGGCAAGGCCGAGCAGGACGCCAGCTTGTCCCGGCAGCGCGTGGAGGAGGCAGAGCGGCTGAAGCAGCGGGCAGAGGAGGAGGCGCAGGCCAAGGCACAGGCACAGGCGGACGCAGAGAAGCTGCGGAAGGAGGCCGAGCTGGAGGCAGCAAAACGGGCACAGGCAGAGCAGGCTGCCCTGCGGCAGAAGCAGCTGGCCGATGCCGAGATGGAGAAGCACAAGAAGTTTGCCGAGCAGACACTGCGGCAGAAGGCGCAGGTGGAGCAGGAGCTGACCAAGGTGAAGTTGCAGCTGGATGAGACAGACCACCAGAAGGGCATCCTGGATGAGGAGCTGCAGCGGCTGAAGGAGGAGGTGACAGATGCCGTCCGGCAGAAGGCCCAAGTGGAGGAGGAACTCTTCAAGGTCCGGGTGCAGATGGAGGAGCTGGCCAAGCTGAAGAGCCGCATCGAGGAGGAGAACAAGGCGCTGATCCTCAAGGACAAGGACAACACGCAGAAGTTCTTGGCAGAGGAGGCAGAGAAGATGAAGCAGGTGGCAGAGGAGGTGGCCCGGCTGAGCGTGGAGGCACAGGAGGCCGCCCGCATGCGGCAGCTGGCTGAGGACGATCTGGCACAGCAGCGGGCACTGGCAGAGAAGATGCTGAAGGAGAAGATGCAGGCGGTGCAGGAGGCCACGCGGCTGCGGGCAGAGGCTGAAATGCTGCAGAAGCAGAAGGATCTGGCGCAGGAACATGCCAAGAAGCTGCAGGAGGACAAGGAGCAGATGCAGCAGCGCCTGGCTGAGGAGACCGAGGGCTTCCAGAAGACCCTGGAGGCTGAGCGCCGGCGGCAGCTGGACATCACAGCTGAGGCTGAGCGCCTCAAGCTGCAAGTAGCGGAGATGAGCATGGCCCAGGCCAAGGCTGAGGAGGAAGCCAAGCGGTTCAAAAAGCAGGCGGAGGAGATCAGTGAGAGGCTGCATGAGACTGAGCTGGCCACACAGGAGAAGATGACGATGGTGCACACCCTGGAGATCCAGCGGCACCAGAGTGATGAGGATGCAGAAAAGCTGCGGAAGGCCATCGCTGACCTGGAGAAGGAGAAGGAGAAGCTGAAACAGGAGGCAGCGCTGCTGCAGCAGAAGGCAGAGGAGGTACTGGGCTGTGGGTCCCCTTAGTGGTGGTGGTACACAGGGAGGCTATCCCTCTTCCCAGCCAGCCCACACCATCCCTGGGCCGGTCCCCAAGGACCATCACTGGGGATGGTGGGGCTGGACACCCTGTGCAGGTCAGGGATGTGCGTAGACTTGGAGGTGGTGGAGCAAAGCCCTCAGGCAGCATCGGAGCAGGACCCCAAACCCCTGGAGCCATGGAGGTGGGATCCCCACCACCTGGGCTGGTTCTTCCGCCCTGTGGCATGTCCTGTCGTGTTCCGCTCTGTGCCCAGCTCCCAGCCTGAGTGCTGGGGGTTCCCTTGTGTCCTTCCCCTGCTCATCCCGCCCCATGTTGTGTGTGGCTCCCTAACCCCGGCTCTGCTCCTTAGCTCTTACCTGATGTAGAGAGTGTGTGGGTTACTGTGCCTCCGTGCCACTTCTGCCACCCGTCCCCCTGCCTCAGCCCACCCTCAGTCCCCCACTGCCCTCCTGGGTGTCTGACTGCACTGTTCTCTCTCCCACCCTAGATGCAGGTGGCCCAGCAGGCTCAGCTCCGTCAGGAGACGCAGCTCCTGCAGCAGAGCTTCCTGACGGAGAAAGATGCCCTGCTGCAGAAGGAGAAGTTCATTGAGGAGGAGAAATCGAAGCTGGAGAAGCTCTTTAAGGATGAGGTGAACAAAGCCCAGAACCTGAAGGCAGAGCAGGAGCGGCAGCAGCGGGAGATGGAGCAGGAGAAGCAGCAGTTGAAAGCTATGTTAGAGGAAGCCAAGAAGCATCAGAAGGAAGCTGAGGAAAATGTCCGGCACAAGCAGGAGGAGCTACAGCAACTGGAGAAGCAGCGACAGCAGCAGGAGAAACTTCTGGAAGAAGAGAACAAGAAGCTGAGGGAGAGGCTCGAACAGATGCAGGAGGAGTACAAGGCTGCCCTGGCCCAGAGAAGGGAGATCATGATCCAGACAGATGACCTGCCTGGGGAGGCAGTTACGACAACGCAGCTGCTGGACATCAAGGCTGTGCCCAACGGCCGGGATGCAATGGACGGCTTAGCCCAGAATGGGGAGCCGGAGTTCGCCTTTGACGGCATCCGGCAGAAGGTGTCAGCAGAGAAGCTGGCTGATGCAGGCATTCTGAGCAGGGAGAACTTAGACAAGTTGGCAAAGGGTGTTGTGAGTGTGAGCGAGCTCTCTCAGAGGGAGGATGTCAAGAAGTACCTGCAGGGCAAGAGCAGCATTGCCGGTTTGCTGATCAAACCCTCCAACCAGAAGATGAGCATCTACGAAGCCATGAAGAAGAAGCTGCTCAGCCCAGGCACAGCGCTGGTGCTCCTGGAGGCACAGGCTGCTTCTGGCTTCATCATTGACCCTGTGAGGAATGCAAGGCTCTCGGTGAACGAGGCGGTGCGAGAGGGAGTGATCGGGCCAGAGCTGCACAACAAGATGCTCTCGGCTGAGCGGGCTGTCACCGGCTACAAGGATCCATACACAGGTGACAAGATCTCCTTGTTCCAGGCCATGCAGAAGGATCTCATAGTCAGGGACCACGGCATCCGCCTGCTTGAGGCCCAGATTGCCACCGGCGGCATCATTGATCCTGTCAACAGCCACCGCCTGCCTGTGGAAGCCGCCTACAAGCGTGGCTACTTTGATGAGGAGATGAATCAGGTCCTGTCTGACCCCACTGATGACACCAAGGGCTTCTTCGATCCCAACACTCAGGAGAACCTCACCTACCTGCAGCTCATGGAGCGGTGCGTGACTGACCCCGACACAGGGCTGTGCCTCCTGCCGCTCACTGACCAAGCAGCCAAAGGCAGAGAGCTGGTCTACACCGACAAGGAAGCCAAGGACGTCTTCAAGAAGGCCACAGTGACAGCACCATTTGGCAAGTTCCAAGGGAAGACAATGACCATCTGGGAGCTCATCAACTCTGAATACTTCACTGAGGACCAAAGGCGGGACCTGATCCAGCAGTACAGGACTGGCAAGATCACAGTGGAGAAGATCATCAAGATCGTCATCACGGTTGTAGAGGAAAGTGAGAAAAAGAGCCAGATGTGCTTTGAGGGCTTGCGGGGCCCCGTGCCCGCTGCCGAGCTGCTCGAGAGCAAGATCATCAACAAGGACCTCTACAACCAGCTGCACCAGGGCAAGAAGTCCGTAAAGGATGTGGCAGAGATGGAATCCGTACGGCAGTACCTGAGGGGCACGGATGCCATCGCTGGTGTCCTGGTGGAGTCTACGGGCCAGAAGCTCACCTTCTACGAGGCCCTGAAGAGAAACCTGCTGAGGCCAGAGGTTGCCCTGTCCCTGCTGGAGGCACAAGCTGCCACTGGCTACATCATTGACCCTGTGGCTAACAAGCTCTTCTCCGTGGATGAGGCAGTGAAGGCCGAGGTGGTGGGGCCAGAGTTCCACGAGAAGCTGCTGTCGGCAGAGAAGGCGGTGACTGGCTACAAGGATCCCTACACAGGTCAGACGGTTTCCCTCTACCAAGCACTCCAGAAGGGCCTCATCCCCAGCGACACGGGGCTCCGGCTGCTGGACGTCCAGCTTGCCACTGGTGGCATCATCGACCCCGTCAACAGCCACCGGCTCCCACTTGAGGTCGCCTACAAGCGCGGCTACTTCGACCCAGAGATAAACAAGGCTCTCACTGAGTTCCAAGATGAAGCCAAGGCTTTCTACTGTCCCAACACCCAGGAGCACCTCACCTATGCCCAGCTGCAGAAGAGTTGCCACCGCGACAAGCAGACTGGCCTGTGCCTGCTGCCCCTGTCTGACAAGGCAATCCAGTCACAGCAGGAGGAGATCTACACCGACAGCCAGGCCAAGGAGTGCTTCGACAAAGCAACCATAGAGGTCCCGGTGGGCAGCATGAAGGGCCAGACAATGACCATCTGGGAGCTGATCCACTCTGAATACTTCACAGAGGAGCACAGGCGGGAGCTGCTCCGACAGTACAAGACTGGCAAAGTGACAATCGAGAAGATCATCAAGATTGTGATCACCATTATTGAGGAGGCAGAGACCAAAAAGCAGGAGAAACTGACATTTAGTGGTCTGCGGGCACCAGTTCCAGCCAGTGAGCTGCTGGAGTCCTGCATCATCAGCAAAACCCAGTACGAGCAGCTGAAGGAAGGCAAGAAATCAGTGAAGGACCTCTCTGAGACAGATGCAGTGAGGAGATTCCTGCATGGCAGCGACTGCATTGCCGGTGTCTATGTGGAGGCCACCAAGGAGAAGCTGAACATCTATGAGGCCATGAAGAGGAACCTGCTGAGGCCCAGCACCGCCGTGGTCCTCCTGGAGGCCCAGGCAGCCACTGGGTTCTTGATTGACCCTGTGAAGAACCGTAAACTGTACGTCAACGAGGCGGTGAAGGCTGGCATTGTCGGGCCTGAGCTGCATGAGAAGCTGCTGTCGGCTGAGAAGGCTGTCACGGGGTACAAGGATCCCTACTCGGGCGACACCATCTCCCTGTTCCAGGCCATGAAGAAAGGGCTTATTGTCAAGGAGCACGGCATCCGTCTGCTTGAGGCCCAGATTGCCACCGGTGGCATCATCGACCCTGTGCACAGCCACCGCCTGCCCGTGGAGGTGGCCTACAGACGTGGCTACTTCGACGAGGAGATGAACCGGACCCTCTCTGACCCCACTGATGACACCAAGGGCTTCTTCGACCCCAACACGCAGGAGAACCTCACCTATGTGCAGCTGAAGGAGAGGTGCATCGAGGATCCCGAGACGGGCCTATACTTGCTGCCTCTGCGGGAGCCTGAGAAGCCAAAAGTGGTGGAAACCACTCACATGTACACAGAAGAAGAGACAAGGAAGGTGTTTGAGGAGACACAGGTGGACATCCCTGTGGGCAGCCGGGCAGGCTCCTCCATGTCACTGTGGGATGTCATGCACTCAGACCTGCTGCCCGAGGATCAGCGTAAACATCTCATGGAGGAGTTCCAGTCGGGCCGCGTGTCCAAGGAGCGCATGATCATCATTATCATCGAGATCATCGAGAAGACTGAGATCATCAGGCAGCAGAATCTAACATCCTATGACTATGTCCGGCGCCGCATCACAGCTGAGGACCTCTATGAGGCCAAGATCATCACACAGGACATCTACAACCTCCTGAAACAGGGCTCCAAAACCTTCCGGGAGCTCCTGGATGTGGAGACTGTCTGGAAGTACCTTTACGGGTCGGGCTGTGTGGCTGGCATCTACATCCCCTCCTCCAAACAGACACTCAGTGTCTACCAGGCGCTGAAGAAGGGGCTGATCAATTCTGAAGTGGCCCGCTCCCTCCTGGAGGCCCAGGCAGCCACCGGCTTCATGATCGACCCCACGAAGAATGAAATGCTGACTGTTGATGAGGCAGTCAGGAAGGGCGTGGTGGGGCCAGAGATCCACGACCGGCTCCTGTCTGCAGAGAGAGCTGTGACCGGCTACAGGGACCCCTACAGTGAACAGAAGATTTCTCTCTTCCAGGCCATGAAGAAGGATCTCATTCCCAGCGAAGAGGCCCTCAAGCTCCTAGACGCCCAGATCGCCACTGGCGGCATAATTGACCCGCACTTGGGCTTCCACCTGCCCCTGGAGGTGGCCCTCCAGCGGGGCTTCATCAACAAGGAGACGTATGACATGCTGTCAGAGCCCAGCGAGGTGCGCAGCTACGTGGACCCCTCCACAGATGAGAAGCTCAGCTACACGCAGCTGCTGAGGCGGTGCCGGAAGGACGAGAACTCCAGGCTCCTCCTGCTCCCGCTCTGCGACACACGGAAGCTCACCTTCCGGGGCCTGCGGAAGCAGATCACTGTGGAGGAGCTGGTCCTTTCACAGGTGATGGACGAAGCCACAGCCCAGCGCCTCCAGGAGGGTCTCACCTCTGTCGAGGAGGTCTCTAAGAACCTGAAGAAGTTCCTGGAGGGCACCAGCTGCATCGCTGGCGTCTTTGTGGACTCCACAAAGGAGCGTCTGTCCATCTACCAGGCCATGAAGAAGGGGATCATCCGGCCTGGCACTGCCTTCGAGCTCTTGGAAGCACAGGCGGCCACGGGCTACGTGATTGACCCGATCAAGGGGCTCAAGCTGACAGTGGAGGAAGCTGTGCGCATGGGCATTGTGGGCCCCGAGTTCAAGGACAAGCTGCTCTCTGCCGAGAGGGCCGTGACTGGCTACCGGGACCCCTACACCGGAAAGCTCATCTCCCTCTTCCAGGCGATGAAGAAGGGTCTGATCTTGAAGGACCACGGGATCCGCTTGCTGGAGGCACAGATTGCCACAGGAGGCATCATTGACCCTGAGGAGAGCCACCGCCTGCCTGTGGAGGTGGCCTACAAGAGAGGCCTCTTTGACGAGGAGATGAATGAGATCCTGCTGGACCCTAGTGATGACACCAAGGGCTTCTTCGACCCCAACACAGAGGAGAACCTCACCTACCTGCAGCTCATGGAGCGGTGCATCACGGACCCAGAGACTGGCCTCTGCCTCCTGCCTCTGAAGGAGAAAAAGCGGGAGAGGAAGACCTCCTCCAAGTCCTCCGTCCGCAAGCGCCGTGTGGTGATCGTTGACCCAGAGACAGGCAAGGAGATGTCTGTGTATGAAGCCTATCGTAAGGGCCTCATTGACCACCAGACTTACCTGGAGCTGTCAGAGCAGGAGTGCGAGTGGGAGGAGATCACCACCTCCTCCTCCGATGGCGTAGTGAAGTCAATGATCATCGACAGGCGCTCGGGGCGCCAGTATGACATCGATGATGCCATTGGCAAGGGTCTGATTGACCAGTCAGCCCTGGACCAGTACCGCTCGGGCACCCTCTCCATCACTGAGTTTGCTGACATGCTCTCTGGCAACATGGGTGGCTTCCGGTCGCGGTCGTCCTCAGTTGGATCCTCCTCCTCCTACACTGTCAGCCCAGCCCTGTCACGGACTCAGATCTCCATGTGGACTGACCCAACCGAAGAGACTGGGCCAGTGGCAGGCATCCTGGACACGGACACTCTGGAGAAGGTGTCCATCACGGAGGCGATGCGCCGCAACCTGGTGGACAACATCACAGGGCAGCGGCTGCTGGAAGCCCAGGCCTGCACCGGGGGCATCATCGACCCCAACACCGGTGACAAATGCACCGTCGCTGATGCGGTCACCAAGGGCCTGGTTGACAAGATCATGGTGGACCGCATCAACCTGGCGCAGAAGGCCTTCTACGGCTTTGAGGACCCGCGGACCAAGACAAAGATGTCGGCGGCGCAGGCCCTGAAGAAGGGCTGGCTGTACTATGAGGCCGGGCAGCGGTTCCTGGAGGTGCAGTACTTGACAGGGGGCCTGATCGAGCCCGATGCCCCAGGCCGTGTCTCCCTGGATGAGGCGCTGCAGAAGGGCACCATTGACGCACGGACTGCCCAGAAGCTGCGGGATGTCAACACCTATTCCAAGTACCTCACCTGCCCCAAGACCAAGCTCAAGATCTCCTACAAGGACGCCATGGACCGGAGCATGATTGAGGATGGGACCGGCCTGCGGCTGCTGGAGGCCTCCTCCCAGTCCAGCAAGGGCTACTACAGTCCCTACAACATCAGCAGCGCCGGCTCCACCTCCGGATCGCGCTCGGGCTCTCGCACCGGCTCCCGCTCAGGCTCCCGGCGCGGAAGCTTCGACGCCACTAGCTCCGGCTTCTCCATGACCTTCTCTTCCTCCTCCTACTCCTCCTCGAGTTTCGGGCGCAGATACACGGGGGGTACCCAGGGCACCATGGAGGAGGCTGCCCTTGCCCTCGCCCTGGCCGCATCCAGAAGCTGCGGGTGGGAGGCGAGCAGGGAGTGCCCCGAGGTGTCTGGGCCCCTGCTCCACGTGGCCTGAGACCTGCCAGCCCCCCGAGGCGCTGCCTCACCCGCTCCGCATGTGGCAACGCTGCTGGCTAATCACTAGTATTTTTTTTAATTTTGAACCTCCACTCTTTTCCCAAAGCAGTGCCTCAAGTTTAACCAAAAAGACAAGACTAATAAATTAATATATGCGAATGTGCTGACAGTGTTTGTATATTAAGAGACAAGAGAGAATACACACTACCCTCCCCACCCTGTGCCCCAGGAGCCGGACACCGTTCCCGCTCCTGGCTGCGCCAATCCTGCCGCTGCTCGCACACGGTGCAGCCGAGCCGGACACCAAGAAAACAGTTCCCCGTTTGGATCTAACCACTTAGCATTCTTTTGTAATTAACCTGCCGGCTTCAGCCCCTGCACCCCAAAGGAGGAGACTGCCTTGGCCCTGTGGTGCACCCCACTGCAACCAACGTGCCAGAGGAGGACATCACCAGCTCCTCGGCACTGGACAACCAGACACACCACACCAGCCCTGAAGCTGCTGCCTGGACCCCTTCCACGCACCCTCAGTGCAGCGAGGAGGGGGCTCTGCACCCCAGCCCCCCGAGCTGCCCCATCTCCCTGCCTTGGCCTCCTGGCACGTCCCCACCACCACGCCGCCGCAGAGCCGGTGCCCTGACCGTAAGTGCCGCGCTGGCGCTGCCCGGTGCTTCCGCGCCATGCGGGGGGACCTGCCTCCGCTCGCCACTTCACCTGCCGAGGGGCTTCGCTGCGTGCCTGCCTCCGCCAGCCCACCCGCTCACCCGTCCTCCGGGACGCGCCCGCCGCGGTCGGCCGGTCTGTCTGTCAGTCTCTGCGTGTATCTGGGAAGTGCTTCTGCTCGAGGTTGATTTCCTCACACTCACGTGGCTCCATGACCCGTTGGCAGGTGTCTGCCAGAGCCCACGCCCCAGCCTGGGTCTGCACAGATCCTGCCCCCAGAACCCCCCAGAGCCATGGGGGTTTTCCTGACCCTCAAAAAAGCCAAGAGGGCCATGGGACCCCTGCAGCACAGGGTGGGCCATGGGATGCTGTAGCAGCCTGGCACACACTCTTGTTAGAAATAGGCAAATTTCTGTAAAAAACATCTTTCTTTTCCTTCTTCGCGGTAATTCCACCCCCCTGGCTCCTCCCCATGCCGGCGCTAATGCGCTCTCTCTCTGGCAGACGTCTTTTTCCAGTCCCAACAAAGACCTCCCAGTGCCGCTGGGCGAGCTCCTGAGCTGGGTCTCCGACATCAGCAGGTCGTGGATGGGCTCGAGGGGAGCCCCAGAGGTGGCAGCTGCTCGGCCGTGCTCACCTGCACAGGTAACACCGACCTCCCCGGTCTGTCCCGGTCCCACAGCAGGTGCGCGGCACTGACGGCCGGGCTTGATGGCTTCATTTCATGGATTGTTCTCCCTGTCTCATCCCATCTTTTCTGTTCGCTTTGTTGTAGCGTGGCTGGATATTCATACCACTTCCCCTCATCGCCGCCGTGGAGCCCGTCCCCCGCCCTGAGGCCGGTGGGACCGCACCTGAGGACACAGGGACGTTCTCCCGCACCCTTTGCACTTGCCAGAGTCCCCTGCCAGAGACTGGGGCCACAGTGGCCGAGCAGCCAGTGGCCCAAGAAGCACCCACAGGGTCACCTGGACCCAACTCGCCCCACACACTCCCTCCTCCCTGGGGATGGCCTCCTGGTGTGGTGTCGGGCTCACTGCGGATCTCCAGAACATCTCCTCCTTCCCCCCTGCTCTCATCTGCCACCTGTAAATCCTGTCATGTTACCCTCCGCCTCTGGTGTCATTATTGCTCTCATGACCCCATTCGGCTTTGCATGAGGTGCCACTGCACGCGGCTCCAGGACAGTCCCCACTCCCAGGGCCCCCCACACCCCAACCATCACTCATCGGGACAGTGGGGGTCCACGGATTACCCAAACACATCTCTTTTTTGGGGAAAAACACTAAACTTGTACATACCACAAAGTGTCTGTAAAAGGAGCAGTGCGGACCCAGGGCTCCCCTGCAAGGGCAGTAAAGGAGAATCCTCTGAAACCAGCCGGCAGCTCTGCGTGGTCTGTTCGCCCCTTGGCCTTGCCACCGTGGCCGTGGGCTCCCATTGCCTCCTGCAGCTTCATGCCACGGGCTCTATGGGCTGCCGCAGGTCGTGGTGAAGTGTGTCGGGGTGCCAGGGGTCTGATCTGGGCCTGGGTGTACCCATGGTGCTGCCAGGCACAGAGCAGGGCCACGGGGTTGTCCCCAGAGCTGCCCCATGCTGGCAGCACAGCTGACACTGCTGTGAGGTCAATGTGGGTGCAGCATTAGACCCCTGGTTTTGGGGAGCGGGTGCTGCTGGTGCCGTGGGGGCTTCGAGCATTGCTTGTACGAGGACAGACCTGTCCCTTCATCAATGGGGCTCTGGACTGGGCAGGGACGCTGTCCTCCATGGCACTGTTCCCACGTGTGCTGCTGCCACTGCCGGTGCTGTGGCCTCTGCCCGGCGTGGGCTGTGCTGTGGGCACTCTCTTTGGGCAGTGGGGGCTGTTGTGGGTGGATGGCAGCGGTCAGCTGTGAGGCTGAGGGGCTTCAGGGGGTTCGGGATGTGATGGCCTGGCAACCGCTGGTAGGACAGCAGCGTTCAGCCTGGCAAACCTGGAGATGTCAGTGCAGCCACTGGCACAGGTGGCTCAAGGGGTCTGTCCAGCCCAGTGAGGCAGGTGCCACTGGGCTCCCTGAGCACAAGAATCATCCCAGAGCAGTGCCAGGAGCCCCAGGCACTGTGCCAGGAGCGCCAGAGCTGTCAGGACCTTGCGGGACCCCTGCGATGTCCAGGGGCTGGTGGGGTCTCAACCGTGCCAGGACCAGCCAAGCATGTCAGCAGCCCCGGGTGGGGCTGGCCGGGACAGATGGCGGTGGCTGGGTAGGACGTTAATTGCTTTGTCCCTCAGCAATTAACCACAGCGTCCGTCTGTCCCCACCGGCAGTGGGATGAGGCCGTTAGGCACAGACAGGCCAGGGGGACTCAGGGGGGTCGCAGGCTGCTGAAGCCATTGGGGGGCTCAGGAGAGGCCCCAGAACAGCAGGACACTCCCCCAGATGACACAAGCTGCTCAGGGCTCTGTCCCACCTGACTGCCCCCCCAGATACTTCCTTGTGTCCCCCAGATGTTCCCTGCTCCCCCAGATATTCCTTGCTTACCTCTCAACTTCCTGACTCATCCCCCAGGGTGAGAAACATCTCCTAAAGCTCATGAGACCACCAAGAGCCCTCTGACCCATGGCCCAGTCCCATGTCATGGCCTGGAAGCCCCTCACCATTCATCCCTCTGACACTGGTGGGGTCCAACTCTGTTTCCCAGTGAGAAAAACCCCTGCTCCCCACATCCATGTGCCAGGGGGGACCCTATTCCCCACACCCCTTCGACCCTGTGCTCCTGGCATGGGGGCCCTCCCTGGTGTGCCTGAGGCAGTGGGATCCCCTCATGGTGGCTGGCAAAGGGGCGCAGGAGGGTGAGGAATGCCCCAGGATCCGGGCTGCCTGCTCCTGGGGTGAGCCAGCCTCTTCCCCTGTCCACTGACACTCTTCATCATCTTGTGTTGCTCTGTGCCACCCCCCTGCCCCACTGATACCCCCTGTCCGTCCCACAGCCCCTTCAGCACCCTGTGCTGGGAGTGACCGCGCCAAGCTCGTCACCATGGAGAACTCCACGCTATTCCCCATTTTAATGCCCTGCATGTCATCCTGCCCGGCTGCTGCGGAGGAGGCTGGAGCTAACCCTCCCCGCCCCCACGAGCTAAACCATCCCTCAGAACCGCGGTGCCTCCCCGGCCGTGGAGGGGTCCCTCGTCCCCCGCCAGCATTTGCCCACCGCCCTTCGGGGCGTGAGTGGCAGCACCGCCCCGTGCTGGCCGTGCTCCGCCGGGTGGGACCTGTCCCGAGCGTGGCCCCGCTGGCACGGAGCAGCTGCCAGCTCCCTGTGCCCACCGCCCCGGGCGCTGCTGGCTCGGCCCCCGCCGCGCCGGGAACGCGCTGTACAGCTCCTCACAAAGCCCGACCGGCCTCTCCCACGCCCTCACCCCTCGCTGGGGCGCTGGACCTCCTCATGGCCAGGGACCCCGAGACCCCCCCGGCCGTGCCGCTGAGGCTCGGCTGTGCCCCGTGTGAAGCGCTGCCGCCTCCGTGCCCCACCGGGCTGAGCCGGGGCCGCTGCCGGCCGGAGCGGTGAATCCCCCGGCCACGGGGCGAGGGGGGATGGTGCTGCCCCAGCGCTGCAGCCGGCACCAGGCAACCCCCAGACCCCAGTCCCAGGGGTGGTGCAGTGCGGGTTCTGCCTCCCTCAGCGGCACCGGGAGCTGCTGCCAGGCAGCTCCAGAGCTGTTTGTTCCGCCTCTCACGCTCCCGGTGCGCGGGCAGCCCGCGGTGTCGGGTCCCCGAGCCGGGGCTGGGGGCGGCTGTGGGACCCTCCCAGGCATGAGGGCACTCAGAGCCCGTTTGGGGTCCGCTGCTCCTCGTGTCTCTTGGCACATCCCGACTGGAGCAGCCGGTGCAGCCGTGCTGGCCCCCTGTCTGGGACGGGCTGGCAGCGACCACTGGAGCTCCAGCTCCATCCCCAGCCCCAGCAGCCCGGGCTGAGCTTGGGCTGGAAGAGCTTTTCCCCGTGCACACGTTATCGTCTGCCCACCTGAGGCAGCATCCTCCACCAGCCTGGTTCCCTGTGCCCAACCTCTGGCAGCAGGGCTGGCATTGTCACACTGCAGTCCTGCCCTGGGATGAGGCCACACAGGATCAGGGACCACCGGCGTGGGGCAGGAGGGCTGTGGGACTACCTGTGGCTGCACTGGAGCTGCCACGACCCCATGAGCCATGGTGGACCCCGCTGTGCCATCCTGCTCCCTCCCTGGACACTGACCTGGCCCTGGGCAGGGGGAAGCAAGGCGCTGCTGGTGGCTTTTCCAGCTGGTGGGTGGCACTGCTGCCAGTGCTGGGGCAGGTGCCCACACTGTGGGTGCGTGGGGTGCCTGGGGCCCTGCTGATGGCATCGTGACAGCAGTGTCTGCTGTGAGCACACGTCCCCAGTGTCCCCGATACGGGACTGAGCCCTGCTGGCACTCCGACCACGAGGAACTGCTGCAGCACCAGCACCCAGCACCTGCCTGATACCTCTTCCAGGGAGTTCCCAGCTGCTGCTGGTGCGGTCCCTGACCAGACCTTGGCTGAGGTTCCTTCTGAGCAGACATACCCCAGGCCCTCCCAGCCCCCTTGTGCTGCAGCTCCTGCTCAGCTGCCGTGTGTCACCTTCCCCAGGTCCATCCATGGCAGCAGTGCCCCATCCCTCCTGCACCACAGGGGTTTTATCTCCCGTTTATCCAGCCCACATTCCCTGGCTGTTTCCCCTGGTACAACATCTTGGAGATGTGGTTGTGTCCTTGCTTAGGTCTTGGGCCCATCACCATCATCGTGGCATCGCTGTGGCTGTGCCCCATTTCCCTCACAGGGGTGTCTCCCCTCCTTGTGCTCAGCCAGGTGACCTGGCTTAATTAATCAGGGTTAGCAACCAGTTAATTACAGTGCTCCCGGGCTGTGGGAGCAGCATCACCCTCAGCCTTTGGGTGCAGGCTTGTTGTGATCCCTGCTGCCAGTCCCACTCTCCACTGGGGCACAAAGCAACTGCTGCCTGTCCATGCCTCGTGTCTGTGCCAGGGCCCTGCTGCTTTGTAGATCTTGTGTTTGCCTGGCATCTTCTCCCATGTGTTGTGGCAAAGGGGCTGCACTTGCAGCACCTGAGGAGCATCTGGTCTGAGCCACCACTGCCCCGTGCCAGAGCAGGGGGTTTTCCATGGGCCAGTTGCTAATTTGTTGCTGGGGGTCAGTTTGCCATGGCTTGGTTTGGGCTCAGCCAGGGGCTGGAGCACGGCTCTGCAGTGCCCAGAGCAGGTGAAGGGACACTGGGGAGCAGAGGCAGCAGGGTGAGATCTGGGAGTGATCCCAGCTGAAAAAGGTTGGGAAATTGAGGTGGGAAATTGAGGTGCACCACAGGAATTCAGAGGAGCTGAAGCCAAGCCCAAACCTGCAGGTGCTGGAACACAGGACAGAGGGGGGATCCTGGCCAGGGGAGCTCTGTCCCAGCTGGTGGGAATGTGCTGTCCCTGGGGAGACACAGCAACGCTCCACACCCCCACGCTGTGGAGCCACGTCCCCTGCCCGTGTGCCAGGACCTGGTGTGCTGTGCCCACCGTGCCTCTGCTCTCCCTGCAGGTGCACCACGCCGCAGGAGACGCCGGGCTCACCGGAGATGGCGTGGAGGGGTCACCGTGGGGCAGGGAGGAGATGGAGAGGTACGGGCACGGCCAGATGGGCCGTGCCGAGAGCCGCGGGCGTGCCCGGGTGTCCCCACCTTGACGGGGGAGCTGCTGAACCCTTCTTGGCAGTCTGGGGTGGGGAGAGAGAGGGCTGGCTGTGCTGGGGAGAGCAGGGTGGGAGTGAGCACAGCCCTGAGCGCAGGTGTGACAGCAAGCCCGGAGTTCAGGGCGGGGACAGTGGCCGTGTCCCCCACAGCCTGGTGTGTCTCTGCTCTCTCCCCAGAGCCTGTCTGCGCTCCGAGCAGAGGCTGGAGGTGCAGGAGCAGCTGCTCGCCCTGCGGCACTGGCTGGACGCCGTAGAGAAGCGGCTGCTGGCACTGCCAGAGCCCGGCACGGCCCTGCAGGTAACGTCCGGCCCTGGGTGGTGACTGGGCCGTGCAGAGCCGGGCAGGACCAGCCCACGTCTGCACCGAGGCTGGTGAGGTCTTGGTCCTTGCAAGGGAGGAGGGCATCTGCCCACAGCTGGCTGGGACACCCCTCAGCTCAGCCCTGAAGCTGTCCGGGTCAGGTCTCTGTGCCCCGCTCCCTCTCCCCAACCTGAGGGTGCTGCTGCCTTGGAGCCCCATGGCCCTGGCAGTCCTTGCAAGGGAGGAGGGCATCTGCCCACAGCTGGCTGGGACACCCCTCAGCTCAGCCCTGAAGCTGTCCGGGTCAGGTCTCTGTGCCCCGCTCCCTCTCCCCAACCCGAGGGTGCTGCTGCCTTGAAGCCCCGTGGCCCTGGCGGTACTCAGGGTGCCACTGCCTTGGAGCCCTGCTGGCCACAGGGCCACCACCTGCACCGTGTCCAGCCACAGCTCGTGGCATTGTCACCCGGGCACGGGGAGAGTGGCCAAACACCAGGGGTGTACAGCCGGGCACAGGAGGTGTGAGGCTGTGCACAGGGGGTTGAGGTTGTGTGAGGGGTGTACAGCCAGGCACAGGGGTGTGTGGCTGTACATGGGGTGTACAGCCGGGCACAGGAGGTGTGAGGCTGTGCACAGAGTGTAGAGCCAGGCACAAGGGGTGTGAGGCTGTGTGAGAGGTGTACAGCCAGGCACAGGAGGTGTACAGCTGGGCACAGGAGGTGTACAGCCGGGCACAGGAGGTTTGAGGCTGTGTGAGGGGTGTAGAGCCAGGCTGCCCACAGCTGGCTGGGACACCCCTCAGCTCAGCCCTGAAGCTGTCCGGGTCAGGTCTCTGTGCCCCGCTCCCTCTCCCCAACCCGAGGGTGCTGCTGCCTTGAAGCCCCGTGGCCCTGGCGGTACTCAGGGTGCCACTGCCTTGGAGCCCTGCTGGCCACAGGGCCACCACCTGCACCGTGTCCAGCCACAGCTCGTGGCATTGTCACCTGGGCACGGGGAGAGTGGCCAAACACCAGGGGTGTACAGCCGGGCACAGGAGGTGTGAGGCTGTGCACAGGGGGTTGAGGTTGTGTGAGGGGTGTACAGCCAGGCACAGGGGCGTGTGGCTGTACATGGGGTGTGCAGCCGGGCACAGGAGGTGTGAGGCTGTGCACAGAGTGTAGAGCCAGGCACAAGGGGTGTGAGGCTGTGTGAGAGGTGTACAGCCAGGCACAGGAGGTGTACAGCTGGGCACAGGAGGTGTACAGGTGTGCACAGGGGTGTGTGTGTCTGTGCACAGGGTGTAGAGCCGGGCACAGGGGTGTGAGGTTGTGTACAGGCGGTGTGAGGCTGTGTGAGGGGTACACAACTGGGCACAGGAGGTGTACAGCTGGGCACAGGAGGTGTACAGCCGGGCACAGGAGGTGAGTGGCTGTGTGAGGGGTGTACAGCCAGGCACAGAGGGTGTACAGCTGGGCACAGGAGGTGTACAGCCGGGCACAGGAGGTGAGTGGCTGTGTGAGGGGTGTACAGCCAGGCACAGAGGGTGTACAGCTGGGCACAGGAGGTGTACAGCCGGGCACAGGAGGTGAGTGGCTGTGTGAGGGGTGTACAGCCAGGCACAGAGGGTGTACAGCTGGGCACAGGAGGTGTACAGGTGTGCACAGGGGTGTGTGTGTCTGTGCACAGGGTGTAGAGCCGGGCACAGGGGTGTGAGGTTGTGTACAGGCGGTGTGAGGCTGTGTGAGGGGTACACAACTGGGCACAGGAGGTGTACAGCTGGGCACAGGAAGTGTGAGGCTGTGCACAGGGTGTAGAGCTGGGTACAGGGAGTGTGAGGCTGTGTGAGGGGTGTACAGCCGGGCACAGGGGGTGTACAGCTGGGCAGAGGAGGTGTACAGCTGGGCACAGGGAGTGTGCAGGTGTGCACAGGGGATGTGAGGGGTGTAGAGCCAGGCACAGGAGGTGAGTGGCTGTGTGAGGGGTGTACAGCCAGGCACAGAGGGTGTACAGCTGGGCACAGGAGGTGTACAGCCGGGCACAGGAGGTGAGTGGCTGTGTGAGGGGTGTACAGCCAGGCACAGGAAGTGTGCAGGTGTGCACAGGGGGTGTGAGGCTGTGCACAGTGTGTACAGCCAGGCACAGGGGTGTGATGCTGTGTGAGGGGTGTACAGCTGTGCACAGGGGGTGTGCGGCTGTGCATGGGGTGTACAGCCAGGCACAGGGAGTGTGAGGCTGTGTGAGGGGTGTACAGCCACAGACAGGGGGTTGAGGCTGTGTGAGGGGTGTACAGCTGGGCACAGGAGGTGTGTGGCTGTGCACAGGGGGTGTGCGGGTGTGCATGGGGTGTACAGCCAGGCACAGAGGGTGTACAGCCAGGCACAGGGAGTGTGAGGCTGTGTGAGGGGTGTACAGCCAGGCACAGGGGCTGTGCCCCTGCCAGGGCAGGTCGGGTGTGTGCCCCGCACTGCCTGCGAGGCCGTGCGCTGCCGTGCCCCTTGCCCAGGCGTGGAGCCGCAGCGGGAGCAGCGCAGTGGGGGCTGCCGGCAGCCCCCTCCTCGCCGCCCCTCGCCGGCTCCTTTTGTTCCAGGCCTGGCCGGCACACGGGCTCCCTCGGCACACATGACGGCACAAACTGAAAGGGCCATTCATCCCGGCCCCGGCGCAGACAAAGCCGAGGCCGCACAGAAACCCACCCGGCTCCCGGGATCTGAGGCTGTGGATTCCAGCCGACCGCTCCCGCCCGGTGCCCCGCGCCGGGCTCCCCTGCCCGGGGCACCCGTGCCACCCCGAGCCCGGTACCTGGGGCTGCGGAGCGTGCCGGGCGAGCTGCCGGCGGGCGTGCGGGACGGAGGTGGCGAGTGGCTCTGGGGGAAGAGCTGGATCCTCACCCCCGGCCCAGCCTCTGCCCCGCTGGGCGCTGAGGGGTGCCTGGAGTGCCGCGGGGCTCAGAGCCCGCTGGGTGCCCAGCACCTCGGTGCCAGCAGCGGAAGGCTCCAGAGCCGTGTGGGGAGCACGATGCCGAGCGGCTGCAGGACGGTGCGGAGCCACCGAGGCCCTGGCAGATGCTAATTCCCGGCAGCGTCTCTGGCAGCAGACAAAGCCCCCGGCCCCGCCGCCCGCCGCTCCCAGGAGACCCCAGGGAGCCCCATCCATCAGCGTGGCCGACGCGCCTGCAGCGGCCCCCCGGCTCCCGGGGCCCAGCAAGGGGCACCCATGCGGCTCTGGGGGGCAGGATCCAGCCCTGGGGGGCTCTCAGTGGCTGGGAGGCTGAGCCAGGGCAGGATGGGGACGGGGCTCACACCACGGGCAGGAGCAGCCCCCGGCTGGGCACCTCCGGCTGCCCCCTGGTCCCTCCAGCACCCAGGGTGGCAGCGAGGGGGTTCTGGAGACCCAGGGTGGGCTTCAGTTTAGCATCTTAGCAGCCCGGCCTGCTCCCCCCGCCAAACCCAGCCCAGCCCAGCCCTGCTCCACTGAACCCCCCGGGCCCCTGGCTGAGGGGTCCCCGCACCCATAGAGCCCCAGGGAGCGGGGCCAAGCCCCTCAGTGGCCACAGCAGCCGCTGCCCGGGGGGACAGAGCTAGGGTGGGGGCTGCAACCGCCGAGCGGGAGGGGCCGTGGGGCTGTGGCACCGTGGGGCTGTGACACCGTGGGGCTGTGCTGTCCTGGGGCTCGGTGCGAGGCAGCACAGCCGGGGTTGGGTCCGGCGCAGGTGCCGGTGCCGGTGTCGGTGTGGTTGCCGGTACCGGAGCAGGTGCCGGTGCAGGTGCAGGGCAGCAGCAGGTGCCGGTGAGAGCGCGGTGCCGGAGCAGGTGCCGGTGTTAGTGCCGGTGCTGGTGTCGGCACAGGTGCCGGGGCCACTGCGAGGTGCGGGCAGTCGCCCCCCCGGGCGGCGCGGGGCGGGCGGTGGGCCGGCACCGCCCCTCCCCCGCGGGATGGCTGCGGGGCCCCGGGGGTTTCCCCGGTAACGGCGGCGATCGGCTCCCGGAGGGTTAAAGGGGGGCGGCGGTGTGTCCGGGGTCAGTCCAGCCTCGCCGGGCCGCTGCCGGTGCGGGGCTCTCCGCCCGGTGCCCCCCGCGCTCCTCCCGAGCCGCGGGCGCGCCGCACAAAGGCGGCGGGGCCGGGGCGGCGGTAACGGGGACCGGCTCTCCCCCCGCTGCCTCCGCCCCGCTCCCCCGCACAGGCCGGGCCCCCCCGGAGCGGTAACGGCGGCGGCGGCGCCCCCGGCCCGGCCCCATGGACGCCCGGAGTCGCCGAGGGGTGAGTGCGGGGCGGGGGCTCTCCGGGGCGGCGGCGTGCGCGGGGCCGGGCGGGGTCCGTGTCCCGCAGCCCCCCGGGGCGGGGGGCGCGGGCCGGGGTCTCCCCAGGTCACCCCGCACCGTGGCCCACCCACCCGCGCAGCCCCCAGACAGGCGGAGGGGTGAGGGGGGGTCGCGGTGGGGTGGGAGCGTGATGCCCCGCGGGGCTGCACCCACCAGGGTGGCGCGTCGGGACCCCCCCGTGGGTGCGTGTGGCGTGACCGCGCACGGGGGTAGTGCCCCACGGCGTGTTGGGCCGAGCTGGGGGGCTCAGGGTACCCACGGTAGCCCGGTACCCACGCCAGGGGCACGGCCACGGTGGGTGCGTGCTCCCCACGCGTGTGCGGGGCTGCTACAGGTGTGTTTCATGTCACGGCTGGTGCAGGCGTGGGGGTCCTGCCGCGGATCCCCTCACCCTGAGCAGGGGTGCGAGCTTGGGGTGTGCCTGTGGGGGGGTGTGCACACTGTGGGAGGGAGTGAGTGAGTGAGTGTGTTTGCACACGTGTGTGGCGTGTGCGTGTGTTTGCACACGTGTGTTTGTGTGTACACACGTGCGCAGGGGCGTGTGCCCGGGGCCGGGGGTGAGGCCGGGGGTAGCAGCACTGGGGGGGGGGGGGGGGGGGGCGGCGGGGGGAGGGTCTTGCCGGGTCACGCCGGGGATTTATGGCTGCGGCAGGGCTGGCAGGCTGGGGAGGCCACCTGCCCGTCCCCCGCTTGGTGCCCCCGTCCCCCCGGGCAGATGCTCCTCTCTCGCGGCTCCTCGTTAATCCAACGGCACAGGGCGATGCCGGGCGGGAGCATCTGCCTCTCCCCAGTGCCTGGCGCTGCTGCCACTGCCGCGACGCATAGGACAGGCACCCTGCGCACTGCCAGGGGTCCCTCAGGGTCCCCTCCCTCTGCCAGGCCCCAGTGACGGCCAGTGTCCCATCTCGCTGTCGCAGTACCCTGGATTTTGGCAGTCCTTTACTGGGGGGGCCAGGACCCTCAAGACCGGAGCGCGAGGTCAGGCAGCGCCGTGGAGTGAGGGGGTCGAGCCCAGCACAGCCCGGCGGCACCTGGGGGTCCCGCGGTGGCCCCGGTAACGCGCATCCCCTGGCTCGTTGCAGGCCGGGATTTGAGGCGGGGGCTCGGCGCCCGCGCCATGGGGAACTCGGTGAGTCGGCCCAGCTGCCTGGGCGAGAAGAGCCGGCGGCCGGAGGAGCTCCTGAGGGAGCCGGGGCTGGACGCGGGGCAGCCATCCGCAGGAGGCATCGCGGAGGCCTGGCCCGAGCCGCTGGAGAAGGCGCCGGTGCCGGTGGAGAATGGCTGGAGCCCGGTGCCCGGCGCCGCGCGGAGCCGGCCGGGCAGCCCGGTGCTGAGGCGCAGCCAGTCCGAGGTGGCGGTGCAGAACGGGGGTGCAGCTGCGGTGAGGGGGCAGGTGGGGGGCGCAGCCTGGACGCCCCCCCGGGCCAGCGTTCCCCGCGGCACCTGGTCCTGGAAACCCGTCACCACCCGGGAGGTGACGGAGGTGACGGAGGTGACCGAGACCATCGTGACAGAGATCGTGGAGGTGACCGAGTACCCGGCGGGTGAGAAGGGTGGCGAGCCCGTGGTCACCCGGACGGTCACCGTGCTGACGGAGTGCGTGGGGGAGCTCACTGCTGCTGGCTGCGCCGGACTCACGGACGCCACCGAGGTGACTGACGGACGGAGAGCCTTGCTGGGAGGACCCTGTGCCACAGGGCTGCCCTCCAGCATGGTTTTCTCCACAGTGAGCCTTGAACTTGGGCTCGTGTGGAGTCGCTGTCTGTGCCCTGGTGTGGGCTGGGCCGGTGGCACCGCTCCTGCTGGGCGCCCAGCCTGGTGCTCTAGGACAGGGAGCTCCCTTCCCTCAGCTCTGCCTGGAGGGGCCGTGGGTCCGGAGGGATCCAAACGGCACCGGGTGTGCAGCCCCTGCCTTGGGATGCCCTGCAAAGAATGCCAGGCAGGACCCCAGGGGCTGGACAGGGTCCCAGTGTCACCAGTGTCACGTCAGGCAGAGGGCATAGTGTGGGGGCTGCTGCCCAGCCCCGTGGCTGCCCTCCACCTGCCCACACGGGCGGCTCAGCCACCTCTCCCCACAGGTGTCCTCACGGGCTGTCCCCGTCCCAGAGGAGGCAGCGGAGCGGGGCCAGGAGACGCTGGAGCGGCTGCTGGCCTGGGTGGCCGACATGGAGGAGTTGGTGAGCAACCAGAAGCTGCCGTCAGCGGAGGCGAAGGTGGTGAAGGCGCAGCTGGAGGAGCAGAAGGTCAGCAGGGCCAGCCGGCGTGTCCCGCCCACGCGTGCCCCGTGCTGGGATTAGGGGGCCGGGGTCTGAGCCCAGGGCTGTGCCGAGGTGGGAGGGGTGCACAGGAGTCCCCAGCGTGGTGTCCCCTGTCCCTGCAGCTCCTGAAGCGCCTGCTGGAGGAACGGAGGCCGCGTGTGGAGCTCGTCCTGCAGGACAAACTGACGGCACAGGGCTCGGGCACAGCCGAGGGCAGTGCCGACCTCTTCAGCCTCGGGGAGAGGTGGGACAAGCTGATGCAGGAGGCTGAAGCCAGGTGGGTCAGGGGCCAGGCCCTCATCCCTGGACTGCATCCCCACCCCGCTGGCACAGGCTCTGCCCTCTGGTGTCCCCCACACAGAGTCTCTGTGACACCCTGATGTCCCTGTGCTCTGCTCCACTGGCACTGGGGTCACCATGATGGAGGGACTGTCCCCATCACATGTGCTGGGGCTGCACAGGAGCCAAGTGGCATGGGCACCCTGGGTGTGGGGGAGAGGGGGCTTTGCTGGCCCAGGGACTGTCACTGCCCAGCTCACCCAGCCTCCCCACACAGGTACAGCTGCCTGGAGCGGATCCTGCCGGCAGCCCAGGGCTTCCAGGAGGCCGTGGACGCCTTCCAGGAGTGGCTCAGTGCCACAGAGCGGCAGCTGGCCCAGCTCTGGCGTGCTGATGGCTGTGTTGGCCGCGTGCAGGATGCCCACCAGCAGACCCAGGTGGGCACAGGTTGGGCACTGGGTGGGCACAGGGTGGACACGGGCACCTGTGTCATCACTGGTCACTGCTGCAGGCCCTCTGTGAGGAGATCCGTGGGCGGCTGGGAGAGCTGGATGGCGCCCTGGAGAGCGGGCAGCGTGTCCTGGAGCTGGTGACAGGTGAGTGGCAATGGCTGGGAGTGGTGGCCACAGGGTCAGGACCACAGGACTTGGGATGGGATGAGCACAGACAGCAGCCCTGGGAGTCGTGGCGTGGTGAGAGGGAGGAGAGAGCATCCCAGGGGATGCAGAGGGGATGGGGCAGAGCCTGTGGGTCAGAGCTGTGGTGGGACAGGGTTCAATGGCGAGGTGGGTCTTGCTGGCAGAGGGATGAGAGGCCAGAGCTGGGTCTGGGAGCAGGAGGAGCAGGGGTAGGAGAGGGGAAATGTCAGGACAGAGTGATTGTCACATGGCTGGAAGCTGTTGGTGTGGCCAGTTCCACGTCCAGGGGTGCCAGTGCGGTGGCACTGATGGCGGTGTCACGCTGCCACAGGGGAGGAGGCCCAGCTGACACAGGAGAAGATGGAGTCACTGAGGATGCGGTACCTCATCGCGGGCCAGAGCAGCGCTGACACCGCTCACCGGCTGGGACAGACCCTGGAGGCCTCGTCTCACCTGGGCACGGCCCCTGAGGACCTGGCACTGTGGCTGAGCCGCATGGAGAAGGAGCTGGGCGAGCGGGAGAGCCAGCAGGATGGCCAGGAGCCCTCAGTCACTGCCAGTGACAGGGAGAAGGTGTGGGACACTGGCCTCCCCGAGCCCCTCACCATTCCCAGCGTGGGTCCTGGTGCATTCACACCCTCCCTGGCTGACGTCTGTCTGTCTGCTGCAGTTTGAGCAGGTCCTGGAGTCCCAGCTCAGCCGTGTGGCCGGGCTGGGTGAGCGGCTGGAGGAGATCGGCCGCGTGCAGCTGGATGCTGAGGCTCTCCGCTCGCAGCTCTCTGAGCAGAAGGTGGGTCTGCAGTGGTGCACAGGGGTCCCGCGGGCACTGACTTGGCATCCCCATCCCGCCGGCTCCTGCCAGGACCTGGCACCCACCTGTGGCTCCATTCCAGCTGCTCTCCGCCGAGATCCTGCATTGCCGGGGCCTGGTTGAGCGTCTGCTGGGGTTCTCGGAGCCGCTGCTGCGCTGCTGCCCCGAGCCCCTGCAGGAGCGCCTTCAGGTGAGCTGGGAGGGTGCCAGGGGGACACTGCCAGCACCCAGGGATGGCTGTGCCCTGTGTCCCTGGCCAGGCAGTGACTCCCCGTCCCCGCAGCCGTCGGTGCAGGCGCTGCGGGAACGCACGGAGCAGCTGTCCCTGCGCAGTGGCGCCTGTGCCGTGCAGCTGGAGCACGCCCAGACCCTGCTCACCCAGTTCTCCGAGGCCCTCGAGGAGCTGCTGCCCTGGCTGGAGGAGACGCAGGCCCTGGGGGTGCAGCTCTCGCCCAACGCCATCAGCTACGAGGCCTTCAAGGAGCAGCAGGCGCTGCTGCAGGTGTGGGCAGGGGCAAAAGGGACTCGCTCAGCCACCCCAAGGTGGGAGTGGAGACATGACGGGATGGGGGTGGAACTGCCATGGGGACCATCAGGCTGGGACACCCAGCGAACAGGAGTCCTCCAGGAGCAGCACCAGGGGCACCCCGTGGGGTGAATCCCAGGGGGCACATCCCACCCCAATGCACCCCCACGGCTCTTCCCCGCTGCCAGAGCCTGCGGGAGGCCATCGCCGAGCACCGGCCACTGGTGGGGAAGCTGCAGCGCGTGTCAGCACAGCTGCTGGAGCTGAGCCCCGAGCAGGGAGCCCCATTCCAGCGGCACTGGCAGGAGGTGGAGGAGCAGTACGGCCACATCCGCGAGCGCGTGCGCCAGGCAGCGGCTCTGCTGGAGGATGCCCTGCCGCGATACAGCCAGGTATGAGGCTGGCACTGCCCTGGTGGGGCATCCCCGGGGCCGTACCGTGGAGTCACCGGGCTGGTCCGCAGCTGTCGGAGCGCATGGATCTGCTGCTGGAGTGCCTGGAGCGGCTGCAGAGCCGGCTGCAGAGCCAGCCCCCCGTCCGCGGCGACGCGGCGCACTTGAGGGAGCAGATCCGGGAGAACAGCCTGGCCCTGGGCGAGCTGGAGAAGCTCGGGGTGGCCCTGGAGGGCATCAGTGCACAGGGCGAGGAGCTGCTGGCCACCGTGCAGGCGGTCAGCTCCGAGGCCGCGGACAGAGGTACCGGCACGGAGGGGTGGGCACGGCCAGGCTGGCAGGCGATCCGTGTCCCTGTCAGGGCCGTGTGGGGCTGCTGGGGCCTTCACAGCCCCCTGATCCCTGACCCGCTGTGCCCCACAGGGATCCAGGAGCGCATGGCGCAGCTGCTGGCACAGTGGGGCTGCCTGCGCGGCCGCTGCCAGGAGCAGGAGCGCTGGCTTCGGGAGCTGCTGGCGCTGGCCGAGCGCTTCTGGCACGGCCTGTCCGAGCTGGCCGTGGCGCTCAGTGACACCCAGCAGCTGGTGCTGGGGCTGGAGGAGGCCGGCGGCGAGCCCGAGGCCATCCGCACGCGGCTGCGCACCATGCAGGTGCGGCGGGGCAGGGCCTTGGTGGGCAGTGCCCTGGGCAGCCCCTGGTGTGGGCAGTGCCCTGGGCAGCCCCTGGCGTGGGCAGTGCCCTGGGCAGCCCCCGGTGTGGGCAGTGCCCTGGGCAGCCCCTGGTGTGGGCAGTGCCCTGGGCAGCCCCTGGCGTGGGCAGTGCCCTGGGCAGCCCCCGGTGTGGGCAGTGCCCTGGGCAGCCCCTGGTGTGGGCAGTGCCCTGGGCAGCCCCTGGTGTGGGCAGTGCCCTGGGCAGCCCCCGGTGTGGGCAGCCCTGAGCCCCGTGCCCTGCACAGGCACTCCGGGAGGAGATCGACGCGCTGCAGGGTGAGCTGGACACGCTGGGCAGCCTGGGAGTGGAGCTGATGGCATCCTGCGGGGACCCCGACAAGCCCGATGTCACCAAGAGCCTGGATGATGTGAGCGTCCCTGGGGCTGTGTTCAGGGAGGGACACATCCTGGGGGTGTGGGGATGCTGCCTGTGGGGGTGGCGTGTCCCCGATCCCCTGCACCCCAGACTCCCACACAACTCCTCTGGTGTCTCCAGGCCTGGGTGTCCCTGTGGTGCCACCCCTGTGCCCCGGCCACCTCCCTGGCACTAGTGACCTGCTCACCCTGTCCCCCCGCGGCACTGCTGACCCCCGTGCCCTGTCCACCCTGTCCCCCACATCCCGTCCCCCTGCGCCACCACTGACCCCCGTGCCCGGCCGCAGCTCTACTCCTCCTGGCACAGCCTGAGCCGCGTGTGGACGGAGCGGAACGGGCGCCTCGAGGAGCAGCTCCAGGCCGCCCTCAGCTACCAGGACACCATGCAGGTGGGTGCAGGGACCCTCAGGCATTTCCCCCACGGCAGATCCCCCTCCTGTCCCGCTCAGGGCTCTGAGGGACCATGGGGCCATCATGGGGCCCCCCAACCCCGCGTGCTCCCTGTCCCCAGCGGCTGCTGGAGTGGCTGGACGCCGCCGAGCTGCGCATCGCCGAGGAGTTCCTGGTGGGCGGGGACCTGGACATGGTGCAGCAGCAGCTGGCAGAGCTCAAGGTACCGTGATGTGCCGTGCCAAACCGTGCTGTGCCAGGCCGGGCTGTGCCACACCAAACTGTGCTGTGCCATGCCAAACCGTGCTGTGCTGGGCTGTGCTGGGCTGCACCAAACCGTGCTGTGCCATGCCAAACCATGCTGTGCCATGCCATGCCATGCCATGCCCTGATCCCATGGGGCCAGCAGGAGCAGGGAGGGCAGTGGTGGCACGGGTTGGGCAGTGCCGGTGCCCCAGTGTTCTGGGTAGCCCAGTCCTGCCTGGCGTGGCCCAGCCCTGTCCCCCACGAGTCCCTGAGGGCGCTGGGCACCCCCAGAGGAGCAGCTCAGGGCCCGGGTGCCCGTGCTGCGCCGCGGGGTCAGGCGGACCCTGCCACCAGCCAGTGCCACCCGCAGGAGTTCAAGCGGGAGCTGTACCAGTGCAAGGTGGATGTGGAGAGCCTGCGGCACCAGGGGGGCGCGGGGCACGGGGACCCCCCGGCCGCGCTCAGCGACTTCCGCCAGCGCTGGGACCACCTGGAGGAGGAGATCGTCAGCCGCCAGGTGGGGAGGGGGCACGGGGGGCACAGGGCACGGCTGGCAGGACAGGCGGGGTGCCATGAGTGTGCTGGGTGGGCACGTCCTCTGCTGCTGGGTCAGCGTGGGGGGTTCCAAGTGGGCACTGGGTGGGCAGTGGTGAGTGCCCAGGGCCGGGTGGGCATTGGGTGGGCACTGGCTGGTGCCCAGGGCCTTGTGGGCACTGAGTGGGTTCAAAGGGCTGTGTGGACATTGGGTGGGCACTGGGTGGGTGCACAGGGCTGGGTGGGCACTGGGTGGGTGCCCGGGACTCTATGGGCACTGGGTGGGCACTGGGTGGCTGCTCAGGGCCATGTGGGCACTGGGTGGGTGCCTGGGGCTGTGTGGGCATGGGGTGGGCACTGGGTGGGTGCTGGGTGCTTTGTGGGTGCCCAGGGCTGCGTGGGTTCTGGGTGGGTTCCCGGGGCTGGGTGGGCACTGGTTGGGCACTGGATGGGTTCACAGGGTTGTGTGGACATTGGGTGGGCACTGGGTGGATGCACAGGGCTGTGTGGACACTGTGTAGGCATTGGGTGGGTGCCCAGGGCCGTGTGCGCACTGGGTGGGCACTAGGTGGGCACTGGGTGGGTGCCAGGTGCTCTATGGGTGTTGGGTGGCCACTGGGATGGGCACTGGGTAGGTGCCCAGGGCTGTGTGGGTGCTGGGTGGGTTCCTGGGGCTCTGTGGGCACTGGTTGGGCACTGGGTGGGTGCACAGGGCTGTGTGGCTCTGTGTGGGCACTGGGTGGGTTCCCGGGGCTCTGTGGGCACTAGTTGGCTACTGGGTGGGCACTGGGTGGGTGTCCATGGCTCTGTGGGCACTGGGTGGGCACTGGATGGGTGCACAGGGCTGGGTGGGCATTGGGTGGACACTAGATGGGCACTAGGTGGGCAATGGGTGGGTGCCAGGTGCTCTGTGGGTGCTGGGTGGCCACTGGGTGGGCACTGGGGGGGTGCCAGGTTCTCTGTGGGTGCCCAGAGCTGTGTGGGCACTGGGTGGGCACTGGGTGGGTGCCCAGGGCTGTGTGAGTGCTGGGTGGACACTGGGTGGGTGCCGGGTGCTCTGTGCATGCCCAGGGCTGTGTGGGCACTGGGTGGGCGTTAGGTGGGTTCACAGAGCTGTGTGGGCACTGGGTGGGTGTCCAGGGCTGCGTGGGTGCTGGGTGGGTTCCCGGGGCTCTGTGGGCACTAGTTGGCCACTGGGTGGGCACTGGGTGGGTGCACAACGCTGTGTGGGCACTGGGTGGGCACTGGGTGGGTTCCCGGGGCTCTGTGGGCACTAGTTGGCTACTGGGTGGGCACTGGGTGGGTGCACAGGGCTGGGTGGGCAGTGGGTGGGTGCCGGATTCTCTGTGGGTGCTGGGTGGGCACTGGCTGGGCACCGGGTGCTCTGTGTGTGCCCGGGGCCGTGTGCACTGCCCTTTCCTCCCCCGACACCGCTCTCCCTGCGGCAGCACCAGCTGGAGGCGGCGCTGCTGGGGCTGGGGCAGTTCCAGCACCAGCTGGCCGAGCTGCTGCAGTGGCTGAGCCGCACCGCGGAGCAGCTGCGCAGCCCCGCGCCCCTGCGGCCCGACCTGCAGAGCTGCGAGATCGAGCTGGCCAAGCACAAGGTGAGGCTGCGGGGGCCGGGGGGCACCGCCACGGTCACACTGCCGGGGGGGCGTCCTGGCCATGGTGGCACCACAGGGTGGGGGTCCTGGGGGTCCTGACCATGGTGGCACCCCAAGGTGGGTGTCCTGGCCGTAGTGGCACCCCAGGGTGGGGGTCCTGGGGGTCCTGGCCGTGGTGACACCCCAGGGTGGGGGTCCTGGGAGTCCTGGCTGTGGTGACACCCCAGGATGTGTGTCCTGGCCGTAGTGGCACCCCAGGGTGGGGGTCCTGGGGGTCCTGGCCATGGTGGCACTCCAGGGTGGGTGTCCTGGCCGTAGTGGCACCTCAGGGTGGGTGTCCTGTTCATGGTGGCACCCCAGGGTGAGTGTTCTGGGGGTCCTGGCCGTGGTGGCACGCCAGGGTGGGTGTCCTGGATGAGGTGGCACCCCAGGGTGGGTGTCCTGGATGAGGTGGCACCCCAAGGTGGGTGTCCTGGCCACAGGGCACCCCAGGGTGGGTGTTCTTGCTGTGCTGGCACCCCAGGGCGGGTGCCTGTCCATGGTGGCACTCAGAGGTGGGTCCTGGCAGTGGTGTCACCCCAGGGTGGGTGTCCTGTCCATGGTGGCACCCCAAGGTGGGTGTCCCACCTGTGCTGGCACTCCAGGGTGGGTGCCCTGGCCACAGGCTGCTGCCTGGCCCCTCCCCGTGTGCTGCCTCAGCAGGGCCGGGCAGGCTGCAGAGCGGGACGCGTCCCCTCCCGCAGTGACACCACGGGAGGAATGAGCTGTCCCGTGCCACAGCCCCTTGCCCGGGCACGCTCCTGACGTGCCTGACGCGGGCGAGGCTGCGAGGGCCGGGCTGTCCCCAGGCTGGGGGGGCCGTGCAAGGGGTACCTGTCCCCTCTGCGCCTGTCCCGGCCACCCTGCTGCCACAAATCTGCAAATCCTGTGCCTCGGCCCTGCCCCGCACCCTGATTTTCACCCTGTGCCTCGGCCATGCCCCGCACCCTGATTTTCACCCTGTGCTCAGCTCTGGGGAGACCACACCTCCAGTGCTGTGTCCAGCTCTGGCCCCTCAGTTTGGAAAGGACGTTGGGATCCTTGAGTGCATCCAGAGGAGGGCAGCGAGGTGGTGAGGGGCTTGGAACAGCAGCCCTGCGAGGAACTTTTGAAGGAATTGGGGGTGTTTAGCCTGGAGAAGAGGAGGCTTAGAGGTGACCTTATTCTCTCTACAGCTTCCTGAAGGGAGGATTTAGACAGCTGGGGGTCGGTCCCTTCCACAGGGCAGCACTGACAGAACCAGAGAACACAGTCTCAGCTATGTCAGGGAAGGCAGAGGCTGGATATTAGGAAAAAGTTTTTCACAGAAAGAATAATAAAGCACTGGAATGCTCTTCCCAGGGAGGTGGTGGAATCAGCATCTCTGGATGTGTTTAAAAAAAGACTGGACATGGCACTTGGTGCTATGGTCTAGTTGAGGTGTCAGGGCACAGGTTGGACTCGATGATCTTAGGGCTTCCAACCTCATTATTCTGTGATTCTGTGATTCTAAGGTCAAAAGCCCTGGCACCCACTTGGAGGCACCCATGGGTGCCATCCCTGCCCAGGGTGGCACCCCCAGTCCCCAGGGCTGTGGTGGCAGCGGTGCTGCGGGCAGCAGAGCTGTCTCGGAGCTTTAGGAACACGGGGTGTGGGTGGCCCTGGCCCCAGCCGTGACCCCACCACTCCGTCCCAGGTGCTGCGCACCGACGTGATGTCCCACGCCCGCACGGTGCAGTCGGTGACCGAGGCGGGGCAGGGGCTGCTGCTCTCCAGCCTGGGCGACAGCGTGGAGGGGCTGCAGCGCAGCCTGCAGCAGCTGGAGCAGCACTGGGAGCTGGTGCGCAGCGAGACCGAGAGCCGGCAGCTGGAGCTGGAGAACAACCTCAGCCAGGTACGGCCGCGGCACCGCGGCGCCGCCGGGCACTGCCAGCCGGCGCTGAGCCCCCCCTCGCCCCCAGGTGCAGGACATCACGCTGGAGATCACGGAGCTGCTGCAGTGGCTGGAGCAGGTGGAGCTGCAGCTCTTCTGCTCCAAGCCGGCCTGGGGTCACCCGGATGCCACCAAAGAGAAGCTCAACGCACACCTGGTGAGAACCAGCGCTAGCCCGGGCCCTGCTAGAGATCTGTTGGTGTCTTGGGGGGATGTGTGCTGCAGATCCACCCTTCTCCACACTGCTGGGCCAGGATCCTTCTCTGCTGCCTCCTCCCCCCAACCAGGCAGAGCCTGGTGCCCCTCCCTCAGCCGCTCCAGCTCTGTAAGACAGAGCAGGGGCCATCCTTGTCCTTGTCCCTTGCCCAGAAACTGTTCCTGTCCCCGTCCACATCCCTGTCTTCATCCCCTCTCCCTGTTCACTGTGGCTCTCTCCCTTGTCCCCATCCTCTGTTTCCATCCCTGTCCCCTGTCTACTTTACCTGACTCCTCCACGTCCCCATCCCTGTTCCCATCCCCATTCCCAGCCCCGTTCCCATCCCTGTTTCCATCCCATTCCCATCCCCATCCCTGTACCTGTCACCCTGCCTGCCCCATCCACAGTCTCATCCCTGTCCACCTTCCCATCTCCATCCCTGTTCCCATCTCCATCCCCATCCCTGTTCCCATTCCCATTCCCAGCCCCATGCCCATCCCACTCCGTGTCCCTTTCTCGCCGCTGCTGATGCCGGTGTCCCGCTGTCCCATCCCGCTGTCCCACTGCTGATGCTGGTGTCCCACTGTCCATCCCGCTGTCCCACTGCTGATGCCGGTGTCCCACTGTCCGTCCCGCTGTCCCGCTGCTGATGCCGCTGTCCCATCCCGCTGTCCCGCTGTCCATCCCGCTGTCCCGCTGCTGATGCCGGTGTCCCGCTGTCCATCCCACTGTCCCGCTGCTGATGCCGCTGTCCCATCCCGCTGTCCCGCTGCTGATGCCATTGTCCCGCTGTCCATCCCGCTGTCCCGGCAGGAGCTGTGCCGGGAGCTGGAGGCGCGGGCTGTCACCTACCGCGGGCTGCGGGAGCGGCTGCAGCGCCTGCTGGACTCGTGCCGTGCCGGCCGGCCCTGCAGCACCGAGCACAGCCTGCGGCTCCTCGAGCAGAAGTGGGAGAGCGTCCAGGCCGAGGCCCAGGAGAGGAAGGTGCGCGGGGTGGTGGGGGGCTGCGACCCCCGGGGGGCTCACCCTGACCGGGGTCAGGAGCAGCGGGAGCCGATCCCCACTGTCCCCATCCCCGCCCGCAGGAGCGCCTGGCCGAGGGGCTGACGGTCACCACCGAGTTCCACGGCTCCGCGCAGGAGCTGCTGCGCTGGGTGGCCCACGCCGAGGAGCTGCTGGGGTCCCCCGCGCCCCCCAGCTTCGTCCTGGACACCGTCACCGCGCAGATCCAGGAGCACAAGGCAAGAGCGGGCGCCGTGCCCTCAGGGCCGGTTTGGGGAGCTGGGGTCTGCCCGAGGGGTCCTGCGTGGCACCTGCAGGGTGCCCGGGGCCAGTGGCATGTGTGTCCCTGTCACAGTACCACACAAAATGAACGACACTCGCACGCTGAGATGTCCCAGGCAAAAAAAAAAGGAGCCTTTATTTCCAGACCTTGATATTTATAGAATTCCGAAAGTGACCATGGACTGGAGGATGAAATTGCCCCCTCTCCAACCACACTGGTCAATCCAACAGTCCATCAATTCTCTCCTTCTCCAGAAAGGGACGCAAAACGATCATTATTTACGTGAAAAGTGTGTGAGACATTACATTGCAAAAATGTAGACATCAGAAGGCTTAGAAGAACTTTAGAAGAGCAGGGCGACATGTCCCCACCGCCGCGGAGCCAGCGCGCTCTGTGCCTGGTGCTCCACATCCCATCCTGGCACGGGCTGTGTCCGGGGGCTCTCAGCCGCCCCAGGACCACCCTCACTCCGCTGCCCCCTCCCCGCAGGCCCTGGTGAAGGAGGCGAACGCCCACGGGGAGAAGCTGGGCGGCCTGGAGGCCGTGGCCGCGCGCCTGAAGGATTTCAGTCGGAAGCAGGACGGGGCCGTCATCCAGAACCTGGTGCTGGCGGCCCGGGAGCGGCTGGGCAAGGTCCTGCAGCGGGCAGCAGAGAGGGGGGCCGTGCTGGAGGAGGCCCGAAAACGCAGCAAGCAGGTACCAGGACACGGCCCGGGCTGGGGAGGGGGCTCTGCCCCTGGATGGGCTTTGGACACGGGCCTGGAGGGACAGGACAAGGGGGAATGGCTACCCACTGCCAGAGAGCAGGGATGGATGGGATATTGGGAGGGAATTCTTCCCTGTGAGGGGGGTTTCCCCAAGAAGCTGTGTCTGCCCCATCCTCAGACGTGTCCAAGGCCAGATTGGATGGGGCTTGGAGCAACCTGGGCTAGTGGAAGGTGTCCCTGCCCATGGCAGGGGGGTGGAACTGGATGGGCTTTAGGGTCCTTCCAACTCAAACCATCCCGGGACTGTTGATTCCGTGTCATGGGTCCTGCTGGCAGCTGTGCTCGGTGTTGTCACTGTGCTGTACTGGCCCGTGGTTTGCCCCGTGGTGGTGGCCAGGCTGTGCCACTCCCATGGCTCCTGTGTGGGTGGCCCCAGACCCGCTTTGTCCCCGTGTGCCCCCCTCAGCCCCCACGGCCCTCCCTTCCACTGCAGTTCAGCGAGTCCCGGCGGCTGCTTCTGGACTGGATGGACGAGGTGGAGCAGAGCCTGGAGGTGCCGCAGGACGCTGCCACCAGCCAGGAGGAGATCAAGTGCCAGCTGGCTGAGCACAAGGTGGGGCTGCCCCTTGTGCTCCTCGGCACGGGGGGTGCAGGACTGGGCTTCTGGGGGCTGCAGAGGGGGGATCCCCAGCTCCCAGGGGGAACACCCCGTGCCAGAAGTGCTGGGCAACTCCCCAGGGCCATCCTGCAGCATTGGGAAACCTGGAGGGGAGTGCTGGGCCAAGGGATGTTGGGTATCTAGGGCATCCCAGCTGCCCCAGAGCCCTTGGGGGAAGAGGGGAGCCTCCCCCCACATCTGGGGGGCCCAACACCCACCTGCGGGGTGCGTGGGGCCCCTGCAGGCATTCCAGAAGGTGCTGCGGGCAAAGCGCCCGGTGTACGAGGCGACGCTGCGGAGCGGGCGGGCGCTGCGGGAGGCGGCGCGGCTGCCCCAGGACCTGCAGCCGCTGGAGGAGCTGCTGGGGGAGCTGAAGGAGCGCTGGGACGCGCTCTGCAGCCACGCCGCGGAGAGGTGGGAACGGCGGGAGGGACTGCGCTGGGGCGGGGGTGAGGTGGGAGTGGGACGGGGAGGGGATGGGGAAGGGGTTGGGATGCAGGTGGGATGGGAATAGGGATAGAAATGGTATGGGGTGGCACAATCTGTTCTCTGCTTGCTCTCTGGGTCCCAGGCGCTGCCAGGACCTGTTCCTGTTCATAATGGCACCACCTGGACCCATTCATGTCCATAATGACATCATAAGGACCTGTCCCAGTCCATAATGGTGCCTCCAGGACCTGTCTCTGTCCATAACAGCATTGCCAGGACCCATCCATGTCCATAATGGCCCTGCCAGGACCCATCCCAGTCCATGATGGTACCACCAGGAGCCCATCCCAGTCCATTGTGGCTTTGCCAAGACCCATCCCAGTCCATAATGGCTCCACCAGGACCTGTCCCAGTCCACTGTGGCCATGCCAGGACCTGTCCATGTCCATAATGGCCCTGCCAGGACCCATCCCAGTCCATAACAGCATTGCCAGGACCCATCCATGTCCATAATGACACTGCCAGCACCTGTCCCTGTCCATAATGGCACTGTCAGGACCCATCCCAGTCCATAATGGCCCTGCCAGGACCCATCCCTATCCAGAATGGCACTGCCAGGACCCATCCCAGTCTATAATGGCTCCACCAGGACCTGTCCCAGTTCATAATGGCCCTGCCAGGACCCATCCCAGTACATAATGGCACTGCCAGGACTCATCCCAGTCCATAATGGCACAACCAGGACCCATCCATGTCCATGATGGCCCTGCCAGGCCCCATCCCAGTCCATAATGGCACTGCCAGGACCTGTCCCACTCTATATTGACATGAGCAGGACCTGGGCCCATCCATGTCCATAATGGCACTGTCAGGACCCATCCCAGTCCATTGTGGCCCTGCGAGGACCCATCCCAGTCCATAATGACACTGCCAGGACCCATCCCAGTCTATAATGGCTCCACCAGGACCTGTCCCAGTACATAATGGCACTGCCAGGACCCGTCCCAGTCCATAATGGCACCACCAGGACCCATCCCAGTCCATAATGGCCCTGCCAGGACCCATCCCAGCCCGTTGTGCCCCTCCCCGCTCTGTGTGGCGGCTCCGCGGGGTGACCCCAGGGTGCCCCCAGCCCCGGGTGCCTCAGCGTGCCCCGTGCCCCCAGCAGGCAGCACAAGCTGGAGGAGAACCTGCTCTTCTCGGGCAAGTTCACGGACGCGCTGCAGGCGCTCATGGACTGGCTGTACCGCGCCGAGCCGCAGCTCAGCGAGGACGTGCCCGTCGCGGGGGACCGCGACCTGGTCGGGGACCTGGTGGACAAGCACAAGGTGGGTGCCCCGGGGGGCTGCAGGGCCCCCCAGGCTGGGCCCACCCTCCCTCTGGGGCGGGACGGGGCACTGCCCACTGGGGTGACCCTGCTTGAGCCCCAATTTGTGCCCCTCGCCCTGGTACGGGGGACGTCATGTGCCCCAGAGCCGAGAAGGGTTTGGGGTGCAGGAGAACCCTATAACCACTGCTGTGAGGGTTTGGGGAACCCCATTTCTGTATCTCTGAGGGTTTGGGGTGCAGGAGAGCCCTATATCCACTGCTGTGAGGGTTTGGGGTGCACAAGACCCCTGTGAGGGTTTGGGGTGCACAGGAACCCCATTCCCACTTCTGTAAGACTTTGGGTTGCACAGGAACCCTGTGCCCACTGCTGTAAGGATTTGGGGTGCAGAGGAACCATGTGAGGATTTGGGGTGCAGAACAACCCCGTGCCAGCTGCTGTGAGGGTTTGGGGTGCACAGGAACCCCATTCTTACTTCTGTAAGACTTTGGAGTGCACAGGAACCCTGTGCCCACTGCTCTGAGGGTTTGGGGTGCAGGGGAACACTGTGAGGGTTTGGGGTGCAGAATAACCCTGTGCCCACTGCTGTAAGGATTTGGGGTGCAGGGGAGCACTGTGAGGGTTTGGGGTGCAGAATAACCCTGTGCCCACTGCTGTGAGGGTTTGGGGTGCATAGGAATCCCGTGCTCACTGCTCTGGGGGTTTGGGGTGCAGGAGAGCCCCATTTCCATGTCTCTGAGGGTTTGGGGTGCAGGAGAGCCCTATAACCACTGCTGTGAGGATTTGGGGTGCACAGGAACCCCATTCCCACTTTTGTGAGGGTTTGGGGTGCAGGGGAGCCCTGTGAGGGGTTGGGGTGCAGGGGAGCCCTGTGAGGCTTTTGGGGTGCAGAGGAACAAAGTTACCATTTTTGTGAGGGTTTGGGGTGCAGGAGAGCCCTGTGAGGGTTTGGGGTGCAGGGGAACCCCATTCGCATTGCTCTGAGGGTTTGGGGTGCAGGATATCCCTGTGCTCACTGTTGTGGGAATTTGGGGTGCACAGGAACCCTGTGCCAGCTGCTGTGAGGGTTTGGGGTGCAGGAGAGTCCTATAACCACTGCTGTGAGGGTTTGGGGTGCACAGAAACCCCGAGCCCACTGCTGTGAGGGTTTGGGGTGCAGGGGAGTCCTATAACCACTGCTGTGAGGGTTTGGGGTGCAGGAGAACCCTGTGCCCACTGCTGTGAGGATTTGGGGTGCAGGGGAACCCTGTGAGGCTTTGGGGTGCACAGGAGCCCTGTGCCTACTGCTGTGAGGGTTTGGGGTGCACAGGAACCCCATTCCCACTTTTGTGACGGTTTGGGGTGCAGGGGAGCCCTGTTCCCACTTCTGTGAGGATTTGGGGTGCAGGGGAGCCTTGTGGGAGTTTGGGGTGCAGGAGAGCCCTGTGAGGGTTTGGGGTGCAGGAGAGCCGTGTGAGGGTTTGGGGTGCAGGGGAACCCCATTCCCATTGCTGTGAGGGTTTGGGATACACAGAAACCCCGTTCCCCCTTCTGTAAGGGTTTGGGGTGTAGGGGAGCCTACTGCCCAGTGCTTTGAGGGTTTGGGGTGTAGAGGAGCCCTGTGATCACTGCTGTGAGGATTTGGGGTGCAGGGGAACACTGTGAGGCTTTGGGATACACAGGAACCCCATTCCCATTGCTGTGAGGGTTTGGGGTGCAAGAGAGCCACGTGAGGGTTTGGGGTGCAGGAGAACCCCATTTCCACTTTTGTGAGGGTTTGGGATGCAGGAGAGCCCTGTGCTCACTGCTGTGAGGATTTGGGGTGCAGGGGAACCCCACTGCTGTGAGGGTTTGGGGTGCAGGAGAACCCTGTGCCCACTGCTGTGAGGATTTGGGGTGCAGGGGAACCCTGTGAGGCTTTGGGGTGCACAGGAGCCCTGTGCCTACTGCTGTGAGGGTTTGGGGTGCACAGAAACCCCGAGCCCACTGCTGTGAGGGTTTGGGGTGCAGGGGAGTCCTATAACCACTGCTGTGAGGGTTTGGGGTGCAGGAGAACCCTGTGCCCACTGCTGTGAGGATTTGGGGTGCAGGGGAACCCTGTGAGGCTTTGGGGTGCACAGGAGCCCTGTGCCTACTGCTGTGAGGGTTTGGGGTGCACAGGAACCCCATTCCCACTTTTGTGACGGTTTGGGGTGCAGGGGAGCCCTGTTCCCACTTCTGTGAGGATTTGGGGTGCAGGGGAGCCTTGTGGGAGTTTGGGGTGCAGGAGAGCCCTGTGAGGGTTTGGGGTGCAGGAGAGCCCTGTGAGGGTTTGGGGTGCAGGAGAGCCCTGTGAGGGTTTGGGGTGCAGGAGAGCCGTGTGAGGGTTTGGAGTGCAGGGGAACCCCATTCCCACTGCTGTGAGGATTTGGGGTGCAGGGGAGCCCTGTGAGGGTTTGGGATATACAGGAACCCCATTCCCACTTTTGTGAGGGTTTGGGGTGCAGGAGAGCCCTGTGCTCACTGCTGTGAGGATTTGGGGTGCAGGGGAACCCCATTCCCATTGCTGTGAGGATTTGGGGTTCAGGGGAGCCCTTTGAGGGTTTGGGATACACAGGAACCCCATTCCCACTTTTGTGAGGGTTTGGGGTGCAGGATATCCCTGTGCTCACTGCTGTGAGAATCTGGGGTGCAGGGGAGCCCTGTGCTCACTGCTGTGAGAATCTGGGGTGCAGGGGAGCCCTGTGAGGGTTTGGAGTGCAGGGGAACCCCATTCCCATTGCTGTGAGGGTTTGGGGTGCAGGGGAGCCCTGCCCGGCCGCGGGGTCCCCGTCCCACCCTGCTGCCCTCGCTGCCAGGTGTTCCAGAAGGAGCTGGGCAAGCGAGCCAGCTGCATCAAGACGCTGAAGCGCTCGGTGCGGGACCTGACGCGCGGCAGCAGCAGCGTGGACTCGCAGTGGCTGCAGCGGCAGGTGGAGGAGCTCAGCACCCGCTGGGACCTGGTCTGCCGGCTCTCGCTGTCCAAGCAGGCCCGGCTGGAGGCGGCGCTGCGGCAGGTGAGGCTGGGGGGCGGCCGGGGAGCCCCCGGGCTGGGGAGAGCCAGAGGAACGCCCTGGTTGGGGTCTGCAGCAGGGGAACTCCCAGAGTGGGGGGTCAGTGTGGGAACCCCCGGGGTGGGGAGAGCCAGAGGAACCCCCGGGCTGGGGTCTGCAGCAGGGGAACCCCCGGATTGGGGTCTGCAACGGGGGAACCCCGGGTTGGGGTCTGCAGGGGGGGAACCCCGGGGTTGGGGTCTGCAGCAGGGGAACCCCCAGAGTGGGGGGTCAGTGTGGGAACCCCCGGGGTCGGGGGTCAGCGGGAGAGCCCCCGTGTTGGGGTCTGCAGCGGGGGGACCACGGGGTGGGGGGCACGAGGGGAACCCCCGGGTTGGGGTCTGCAGCAGGGGAACCCCCAGAATGGGGGGTCAGTGTGGGAACCCCCGGGGTGGGGAGAGCCAGAGGAACCCCCGGGTTGGGGTCTGCAGTGGAGGAACCCCGGGTTGGGGTCTGCAGTGGAGGAACCCCGGGTTGGGGTCTGCAGCTGGAGCACTCCTGGGGTGCGGCTGAGATGGATGTGGGGGTGTGGGGTGCTCGGGTGGGGGGTGCCCGTGTTTTGGGGGGTGCTTGGCTGGTGGGTGATTTTGTTTTGGGGGGCGCTCAGCTGGTGGGTGGCCCTGTTTTTGGGGGTTCTCTGTGGGGTGCTCAGCTGTTGTGTGACTGTGTTTTGGGGGGTTCTCCATGGGGTGGATGGGTGGTGGGTGGCCGACTTTTGGGGGATGCTCTGTGGGGTGCTCAGCTGGTGGGTGGCCATGTTTTGGGGGTGCTCCGTGGGGTGGTGGATGGTTTTGCTTTGGGGGTGCTCTGTGGGGTGCTCAGCTGGTGGGTGGCCGTGTTTTGGGGTGTTCTATGGGGTGTCCAGGCATGGTGGGTGGCTGTGTTTTGGGGTGTTCTATGGGGTGTCCAGGCATGGTGGGTGGCTGTGTTTTGGGGTGTTCTGTGGGGTGTCCAGGCATGGTGGGTGGCTGTGCTTTGGGGAGTGCTCAGCTGGTGGGTGGCCGTGTTTTGGGGTGTTCTGTGGGGTGGTGGGTGGCCGTGTTTTGGGGGTGCTCAGCTGGTGGGTGGCCGTGTCTTGGGGGCTTCTTCATGGGGTGCCCAGGCGTGGTGGGTGGTTTTCTTTTGGGGGGTCCTCCGTGGGGTGCCCAGGTGTGCTGGGTGGCTGTGCTTTGGGGAGTGCTCAGGTGGTGGGTGGCCGTGTTTTGGGGTGTTCTGTGGGGTGGTGTGTGTCTGTGTTTTGGGGTGTTCCGTGGGGTGCCCAGGCGTGCTGGGTGGCCGTGCTTTGGGGCGGTGCTGCGGGCTGCCTGGGTGGTGTGGGGCTGTGCCGTTTGGGGTTCCCTGTGGGGCGCAGAGCTGCTGTGAGGTTCTGTCGCAAGCTGCCGTGGCCGGGTGCCAGGCTCCTTGCTGTTACAGGCGTGAGCGTGTGCAGCGTGCCCGGGTGGCACAGGGGGGTCAGAGGAAATCCTGCCCCGCTGCAGAGCCGGGTGTGGGCTCTCCCCTCGCTCCCACCGTGGGGCTGGCAGCACGGCGCCTGTGCCAGGGGCTCAGGGACTGCCCAGGAGGCTGCAGGGCGGGCTCTGAGCGGGGTCCCCGCTGCTGTGGCAGGCAGAGGAGTTCCACACGCTGGTGCACTCCTTCCTGGGGCGCCTGACCGAGTCGGAGAAGACCCTCAAGTACGGAGTGTTCCCCGAGGAGGAGGCGGCCGTGCAGGAGTGCCAGGCCCAGCTGCAGGTGGGTGCCAGCCCCCCAAAGCCCCCACAGCCCCCAGGTTGGCTCCAGCTTTGCCCCAGGACCTCCATCACGGGGTCAGCCAGCCCCAGCTGGGCTGTGGGATCCTCACAGAGCAAAGCATGGCATGCTGAGAGATTTGGGATGTTGGGTCCCACCACACCAAAACCACGGGGTTTGGGGCCCCAAGTGCCCCGAGGTGGGGAGATTTGGGCACTGCCACCCCAGTCCACCAATGCTGGTGGTGCCTGGAGGGCTGACGGTGCCACCTCCGTGTCCCCCCAGGAGCTGATGCAGTCCCTGCAGTGCCAGCAGCTGGAGCTGGAGTGCATCACCTCGCTGGGGGAGGAGATCCTCAGCACCTGCCACCCCGACTCCATCATCACCATCAAATCCTGGGTCACGGTCGCCAAGAGCCGCTTCCAGGAGGTGAGACAGGTGCCCTGCTCCCATCCCTGCCCGGGTGGGCAGAGTGGCACCCAAACCTGGGGAAAGCACGGCCCCACACTGTCGTGAGCTCCCCATGTGTAGAGGCCTGATTCTATGTTTTCAGAAGGTTGGTTTATTATATTATGATATATATTATATTATAATATATTATATTAAAATACTGCTTACTAAAAGAATAGAGAGGAAAAGATCATCAGAAGGCTAGAAAGAACAGGAAGAGAATGCGTAACAAAATTTTGTGACTGCTCAGAGCCTCGGCACGGTGGCTGTGATTGGTCATCAATTGAAAACAATTCCCATAGACCAATGGAAGATGCACCTGTTGCATTCCACAGCAGCAGATAGTTATTGTTTCCATTTCTCTCCTGAGGCTCCTGAGCTTCCCAGGAGGGAAAAATCCTAGCAAAGGATTTTTGATAAAATATCATAGCTACACCATACCTGTCCCACTGCCTCTCCCACCTCCAGGGACTGCCAGGTGCAGCCCCCCAACCAGAGCATTGCAGGATCTGGGGGTGCTCGGCCCCAGGGGGTGTTGGCCTTGCTATTGTCACCCCACGGTCCCCCACCCTGTCCCCTCATGGGGTCACCTGGGGCATCCACAGCCCCTTGGATGGTGGTGGCTCATTCCTGGGCAATGGCAGCCACCAGGCAGCTGAGGCAGGGAAACTGGGAGCACTGTCCTAGGGACCCTCACCCCAGCCCGTGCCCCCACAGGGGCCCAGGGCCTCCCTGGGTTGCTCTGCATTTGTAGGTAAGAGGCTCCTGGCACTCCTGGGACTGGTCTGGCGAGTTCAGCCGATCCCACACAAAGCCCTTATTGAGCAGAGACCTGCAGGATCCGCTCTGGATCTGCCCTGGGGCTGCCCCCCTCACCCCCCTCACCCCAAAACGGGAGAGCAGCCGGCATGTCCACAGAGCACAGACCTGGGGACCCTCGGTATTAGGTGCTGTTTTGTCGGGCCAGGGTTTTATGAGCCTTCAAAAGGGAACCTAATACCCCAAGGATAGCTTGGCTATTACCTTTGGAGGCGAAGAATGAGCAGGATGGCTTCTGCTGCAGTGTTAGAAACAAAAAGGTTTAATAAAAGGCAAAATAACAAACAGAAAATCCGAGCTAGGTACAGAGGTCTGCTCCTGGTAGCAAGACGTTCACAAAAGCCTCGTGGTTCTTTTGTTCTCTCCTTTTCTACCTTATGGCCCAGGCGGGACTTTTTGGCTTCTATCTAATTAGGTGACCCCAAGGTTTTAGTGAAGTCTCTGGGGTCCTATGAGGTGGCTTTTCACTTGATCGTTGGGAGAAACTTCTGGGCTTCTTTCCTTTTTTTGGGGACAAAGGCTAGCTTTGCCACTCTGTCATTAGGGGACACTCCTACACCTCGGCATGTGGGGGCAGCCCCCCCAGCCCTGCCCCAGCTGCCCAGCAGGAGCCTGGTGCTGCCCCATGTCCCTGCCCCATATCCCAGCCCCCGGTCCCAGAGGGGAGGCCTTGGGGCGCGCAGTGGGGTGCCATCCCTTCCCAGTGTCCCTGCCCCATCTCCCAGCCCCATATCCCTGCCCGGTGTCCCTGCCCGGTGTCCCTGCCCCATGTCCCTGCCCCATGTCCCTGCCCCGTGTCCCTGTCCCCGTGTCCATATCCCTGCCCGGTGTCCCTGCCCGGTGTCCCAGCCCCATGTCCCTGTCCCCGTGTCCCAGCCCCATCTCCCAGCCCCATATCCCTGCCCGGTGTCCCTGCCCGGTGTCCCTGCCCGGTGTCCCTGCCCCATGTCCCTGCCCGTCCTTCCTGCCCAGTGTCCCTTCCTGTCCATGTCCCTGCGCCATGTCCCTTTCCCATGTCCCTGCCCCATGTTCCTGCCCCATCTCCCAGACCCATGTCCCTGCCCGTCCTTCCTGCCCAGTGTCCCTGGTCCATGTCCCTGCCCCATATCCCTTTCCCATGTCCCTGCCCCATGTCCCTGCCCCATATCTCTGCCCCATGTTCCTGTTCCATGTCCCTGCCCCATATCCCTTCCCCATGTCCCAGCCCCGTGTCCCTGTCCCATGTCCCAGACGGGGGACCTTGGGGCGGGCAGTGGGGTGCCATCCCCATGCCCCCATGTCCCTGTCCCCATGTCCCTTCCCCATATCCCTGTCCCCATGTCCCTGCCCCATGTCCCAGCCCCATATCCCTGCCCCCTGTCCCAGGTGGGGGACCTTGGGGCGTGCAGTGGGGTGCCATCCCCGTGCCCCCCGCGCTCCTGCCCCCTGTCCCAGCCAGGGCACCCTGGGGCGCGCAGAGGGGTGCCATCCCCGTGCCCCCCGTGTCCCCCATGCCCCTTCCCCATATCCCTGCCCCACATCTCTGTCCCATGTCCCTGCCCCCTGTCCCAGACAGGGCATCTTGGGGCGTGCAGTGGGGTGCCATCCCCGTGCCCCCTGTGCTCCTGCCCCCTGTCCCAGCCAGGGCACCTTGGGGCATGCAGTGGGGTGCCATCCCTGCCCCGTGCCCCTTCCCCATATCCCTGCCCCACATCTCTGTCCCATGTCCCTGCCCCCTGTCCCAGCCAGGGCACCCTGGGGCGCGCAGAGGGGTGCCGGGAGCATGGGGGGCCTGGGGAGCACGGGAGCTGTGGAATATGGGGGGCTGTGGAGCATGGTGGGCTGGGGAGCACAGGGGGATGTGGAGCATGAAGGGATGTGGAGCACAGTGGGCTGGGAGCACGGGGGGCTCTGCCGGCCAGCAATCAGCGCCAGCGCTCCTCCCCAGGTGTTCATGGAGGAGCTGAACCGCAAGCAGCCTGACGTGGAGAAGGTGACCAAGAGCTGCAAGCGGAAGCTGGAGGTGGATCTGGGCCCCCCGGCCACCCGCCGACTGGCCACACGTAAGGAGCCCCCATCACCGACCCCACACCCCCCGGGACCCCCGGCTGTGCCCTCACCCCGCTCTCCGCAGGTCGCCGCAGCGGGGGGAAGGCGCAGGGCACGGCGGCCGTGCCGCTCGGGGGGCTGGAGCCCCAGACGCCCCTCATGGCCCAGCTCCTGCACCGCTGGCAGCAGCTCTGGCTGCTGGCCCTGGACCGGCAGTACCGGCTGGAGACGGCCCTGCAGCGCCTGCGGGAGGTAGGGCTGGCACCCAGGGGCCCCCCTGCCCTGGGGGTCCTCAGTAGCTCCTCTCATCTTCTGCCCATGGGCCCCCCCGGCCACGTCAGGTGCAGGTGGGGTCATCCTGTCCCTGCAGCTGGGGGTCCCATGGGTGCACCTTGACATCCCAGAGGGGCTGCTGGAGCCCCGTGCACCACGGAGTGGGGGGTCCTGGGCAGAGACCCCCCCTTGCAGCCTTGTCAGGGGCAGGGCTGGGAGCAGCCAGGCTGTGGAGCTGAGGCTGAACGTGGGGGGACAGCGTGGGGGGCACGAGGGGGTCCTGCTGTGGTGTTCATCCCCTCTGCACCCCTCCCAGCTGGAGGAGTTTGCGCACTTTGACTTCGGGGTCTGGAGGAAGCGCTACATGCAGTGGATCAGCCAGATGAAGTCCCGCGTCCTGGACGTGTTCCGCGGCATCGACAGGGACCAGGACGGGCGCATCAGCCAGCGGGAATTCATCGAGAGCGTCCTCGCCTCCAGTGGGTGCCGGGGGGGCTGGAGGAGGCTGAGGGGGCCGGCACTGGGGGGCTGACCGTCCCCCTGCCCCCACAGAGTTCCCCACCAACATCCTGGAGATGAATGCCGTGGCCACCATCTTCGACATGAACGGCGACGGCTTCATCGACTACTACGAGTTCGTCAGCGCCCTGCACCCCAACCGGGACCCGCTGCGCCGCTCCGCCGACGCCGACCAGATCCAGGACGAGGTGTGGGGCGCTCAGCGAGGGTGGGGGGCGGCTGGAAGGGTGGGGACCCCGCCTGGGGCTGAGCTGAGCGTGCCCCGCAGGTGAACAGGCAGGTGGCCCAGTGCAACTGCGCCAAGCGCTTCCAGGTGGAGCAGATCAGCGCCAACAGGTACCGGGTAAGTGCCGAGCTGGGATTTTGGCTTGCTCTGACACCTGTGCACGTCCCTGTGCCCCGTGCAGGGGTCCTGCAGTGCCTGTGTGCCAGGGCAGGGAGGGGGCACAGCCCCGTGCCCCGAGGAGCCTGGCCCCTGTGGGAGGGCAGGGCCGCAGGGAGGGGCAGGTCTGGGTGCTGCCACCCCTTCCCGATGCCCAGCCCTGCCAAAGCCCCCACCTTGCCCCAGCGTCCCTCTCCCTGCAGTTCGGGGAGTCCCAGCAGCTGCGGATGGTGCGGATCCTGCGCAGCACCCTCATGGTCCGGGTGGGTGGGGGCTGGATCGCCCTGGACGAGTTCCTGGTGAAGAATGACCCCTGCAGAGGTGGGTGTGGGGGTCCCACACCGGGCACTCATGGCGTGGGGGGGTCCCCATGCCCGGTGCGGTGCCTGCGGGGCCATGGGGGGCACAGCTCAGTGCAGTCCCCAGAGCCTCGCACTGCTGGGACCCCATCACTCGCCCCCTCCGTTGTCCCCAGTGAAGGGAAGGACCAACCTGAAGATCAACGAGAAGTACCTGTCCTCCGACATCTTCGGAGCCGCCGCCAGGTGTGCCGGCAACCAGTCGGCCTCCTCCTCCAAAGTGCTGTCCCCGAGCCGCTCCAACTCCAGCCTCAGCCTCTACAGCAGCGCCTCGGCCCCCAGCAGCCCCCTGGCCAGGAAGGTAAGGGCCGTGCAGCCCCCCCTGAAGTCCCGACCCCCCCAACCCACCCGCCGCGGGCGCTGACCCTCACCCTCCCCAGTCGGTGCTGCGGAGGACGCGCTCCGGGGACCGCTGTCCGCGCTCCCGGGGCTCGGGGCTGCCCGACGGAGCCGAGCTGCAGTTCAGCGCGGCTGAGGAGAGCCTGGCTGTGGCACCCCCAGGTGAGCGCCGCAGGGCTGGGGGGCAGGGGGGAGCCGGGCTCGGTGTGCGCCGTGCCCGTCCCTCGCAGCGCTGGAGCCGCGGGCAGGAGAGCTCCGCGCTCCAGCCCCTCCGTGCCCCCGCAGAGCCGCCCGAAGGGTCTCCCCCGGAGCGCTGCAGCCCCTGCCGCTGACCCCCGCGCCCGCCCTGCGCCCAGCACCCTCGGCCGGCCCCACTCAGGACCCTCCTCCACGGGGCTGGAGGGCAGCGAAGCCGTGGCCGCGTCCCCGCCGCGGGTCTCCGGCCCGGCGCTGCGGCCCCCCGAGCGGGGCTGAGCTGTACGCCCGCCGCCGATCCCGCCGGGGCCCGTTCCAGAGGATATGCAAGTATCTCCCGACACCCTCCAAGCCCCCGGGCTCTGGTCTCCCGCCCCACGGCTGCCCCGGGCGGCGTGGGATGGGTCTGAGCCCCTGTGCCCCTGGGTGCCCGGGGCTGTGGAACCAGCCGGGCACCCCCGCCGGGCCCTGCCCTTCTCCCGTGCTGCCAGCTCAGGGCGGCTGCGGTACCCCCGACCTTCGGCCTTGCTGATGGAGGTCCCCATCGTGCCTCCCACGCCCCGGCGGGAGGTGGCCGGGCTCGGCAGCCGGGCACCGCGACCCCCGGCCGGATGCCGAGCCCCGTTTCTGGTGCTAACCCTCACCCCTCGGCCTTCGGTGTGCGCGCACGGGCCCCCGGCTCTGCCCGCCCCCCGTCCCGGGGGTCCCGCCGCGGGCGGGGGTCCCCTGCCACGGGGCTGCGCCCCCGTGCTACCGGCGGCACCGGCGGGCAGCGGGACCCCCGCCCTGCTGGCTGTGCATGCTCACCGTGCCACCCCGCTAACCGGACAGCAGTAGCGCTGAATGTAACCCCGGCCGGGCCCGCGCGCCGCCACAATAAACTGTAGTGAGGTTCCTTTTTCTATCAGCACCCTGTCTGTCCGTCCATCCGTCCGCTCGGGGAGAGGCTCCATGCCTTCCCTCGGCCTGCTTGCCCCTCTGCGGGCCCGCGCGCCGCCACAATAAACTGTAGTGAGGTTCCTTTTTCTATCAGCACCCCGTCCGTCCGTCCGTCCGTCCGTCCGTCTGTCTGCTCGAGGAGAGGCTCCACGCTGTCCCTCGGCCTGCTTGCCCCTCTGTCCAGGCAGGGGTCCGTTGGTCTGTCCGTCTGCTCAGGACAAGGGGCTGCATTCTGTCAGTCTGTCTGTCTGCTCAGGACAAGGGGCTGCATTCTGTCAGTCTGTCCGTCTGTCCAGGACAAGGGGCTACAGTCTGTCAGTCTGTCCATCTGACCAGGACAAGGGGCTGCAGTCTGTCAGTCTGTCTGTCTGGACAAGGAGCTGCATTCTGTCAGTCTGTCTGTCTGCTCAGGACAAGGGGCTGCATTCTGTCAGTCTGTCCGTCTGACCAGGACAAGGGGCTACAGTCTGTCTGTCTGTCCATCTGACCAGGACAAGTGGCTGCAGTCTGTCAGTCTGTCTGTCTGGACAAGGAGCTGCATTCTGTCAGTCTGTCCGTCTGACCAGGACAAGGGGCTACAGTCTGTCAGTCCGTCCACCCCTCTCTGCTGTCAGGGCAGAGGCTGTCCCGTCCCACACCTGTCCCCAGCAGCGTGGTGGCACTCAGTGGCCGGGCAGGGCCGGGTGTGCCCCAGCTGGTGCCACCCGGCGCCAGAGCCACAGCTGGCAAGCCCCGGGCGCTGCACCGGTGCCAGCGGGCGCCGTGCCGCATCCCCTCCTTTCCGAGGAAGGCATTGCTGTCATTACTGCTGGCATTCCTGCTGGCATTCCGGCCGGCATTCCGGCCGGCACCATCGCCCACCGTGGGCAGCACGGGGAGAGGCCAGATCCCTGTCCGTGGGTGCTGGCTGCTTCTTGGGCACCCCGCAGCCCTGTGGGCACTGGGGATGTCTATGTCCAGCAAGGTCCTGGCAACTGTGCATCCATCACCTGCATGTCCTGTCCCGGCTGGGATGGGCCCAGCTGTCTGTTGGGATGGGATGGGATGGGATGGGATGGGATGGGATGGGATGGGATGGGATGGAGGCTCTGGTTGTGTCCCCATCCAAGAGGTGGGGGACACCTTGCGCATGGCACTGTCCTCAGGCATTGCAGCACCACGACCCTCACCTGGCATTTCCCTGCCTTGGGGGAGTGCCAGACCCCGCACACGAGGGCTGTGGCTGTTCTCTTTGATCCCCCGCCAGCACTGCCTGGCTGTCCCCTCCCAATCCCCGTCCCCTTTGTCACCTGGCCATGTCCTCACGGCTTCCGGCTCTGTTTTTGGACTGTTTCACCCTAAAACCCTCTGCCCACCATTTCTTTTCTGAATAAACATGGAGCCAAAGGATCCAGGACTGGAATTGTGCCTGTGCTGGGCACAGAGAAGCCCCTGGCACAGGTCAGGACCCTTTGCCACAGCCCCCCAAGAACAGGGCTGAGCCCACGGCTCCTGGTGGCACAGCTGCCAACGCGTCCCAGGCTGGAACCGCCAGCGCCAGTTGCGTTGCACATTCCTGTACCTGTGGAAATCTCACCCACCCCTCCCAGCTGGGGCAACGTGCCTGGCACCACCGGCATCACCGGCACCGCGGCTTGTGTCAGCCGCATCCCGAGCCCCAGGCAACGGCGCTGGCTTGGGAAGCAAAGACAGCAGGCACGGCGTGGCTGGGCCCACACCAAACTGCTTTTGTTTTCGCTGCGGAGCAGCCCCCGGGCAGGAGACACGAGCTGCTGTTGGTTGCCAGCGAGGCTGGCAGTGATACAATGGACAGACACACCCACGCGGAGCACAGGAATGGGAACACGGGAATTTCACCCGCTGGAACTCCACCGTCCTCAGGGAGACGAGGTGGGGAGGGGGGACGTCCTGGGAGAGCCTCCGTGGCTCTTCAGGGTTGGTGTCCGTGGCACGTGCTGAGTTTGAGGGATCACATTGCCAGGGCAACAGGTGAGCGGGTGGCAGCAATGGGGAGGGGGCTCCAGGTGGGACCATCAGCTTCAGGTGGGACGGTTAGCCCCACGATGGGAGCATCAGCCCCAGGTGGGAGCATCAGCCCCATGGTGAGACCATCAGCCCTATGGTGGGACCATCAGCCCCAGGTGGGACCATCAGCCCCATGGTGGGACCGTCAGCCCCAGGATGGGAGCATCAGCCCCAGGTGGGACCATCTGCCCCAGGGTGGAACCATCAGCCCCAGGTGGGACCATCAGCCCCAGGGTGGGACCATCAGCCCCATGGTGAGACCATCAGCCCCAGGATGGGACCATCAGCCCCAGACAGGACCATCAGCCCCAGGTGGGGCCATCAGCCCCAGATGGGAGCATCAGCCCCAGATAGAACCATCAGCCCCAGGTGGGACCCCATGGAAGCCCCCATCCTGCCCCACACAAACCACCGTCCTGCCCCACAGCAACCACCATCCTGCCCCATGGAAACCACCATCCTGCCCCAGAGAAAATATCCTACCCCACAGAAACCACCATCCTACCCCACAGAAACCACTGTCCTGCCCCACAGAAACCACCATCCTGCCCCATGGAAATCACCATCCTGCCCCATGGAAACCACCGTCCTGCCCCATGGAAACCACCATCCTGCCCCAGAGAAAATATCATCCTGCCCCATGGAAACCACCATCCTGCCCCACACAAACCACCGTCCTGCCCCACAGAAACCACCATCCTGCCCCATGGAAACCACCATCCTGCCCCACAGAAACCACCATCCTCCCTCATCCAAGCACAGGGCTGGGACACCAGCAGGGCTGGAGGGCCTGGCATGTTGACAACAGAGGCTGGCAGGGCTGGAGGCCTTGGTGCCACCTGGGTTGGCATTGACACCAGCTCTGATCGCCAGAGGGGGCCAGCACGTGTCCAAACACACTGGTGTGAGTGTGAGGGGCCATTTGCACGGCGTGAATGTGCCTGAGCACCTGAGCTCACATCTGCGGGCGCGCCTCCAGGGCAGCAGAGCCCCAGCGGGCACCTCCCAGTGCTGAGCTCAGCTCTGACCCCAGCCCGGGTGCTGGCTGTGCTCCTGCCCTGCCTCGGCCCTTCCCCAGCCCCTGCCCAGTGTGGATATCCTCAGTTCAGTGGAAGAAAGAACAGAGATTATTTCTCCCAGGCTGAGCCTGGGAATCTTAGAGAAAAAGGCTCCAAACAATTATCTCTCTGTAAGCATTGTTTATAGCTATGTTTCTCCGCAGTGTGCTATTCAGTCACCAAGAGTGTGAGATGTGTCTCCTTTGAGACCAATCAAGTCTCACCTTAGCGAGTCGCATCATAAAAGACCCGCTACTTTCACTAATCACTTTTGCCTTCTGATCCACCTGAAGACTGGAGTCTTTCTTTCCATCCCTGACTCAACAGCGTCAGCCCGGAGGGATGGGGAGGGTGGCTACTCACACCCAAGCTGGCCTGGTCCCCAGTGCTGCCACTGCTGTTCCACCAGTGCCACCGGCAGCTCACGGAGCCCCCCTGTCAGAACGCAGGACATCTCTCTGGATGCCCTGGATGTCTCAAAGCCCTGGCAGGGGCTCGGAGACCCTGGCAGGAAGCCAAAGACACCTGGAAATTCGATCTTAATTGCCAACCTTATATAAAGAATTACGGGCCACAAAAGTTTAAGTAGCACAGTAGTAGCAATCACAGGGTGAAGGGAAAACCTTTGGAGCACTGTACAGGGGGGTTTTGAACCTTGTACAGGGGGGTTTGAAATTCTGTACGTGGGGGTCAGGAGTCCCAAGATGGAGGAATTTGGGCATGCCCTGTCCTTCTTCTTTCTTCTCCTTGGCACCCATGTTCAGGATGATGTCGGCATGTGTGGATTGGTTCATGGTGAAGGTGCACTTGCCAACAAGGGTGAAAAGTATTGGAAATAGAAGGTAAATATCTAATACGTAATTTTCACTATAAAAGAGACAACCGCCCCGTGGGCGGGAGAGAGTGCCCTTGGCTGTCTTGCTGATCAGACCTTGGCTGGACAGACAGAAAAGCTCTGTAGATAAGGAACAATAAACTCAACTGAAGACCGAAAAGCAAGAGTCCAGACTCCTTCTTCGAAAGCGCGGCCTGCCCAGAACCACCCTCTCCCGAAGAGACCTCGTATCAGAACAGCCCAGCGGCCCTGACACCCCCCAGAGCCGGGGCCTGGGCACTCTGCTGCTTGTCCTTGGGCTGTCCATGGGCCTGGACTGACGGCAGCTGGGACAGACGGACTCGGCACAGGGGGCTTGTGCTGCCTGCTGAGCAGTGAGGGGCTGCACTGGAGGCACTGGGTGGGAGCTCAAGCCAGTGGCAGCAGTTTGTGGTGGGTAGAGTGACCCCTCTGCCAGCTCAGCCCAAGCTCCCTCCGCTCCTGCTGGGACCCAGCGCCCTCCCCACAGCCCCTGCCAGAGCCAGGCATGGCAAATTGCCAGCACGCTCATGACACCCACCGTGGCTGGCCACCAACCCTCCCACGCGGGGTTCCTGCTGCAGGATGGCTCCCCCAGCGCAGAGTGACCGCATCCCAGCGCCTCTGGGCTCCCCTTCCCCACAGCCAGCGGCCCCGCGGCTCGGCTGGCACGGCAGGGGTGTCACCGAGGCTCCAGGAGCCAGGGGAGAGGTGCCCAGGCTGGTCGCTCCTCGTCCTTGTTGGCAGCCGGGGAGCTTTGATGAAGCCGCGCGCGCTTTGGTTGGATTTGCCCAAATCGCAGCTGCTCATTACGGGTAATTAACGCCAGAGCCCCTTCGCGCCCCGCGGGCAGCAGCAGCCGCCCTGCACTGGCAGGGGGAGCGTGGCAGGCTCAGCATGGCCTGGTATGGCCCAGAACAACCCAGCACGGCCTAGAACAACCCAGCATGGCCCAGAACAACCCAGCACGGCCTAGAACAACCCAGAACAACCCAGTATGGCTCAGCACGGCCCAGTATGGCCCAGAACAAACCAGTACAGCCCAGAACAACCCAGAACAACCCAGCATGGCCTAGAACAGCCCAGAACAACCCAGTATGGCTCAGCACGGCCCAGTACGGCCCAGAAAAACCCAGCATGGCCCAGAATAACGCAGCATGGCCCAGAATAATGCAGCATGGCCCAGAATAACCCAGCACGGCCCAGAATAATGCAGCATGTCCCGGAACAAACCAGTACAGCCCAGAACAACCCAGCATGGCCCAGAACAACCCAGTATAGCCCAGAACAACCCAGCATGGCCCAGAACCAACCCAGTATGGCCCAGAACCAACCAGTACGGTCCAGAATAACCCAGCACGGCCCAGAATAATGCAGCATGGCCCAGAAAATCCCAGCATGGCCCAGAAAAACCCAGTACGGCCAGAACCAACCCAGTATGGCCCAGAACAAACCAGTATGGCCCAGAATAACCCAGCACGGCCCAGAATAATGCAGCATGGCCCAGAAAATCCCAGCATGGCCCAGAAAAACCCAGTATGGCCCAAAACCAACCCAGCATGGCCCAGAACAACCCAGCACGGCCCAGAATAATGCAGCATGGCCCAGAACAACCCAGTACGGCCCATAATAACCCAGCACAGCCCAGAACAACCCAGTATGGCCCAGAAAAACCCAGTATGGCCCAAAACCAACCCAGCATGGCCCAGAACAAACCAGCACAGCCCAGAAAAACCCAGTACGGCCCAGAACAATCCAGTATGGCCCAGAACAAACCAGTATGGCCCAGAACAACCCAGCACAGACCAGAACAACCCAGCATGGCCCAGAACAATCCAGCATGGCCCAGAAAAACCCAGCACAGCCCAGCACAATGCGCTGGGTCCTGTGTGCACAGCTGTATGCCCCGACAGGGACCTGAGATCCCCTCCTGCCTGTCCCTGCAGCCCTCCTGTGCCCCCCATCGGCCGTGCCCATCCGCCCGGCCAGTGGCCACCATGTCCATGCCTGGTGCCACTGCAGCCCGGGGCTGTCTGAACGTCCAACATGGGTCACAGGGCCCCAGGGCAGCTGCTGAGACGCAGCAGGAAGCTGTGTGGGGCTGGCGCCGAGCGCTCATCCCTGTTTGCCCATGGATTAAGGCTCTCAGCGGCTCCCGTGAGCGACGCCTCCACCACGCCCGGGCAGCTGTCAGAAACTTGTGCCGGTTTCTGGGACACAGCTGCATCCCTGCAGGAGCAGGGATGGGCACTGCAGCCACCCCCCTGCCAGGGAGGGTGCAGCCCCTGGCCCTCTCACTGTCCCCACTGGGGCTGCCCCTGCTCGGACATCGCCCCACGAGCCCAGGGTACTGTGCCAGCCAGTGCCTCTCTCAGATCTGCAGCTCCAGGTGACCCTGCCCAGGTTCCTCTGCCCTTCTGGACCACCAGCATGGCACTGCCCAAGCAGCAGGCACAGGGGGAGCACCCTGCCCAGGTGTTCAGTGCCATTCCAACAGGAATTGCTCTCCACCTGGGCGCACCAGGACTGCCCGCACCCACGGCAGGCACCAGGGCTCTGTGCCCGCTGGCCCGTGCCCGTGGGCTCAGCCAGCCAGCCCGTGCCTGGATACCGGCACCTCTCCAGACAACACACTCCCACGCCCCATAAACATCTTGCCCAAGCGCCGCATCCTCCCCGCAGCACCTCGCCCTGCAGGGTGGCAGCCAAGGAGGCTGTGGCTCGACCCCCTGCCCCAGGGGCCCCAAGGCCTCTCTGCCCCGTGTGGTGCCCGCTGCTCTTACAGGGCCCACCGAGCAGCTGTGGCACAGGGGAGAGCGCTCAGGGTGCTCAGGGGGCAGCAGGAGAGGGTGGTGGGGCTGGCTGCAGGGTCTGGAGAGAGGGTGTGGAGCTGCTGATGGAGGCAGGGCAGGGACGTTTTGGGTGACTCAAGCAGCAACAGGATGGTTTGGGCATGTTTTGGGCAATTCAGGCTTTATGCACATCCAGGGGTGTGGGCAAGACTGGGGGGAGCAGGGAAGGGTCCCCTTCTCTACCCCAGGTGGTGCCAGGGGTAGGCCTACACTGGGGTTCTGTCAGCCCTGCACCTGCAGCCACTGCAATGACACACAGGGGCACTGCTGGCAGCAGGGAGGGTTTGGGGGGTGATGGAGAGAAGGATGAGGAGCTGCTGGGGATGAAGGCAGAGCTGGCCCTGGGCTGGAAGGTCTCTGCCCTTCACTCTCCCCTCCTCTGTGGAGGGCACAGCCCACCGGGACGGGGCCACCTCCTGCACCACGGGCGTTTGGGACAGGTGAACCCCCGCAAGGAGGGACCCCAGCTCCCAGCGGGAGCCGTGGGGAGGGCTGGCCCGCGAGTTTCTGCAAGGGCTGGGCCGGTGTGTCATCCCCAGGGGCGGGGAAGGGCCAGGTTTTAAACGTGCTCTGGTCCCGGGCAGGAAGCAGCGGTGGAGCGCCGGGCACCTGCCAGGGGAGCCCGTGGTGTGAGCGCCGTGCGCAGGTAGGAGATGCGGGCGGGGAGGGCCCTGGCTGGGCGCTGCGGGCCGCGCCGGGGGCTGCAGGGCACGGAGGCGCTCTGGCGATCCCCGGAATGGCAGGAATGCGGCAGCGCTCCCGGTGCCGGGGTGCGACGGCGGCAGGGCAGCGGCCGCACGGGGCTGTGGCACCGTGGGCACTGCCTGGGGCACAGCGGGAGGATGGCGGTCCCAGCAGGTCCCAGGAGCAGGGCAGGAGGAGATGGCTGCCCGGACAGGATGGCTCCGGGGAAAAAAGAGATGGTCCTGCAGCCCAGAGTGCTCAGGCTGGGGGTCACGGTGTCCTTCCTGCTGATCCTCCCTGGGTGGGAGAGGTTCTGGCACGGACTGTCCCCTCCTCACCTCACCAGAACTGCCCATCCCACCCCTCACCACGTCCCCTCGGTGTGGGGAGCGGGGCAGGGCCAGCTCTGCCTGGTTCGGGGCTCCTTTGGGGCTCCTGGGTCACAGTGGGGCCACAAAGGGCCGGGGCTGGAGGAGCCAGCAGGGATTTCCAAGTGAAACCAGCCTGGAGGAGAAGGGAACAGCCAAGAGCCAAAGCCAGGCTTCAGGGCATGGACACTCTGGGCTCGGGGGCTCAGCCATGGGCAGTGCCAGCTGTGCCCCACCGAGAGCTCCAGCAGCCCCGTGAGAGGGGCCAGCAGTCGGGAAATGCCCAGCAGGGCCCTGGGGAGCCTCGAGGCTCCGATGGCGCTGAGGAGGGGGCCGGTGGTAGGACAGGGCAGGCGGAGGACTGGCAGCCCCCTCCCACGGTACCCTGGGGTAGGTCTGTGGTGCGGTGGGGCTGTCCTGAGGTGCGAGTTCATCCTACAGCAGCCCCCTTCGGGCACCGGGCAGGACCCCGGAGCTGCAGACCTGGCCTGGGAAGGGGTGCTGAGCTGCCCCCAAAGCGCTGCCCTCCCTGTTCCCATCACCCTCCTTCACTGCCCCAGAAAATTCCCTGCTGCTCTCCCTCCCCCGAAACACCCCCACGGGACACCACCCTGCAGGCGCTCCCCGGCCCCGCCAGGCTCCCAGCCCCAGCCTCTCCCAGCGCTCTGCAGTCCCTGCCCCAGCAAGCGACTCCTCCGCCGCCCTCCCCCGACACCGAGTCCCGCACTCTGTCAGAAAAACCTGTCCCTGCTCCCTCTCCCTCCCCAGGGGCCCCGGCAGCCGCCCCTCCCCAGCCGGTGCCGCTCTCCGGGCGCAGAGGTGCGGATTGTCCCGCGGGGCTCCCGTGGGTGGCGGTGGGTGCGCGGGGGCTCCCCTGGGTGCTCACCGCGGTGCCAGCACCGTCCCTGACGCAGCCGGGAGCCAAAGCCGTGGAGCAGCGGCTGCCAGGGGAGAGACCGTGGCCCCAGGGAGGCTGGCAGGTGCCAACACCTCCGCCAGGAATCTCCCTGCCTTCGTCGGCGGAGCCGGTTACTCAAAGTTTCCGATGGGGCTGACGCCTTCTGACGGAAGGGAGCGGAGCCCTTCCCCTGCCCCTCGCCCACCGCCTCCCCCTGCCCGGGGAGGGGCAGCACCGCGACCCTTTGCTCCCCCAGGCTGGCAGGCTCCCACAGGCACGGCTGGCAGTGCCCACATTCCATCTGCACTGCGGTGCCGGTGGCACGTTTGGCGCTGGAAGCGTGTGGGGACCTGCCTGGGGCTGTCGGGACGCTGGAGCCGCACCGGCGCGGGTGTCCGCGGCCCCCTCAGCTCCGCAACACGCAGGGACCTGCCTGGGGCTCTGCAGACACCGGAGCCACACTGGCGCGGGTGTCACGGCAGGGCTGAGCGCGGTTCCTTCCAAGCCGGTGCCATCCAGCCCGGCTTGGCTCTGCCAGGAGCGGGCTGCGGGAGCGGAGCCGGTGGCAGGTGCTGCCAGCCCCGCGGGTGTTTTGCATGAGCCTGGCACCGGCATCCCCGCGTGGGCAGCCCCCTGCGAACCGGGGAAGCTCCTGGCTGCCGGGGCAGAACAACTCGGAGTCCCGGCTGGACCCCTCGCCCTGCCCCGCGGGGCCCCGCTGGCCCCCAGGCAGAGACCCCCGAGTCCCCCTGCCCTCTCCGGTCCTTCCCGGGGCCTCGGCTGCTGGCTCGATCGCGATGCTGGGAATACAAACACATTGCCTGGGCAGGTCCGAGCCGCGCTGACATCAGCGGGCGGAGGGAGCCGGCTCCTGTCGGGACCTCCCCGCGCCGGGCAGCGAGCCCAGAGCGCGGCTGGCACACAGGAGCCCGCGCAAGGAAAAGCTGCTGGGGTGGCCCAGGGAGCTTTAGGGACACTGGGGACGAACCCGGCTCCTGGGGTGGTGTCCTGGTTTAGGGCAAGTTTGGGAGATAACCCCCAAAGGGGCTTCTCTACAAAAGCAGATTCAATTGCCTCTCCCCCCTCCAACCGGTTCGGGAGGAAATATCTCCTTGGAGAAAAAGTGGAAAGAAACCTGTTTATTAAACAATAGAACCCAAACAATATTAAACAATAAAACTTCTCACTGCTCCAAAAGGAGATGGCAAACTCAGAACTCTCTTCACTGTCTGGAAGAGAGTCTTAAAGGTGTAAAACTTATTATTCGGTATAAACAGAACAAGATGATTGGGGATAAAAGCATCATATAGTCAACCCAGGACAGGTGGGCACAGCACCGGGAATAAAATATAGGATAAAGAAAAATAAAGAAAATATAGGATAAAGAAAAGAAATAAAATATAGAAGAAAGAAAAAGAAATAAAATATAGATTAAAATACAGAAGAAAGAAAAAGAAATAAAATATAGAATAAAGAAAAATAAAGAAAATATAGAATAAAATATAGAAGAAAGAAAAAGAAATACAATATAGAAGAAAGAAAAAGAAAGAAAATATAGAAGAAAGAAAATATAGAATAAAATATAGGATAAAGAAAAATAAAGAAAATATAGAATAAAATATAGAAGAAAGAAAAAGAAATACAATATAGAAGAAAGAAAAAGAAAGAAAATATAGAAGAAAGAAAATATAGAATAAAATATAGGATAAAGAAAAATAAAGAAAATATAGAATAAAATATAGAAGAAAGAAAAAGAAATACAATATAGAAGAAAGAAAAAGAAAGAAAATATAGAAGAAAGAAAATATAGAATAAAATATAGGATAAAGAAAAAGAAAGAAAATATAGAATAAAATACAGAATAAAGAAAATATAGAATAAAATCTAGATTAAAGAAAATATAGAATAAAATGCAGAATCAAGAAAAAGAAAGAAAATCTAGAATAAAGAAAAATAAATAAAATATATAATAAAATATAGAATTTTAAAAAATCACTATCCGTGGACCCCAGCGTTGCTGTGCTGATCCCCTCTCCAGCTGCTCTCGGTGGGGAAGGTCCCCCTGGAAAGCACGGCTGGGTTAATACACTCATGCCAGGCAGGAACCCCCCTGGGGAGTGCCATCGTCTCTTACAACACACTCCGGGTGTGTCACTGTGGTGCAAGGCTTCAGGAGTGACTCTGGGGGGACACTTCGGGGGTCTTGGATGGATGGAGGCCCCCCTCAGCTGCCTCTGGGCTCACTGCCCCGAGCACAGGTGACACCACACCGAGACCTCCTGCCCCCGGCCGGGCCGGGGGGAATCTGTGCAAACCTGCTCCGAGCCAAGGGCTCCGTGGGCTGCGGCCCCACCCGCCCCAGAGCGAGCCAGACACGATCCTCAGCTCGGCTCTGGGCTTGGCTCGCATTCTTTCCCTTGTTTACTTGTTTACCTCTCCCCTGAGGAATGTGTTTCCCTCTATCTAATCTCAGCAGCTTCGCTTTCAGTCCAAAGTTCCAGTCGGGCATTCCTCGGGGAGGGGTGGGCTTCCAGAGCAGGATTTCACGGCAGCGTTTGAGGCAGGAGCTGTTCCAGTCTCTGGCACAAGGGCATGCCACGGCTTTGCCAGCAGGGAGGGCAGGTTTGGATGAGGTGAACCTCACCCTGAGGTAGCCCTGGAGGTGGCCTGGTGGCCACTGCCCACTGAGATGGAGCCTCTGCCTTCCTGGGCAGGGTGAGAAGCGGGGACAGTGGAAGGACGGGGGGGGTTCGTGCAGCAGCCGTGTGGGAGCACATGGAGCTGCCAGCACCCCCAGAGTCACAGAACCATGGAAGGGATTGGGTGGAGAGCGACCTCAAAGCCCATCCAGTCCCACCCTGTGACATGAGCAGGGACACCTTCCACTGTCCCAGGCTGCTCCAGGCCCATCCAGCCTCGCCTGGAAAACTTCCAGGGATGGGGCAGCCATGGCTTCTCTGGGCACCCTCTGCCAGGGTGCACCCTCTGCCAGGGTGTCCCCACCCTCACAGGGAAGGATTTCTTCCCAAAATCCCATCCATCCCTGCCCTAGGGAGCCATTTGCCCTTGCCTGTCACTCCAGCCCCTTGTCACACGTCCTTCCCAGCTCTCCCGGGGCCTCTTTAGGCTCTGGAAGGGCTCTGAGCTCTCCCTGGAGCCTTCTCCTCTCCAGGTGAGCACCCCAGCTCTCCCAGCCTGGCTCCAGCCCTGGAGCAGCTCCAGGGACTCCTCTGGGCGCTCTGCAGCAGCTCCGGGTGCTGCTGCTCTGTCCCCAGGGCTGGGGCAGCTCTGCAGGTGGGCTCTCACCTCGGCACAGGGGCAGAATCCCCCCCTCCTTTCCTGCTGGGGGGTCAGCTCAGGGGTTTTGTGTGGCCAGGGCATGTGGAGCTTCTCACCTACAGACTGCTTGAGTTTGGCCAGATCCCTCAGGATGGCACACCAAGTTTGGGCATGTTCAGCCTTTGGCTGTCACTTCCTCCTGCCTGAGGATATTTATGCTTCTGATTTCCCTGTATTTAACACGCAAACCATGAAGAAGCTGATTTCTCACTGAGCTTTCCCTCTCTCCCCTCTCTCTGCAGATTCCTGCGAGTTTTGGAAGGCGTGCAGCAGGAGGATGGAGAGCAAGCCAGCAGTGAATGGCCAGGCTGTTCCCAGCTCTCCCGGGGCAGACGTGTCAGGGACAAACCACTTGTGCCAGGACGTGATGCCGTGCAAACAGCAAAAAGCAGCTGGCAGGGATGCGGGGCCGGATGCTCCCGGGGAGCCCTCGGAGACAGCTGGCAGCATTGCAGGCGTCTACGTAGAGGCTTCAAAGAGGATAATGAGCTTTTATGAGGCCACCAGAGAGCACCTGCTGAGCCTGGATTCGGCCCTCTCCCTCCTCGAGGCGCAGGCAGCCACGGGCTCCATCTCCGACCCGCTGAGCCGCCGCCGTGTCCCCGTGGCAGAAGCCGTGCGGATGGGGCTGGTGGGGCTGGAGCTGAAGGAGCGGCTGCTCTCGGCTGACAGAGCTGCTACTGGCTTCGTGGACCCCTACACAGAAGAGAAAATCTGCCTCTACCAGGCCATCCAGAAGGAGCTGGTGGGGAGGGAGCAGGGCATTCGCCTGCTCCAAGCCCAGATGGCGACGGGAGGCGTCATCGACCCGGCCACCGGCGACCGGCTCCCGGCAGGTGTGGCCTGTGAGAGGGGATGTTTGGATGAAGAGATGAGCCAGCTCGTCTCTGACCCCAGCAATGAGGACAGCAAGGTGTTCCTTGACCCCAGCACCACGGAGAAGGTCACTTACTCGGAGCTGAGGAAGAGGTGCGTTGTGGATCCAGCCTCAGGCTTCCTCCTCTTGCCGCTGCAAATCACATTCCCGGGGCTGGGAGGGAGGGTGAGCAGCAGGCACCTGATGGACTCTGGCATCATCAGCCTTGATGTGTTCCGAGGCCTCGAGGAGGGAAGCATCTCTGCCCAGGACGTGGCGGAGAACGACATTGTTCAGCACTTCCTGCGTGGGACGAGGAGCGTGGCTGGCGTTGTCCTGCCTTCCGGGGAGCAGAAAAGCCTTTACCAGGCACTGAGGGAGCATCTCCTGGTCCCTGGTGCTGCTCTCATGCTCCTGCAAGTCCAGGCCTCCACCGGCAGCCTGACAGACCCCCTAAAGAACAAAAGCTACTCCGTGGATGAGGCTGTCAGGGTTGGTCTCATTGGCCCAGAGCTTTATGAGAAGCTGTCTTCAGCTGAGAAAGCCATCACTGGATACAGGGACCCCTCCACCGGAGAAATGCTCTCCCTGTTCCAAGCCATCAGGAAGGGCTTTGTCCCCAGGGATCATGGCCTTTGCCTTCTGGAGGCTCAGCTGGCCACGGGGGGTGTCATCGCCCCGGGCAGGCACCTCCGTGTCCCCATGGAGACAGCCTGCGAGTGGGGCTACCTGGACGAGGCCACCAGGCAGCTCCTGTCCAGCCCCCCCGAGGACACGAAGGGGTTCTTCGACCCTGGCTCCAAGGAGAAGCTGAGCTACGCAGAGCTGCTCCAGCGCTGCCTCACCGACCCCAGCACGGGGCTCCTGCTGCTGCCGCTCGCTGGGGACGGCAGCGAAGGCTCCCAGGGGACACTCGGCTTCTTCGACCACAGGACCCAGACAGCTCTGGAAAACACAGAGGTGCCTGTTGCTGTGGGGAAATTCAAGGGCAAGTCGGTGTCCCTGTGGAAACTGCTCTTCTCTGACTACATGCAGGGTGAGCAAAGAGCTGTGCTGGCCCAGCAGTTCCTGGCAGGAACGCTCTCCCTGCAAGGACTGGGAGAGGCCATCAGAGCCGCCGTTGAGGAAAAGGCTGCCACTGCTAATGTCACCTTCAAGGGCCTCAGGGAGCAGGTGACGGCTGACCAGCTCCTGAGCTCAGAAATTATCAACAAGGACTTGTTCAAGAAACTCAAGGAGGGAGAAACATCGGCCAAAGAAGTGGTCAGCATGGACACCGTCAGGAAGTACCTGCAGGGCACGGGAAGCATCGGAGGGCTGCTGCTCCCTGACTCCCAGGAGAAGATCAGCATCTACCAGGCAAAGCGGAAGGGACTCCTCAGGCCGGGAACGTCTCTGATTCTCCTGGAGGCACAGGCAGCCACGGGGTTTGTCATCGACCCAGCTGCCAACAAGAGGTACTCTGTGGATGAGGCTTTACGGGCAAACGTCATCGGCCCGGATGTTTACGACAAGCTGCTGGCTGCAGAGAAATCTGTCACTGGCTACCGAGATCCTTACTCAGGGGATAAGATCTCCCTCTTCCAGGCCATGCAGAAGGAGCTGATAGTCAGGGACCACGGCATCCGCCTGCTCGAGGCCCAGATCGCCACCGGTGGCATCATCGATCCTGTCAACAGCCACCGCATCCCTGTGGAGGTGGCCTACAAGCGTGGCTACTTCGACAAGAAGATGAATTTAATCCTCTCCGACCCCAGTGACGACACCAAGGGCTTCTTCGACCCCAACACCCACGAGAACCTGACGTACCTGCAGCTGAAGGAGAAATGCATCACCGAGCCCTCCACCGGGCTCTGCCTCCTCCCTCTGAACAGCAGGAAGAGGCAGTTCATCGACGAGGCCACCAGGCAGGTGTTCAGGAGCTCCTGGCTGCCCGTCAGGTTTGGGCGCTTGCGGGGGGAGAAGGTCTCCGTGTGGGACCTGCTGAACTCTGAGTACTTCAGCGAGGGGAGACGCCGGGAGATTTTCAACCACTTCCAGCTGAGGAAGATCAGCCTGGAGCAAATCCGGCTCATGCTGGAGGAGGAAATGAAGAAATGGGCCCCCATCAAATTCCTGGCCATAAGAGGCAATGTCAGTGCTTATCACCTGATGGAAACTGGTGTCATCGACAGGGCCCTGTTTGAGCAGGTGCTGGAGGGATCCGTCACCCCAGAACAAGTCCTGCACATGGACTCTGTCAGGAAGTACCTCTACGGCTCGGGCAGCATCGGGGGGATCGTGCTCCAGCCATCCAACCAGAGAATGAGCATTTATGAGGCCATGAAGCAGAACATCGTGGTGCCAGGAGTGGCCCTGCCTCTGCTGGAGGCCCAGGCTGCCACGGGCTTCATTATTGACCCTGTGAACAACCAGAAGCTCTGCGTGGATGAGGCTGTCAAGGAGGGAGTCATTGGGCCAGATGTCCACGAGAAGCTGCAGCAGGCGGAAGGGGCCGTGACAGGCTATAAAGACCCTTTCACGGGCAAGAAGATCCCCCTTTTCCAGGCGATGAAGAAGGGCCTGATCGCGGATAAACAGGCCATGCAGCTCATGGAGGTGCAGATGGCCACAGGAGGCATCATCGACCCAACGTGTGGCCACCACATCCCCCTGGAGTCGGCCCAGCAGCGAGGCTGCCTGGATGAGGACACCAGCAAGGCCCTTTCCAAGCCCAGCGATGACCACAGAGTCTTCTGCCTCCCGGACAGCAAGGAGAGCGTGACCTATGCCGAGCTCATCCAGCACTGCCAGAAGGACGACGTCTCCGGCTTCCACTTGCTGCCTCTGGCACAGACAGCTGCTCCTGCCTACACTGACGAGCAAATCCAAAGGATTTTCAAGGAAACCATGGTGAAGGAAAAAGGAGTCTCCCTCTGGGAGCTCGTGCACTCGGGGTATTTCACTGAGGAGCAGAGGAGCGACTTCATGGAGAGGTTCCGGTCAGAGGAGCTGTCGCTGGAGCAGCTGGTGGCTCTGGTGCTCAGGCTGGTGGGGGAGATGGAGATGAAAGCCAGGACCCAGATCTCCCTGGAAGGCCTGAGGGGCAGTGTCCCTGTGGTCTGGCTGCTGGACACAGGCATAATTTCTGAGAAGATGTTTGAAGAACTGGCTCAGGGTGTAAAAACTCCCGAAGAGGTGGCTGAAATGGAGAGCGTAAAGAGGTATTTGAAGGGCACAGGCAGCATTGCTGGGGTCTTCATAGAGGCATCCAAACAGAAGATGAGTTTCTATGACGCCATGAAAAACAATCTCCTCCTCCCTGGGGCTGCTCTGAGGCTGCTCGAGGCTCAGGCAGCCACAGGATGCCTGACTGACCCTGCCACAAACCGGAGGCTCAGCGTGAGGGACGCCGTGAGAGCGGCTGTTGTTGGAGAGGAGCTTACTGAGAAACTCCTTCTGGCTGAGAGGGCTGTGACTGGCTACACAGACCCCTACACTGGGAGCTCCATCTCCCTCTGCCAAGCACTCAGGAAGGAGCTCATCCCCCTGGCAGAGGCCGTGCCTTTGCTGGAGGCCCAGCTGGCCACGGGAGGGGTGGTTGATCCCATCCACCACCTCCACCTGCCGCTCCAGGCTGCCTGCAGGTATGGCTTCTATGACGAGGACCTGAACCAAACCCTCTCCCAGCTGGATGACAGCACCAAGACCTTTTTTGACCCAAACACCAAGGAGAACGTGACCTACCAGCAGCTGAAGGACCGATGCATTCGTGAGGCCGAGTCGGGTCTGTGGCTCCTCCCTCTGTCAGAAAACGCGATGTTCTGCGTGGACGAACAGACCATGAAGGTGCTGAAATCTGTGACTGTTTGTGTCAACGTGGGGCGGTTCAAAGGACAGACTGTGTCTGTCTGGGACCTCCTCAACTCCGAATACTTCTCAGACAGCCAGAGAAGAGAGCTGGTGCAAAAGTACAAAGATGAGAAGGCTGAAGTGCTGCAGGAAATCACAACAGTTATCACCACAATAATCCAAGAGACTGAGGCACAGGGCAAGAAATTTGCATTCAAGGGCCTGAGGAAAAGAGTGTCGGCCAGTGACCTCTTCCAGTCCCAGCTGATAGACAAAAAAACCCTTGATGAGCTCAACCAGGGGAAGAAAACAGTCAAAGAAGTGACTGAAATGGAGTCTGTCCGCAGGTACCTGGAGGGCAGTAATTTCATAGCAGGGGTCCTTATCCAGCCAAGCAATGAGAAGATGAGCATCTACCAGGCCATGTGGAAGGGCATCCTGAGGCCAGGGACAGCCCTGGTGCTGCTGGAGGCACAGGCAGCCACCGGCTACATCATCGACCCTGAGAAAAACAAGAAGTTTTCGGTGGAGGAAGCATTAGAGGTGGGTCTGATTGGAGGGGAGATTTTTGAAAAGCTGCTCTGTGCGGAGCGGGCCGTGACAGGCTACACTGACCCCTACACCAAAGCTCCAATGTCCCTGTTTGAAGCCATGAACCAAGGGCTGATTGTGAAAAGCCACGGCATCCGCCTGCTCGAGGCCCAGATCGCCACCGGCGGCATCATCGACCCCGTGCACAGCCACCGTGTCCCTGTGGAGGTGGCCTACAAGCGTGGTTACTTCAACGAGGAGATGAACCAGATCCTCTCTGACCCCAGTGATGACACCAAGGGCTTCTTCGACCCCAACACCCACGAGAACCTGACATATATGCAGCTCCTGGAGAGATGTGTCCAAGACCCGGAGACTGGGCTGTACATGCTGCAAGTTGTAAAGGAGGGAGGAAAATACTTCTACATTGATGAGTCCACAAAACAGGCTTTGCGCTCAAAGCCCCTTCAAGTGAAAGTTGGAAAGTTTAAGGATCAAACCGTTTCTGTCTGGGAAGTCCTCTGCTCTCACTACATCTCAGAGCAGAAGAGGAGAGAGCTGGTGATGCAGTACAAAAGCAAAACCCTAGCGCTGGAAGAGCTGATATCCCTCATCTTAAAAATCATTGAGGACACAGAGCGAAGAGGAGAAGCCCTCAAGGTCAAAGGACTGCGGGGGGAGGTGTCGGTATCAGAATTGTTCAACTCTGAGATAATTGACAAGAAAACTCTGGATCAGCTGCAGGACGGCAGTCTCACACTTGCCAGCCTCACGGAGAGAGACACCATCCAAAGGTACCTGGACGGCACTGGGTGCATCGCTGGGGTTCTCCTCCCGCTGAGGAAAGAGGTGATGAGCATCTACCAGGCACTGAAGGAAGGCCTCCTTACAGAGCAATGTGCCCTGGGGCTGCTGGAGGCACAGGCAGCCACCGGCTTCCTCCTTGACCCCCGGAACCACCAGAAGCTCTCTGTGGACGAGGCCGTGTCCTCTGGGCTGGTGGGAAGCGAGCTGCGCGAGCAGCTGCTGTCAGCAGAGAAAGCCGTGACGGGATATACAGATCCTCAAACAGGAGGTAAAATATCTCTCTTCCAGGCTGTAAGACAGAAGATAATTGTCAGGGATCGCGGCATCCGCCTGCTCGAGGCCCAGCTCGCCACTGGTGGCATCATTGACCCCTGGCATGGCCACCGCCTGCCCGTGGAAGTGGCCTACAAGCGTGGGCACCTGGATGAGGACATGTTCCTCCTGCTTTCGGATCCAGATCACGGGATCAAAGGCTTTATAGATCCAAACACTCACGAGAAGATCAGTTACAACCAGCTCCTGCAGAGGTGTGCCAAAGACAGGGAGAGCGGCTTGTACCTGCTGCAGGTCCTGGAAAAGGAAGGCGACTATTTCTACATTGATGAGCAAACCAAAAATGCCCTGATGTGCACCAAGGTCCAGGTGCCTGTGGGAAAATACAAGGGACAAGTGTTATCACTGTGGGAGCTTCTCTGCTCCGAGTACATCACAGAGGAGAAAAGAAAAGAACTGGTGAAAAAGTACAAAGTGGAATCCCAACACATTGTGCAAGGAATCATTGAAACAATACTAAAGATCATTAGGGAAAAAGAAGAGGACAGAAGAGATGTCTGGTTCCAGGGAATCCGACAGCAAATTACGGCATCAGAACTGCTCAGTGCACAAATAATTACAGAGGAAACAATAGAAAAACTCAAAGAAGGAAAAGAGACGGCACAAGAAATAGCAAAAATGGACAGTGTGAGGAGGTACCTTGAGGGAACTGGAAGCATTGCTGGAGTGCTGGTGCCCTCCAAAACCGAGCCAGGCAAGAAGGAGAAGATGAGCATCTACCAGGCCATGTGGAAGGGCATCCTGAGGCCAGGGACAGCCCTGGTGCTGCTGGAGGCCCAGGCAGCCACCGGCTTCATCGTTGATCCGGTCAAGAACCAGAAGCTCTCTGTGGAAGAGGCTGTGTCCTCTGGGCTGGTGGGCAGTGAACTGAAAAACAAACTTCTAAGCGCTGAGAGAGCTGTGACAGGCTACACCCACCCCTATACAGGACAAAAGATCTCCCTGTTCCAGGCCATGAAGAAGGAGCTGATCGTCAGGGACCACGGCATCCGCCTGCTCGAGGCCCAGATCGCCACCGGCGGCATCATCGACCCCGTGCACAGCCACCGTGTCCCCGTGGAGGTGGCCTACAAGCGTGGCTACTTTGACCAGGAGATGAACCAGATCCTGTCTGATCCCGGCGACGACACCAAGGGCTTCTTCGACCCCAACACCCACGAGAACCTGACGTACCTGCAGCTGCTGCGCCGCTGCGTGCCCGACCCGGACACGGGGCTTTATTTCCTCAACATTTTTAGAAAATAATTGCAAAACCTTTTTATTTTTTTCCTTGTTTGTGCCTTGCGGAAGAATGTTGCTTTTATGAATAATTCTTTTGCTTGTGGTGTTTTTTTTTGTTTTTCTATATTTTTTTACCATTTATGTTCCCAGTGAGGGAATTTCCTTCACCATCTCTTTTCTTTACCACCACCCACCTACATCAGGTGCAGCTTTGAAGTGCCTCCCCCTGAGCAGTGTTGTTGCATTGCATTGTTCATCTTTCCTTGGTCGCCTTTCAGGAACAGAGGAGTCAGCCTGGGTTATCTCAGGTCATTTTGGTGAAGTGTGTCATCCTCATTTTCCTCACACAGGTTTAACTGCAGGTCTTTGTTCCTTATGGGTGCTGCTGTGAGTGGTATTTTTATTCTCTGCCTGTATTTTCCTGCATATGCCAGCTATTTTCCTCAGAAGCTTTGCGCGATAATTTTCAGGTTTCAGGTTTTCAAGCCAGGAAAGTGTCAAGAGCAGATTTCTGCGTGGGCAGGATGCCAGGCTTTTGTTGGGTGTCACTGGTGTTGGACACATCATCTGTGTTTGCTTTCCATGCCCCAGCTTGTCCTGCCTTTCTGGGGGTGTCTGGAGTACAAACAGCCTCAGCCCAGAGTGGTTTGGTCTCTCGCTTTCTTTTCCTCCCTCTTTGAAGCCTCTGTGGGGATGGATCCTCACAGCAGCTGGGAGTGGACATGGCTGTGCCGTACTTTTAGTCTCTCCATCCACAGGGGAGCCTCTGCTCCCTCCTGCTCCTTTTGCCCTCCCGTGTCCTGAGCTGACTCAGCCACATGCCACAGGAGAGGAACAGCCCTGGAGCCACTCTTCCGTGCAGTTCAGGGATGAATAATTCTACTGCTGTTTAATGGAAGGAAATTCACCCTCCTTAAATGTGCTGCCTTGGGGTGTTTGTGTTAATTAACCTGGTAATGTCCTGGAAAATGGATTTTGGCCACAAGCTTGTACAGCTAATGCCTGCAAACAAGCGTAGAGGAGCTGTGGGGCCCAGAGAATTGCAGGGGCTCGGAAAAGGAGGGGACAAATTAATGGGAGAAGTCACAGAACCATGGAATGGTTTGGGTGGGAAGGGGACTTCTCATCCGACCCTCTGCCACGACAGGGACAACTTCCACTGTCCCAGGTTGCTCCAAGCCCTGTCCAGCCTGGCTTTGGACACTTCCAGGGATCCAGGGGCAGCCACAGCTGCTCTGGACACCCTGCGCCAGGGCCTGCCCACCCTCACAGGAAACAATTCCTCCTAATATCTAACCTACACCTACGTTCTTCCAATTTGAAGCCATTCCCTGGTTCTGTGGAGTCAGGGGTGGAAAGAAAGACTCCAGTCTTCGGGTAGATCAGAAGACTCAAGAACAATCTTTATTAGCAAGAAGCAGTGAGTTTTATAGTTCACTCGCTAAGTGGGACCGGATTGGTCTCAAAGTAGAAAACACCTTACTGGTGACTATGAATAACACACTGCAAAGAACCATAACTATAAACAATGGTTACAGAAAGAGAGATAATAGTTGTTTGAATTCTTTCATCTAAGATTCCCAGGCTCAGCCTGGGAGAAATTGTTTCTGTTCTTTCTTCGACTGAACTGAAAATATCCACAATTCCCCTTTGTCCTGTCACTCCAGGCCTTTATCCCAAGTCCTTCTCCAGCTCCCTTACAGCCCCCTTTAGCTACTGGAAACCCACAATAACATCTCCCAGGAGTTTTCTCATTGTGGAAATCCGATTCTCCCTTCCACGGAGGCAAAAGGGGGTGCCGGGTCCCTGGACTGTGTCTGTAACATCCCACTGTGCCGGTGCCAGGGCGGTGCCAGTGTGGTGTCCCCACGGCTGCTGCATTGGGACACAGTTTGGGACCCTCTCAAGGCAGGGCACGAGCCTCCCTGGGCTCTGGCAGCCCCTGGAGCAGGCAGTGCTGAGATGAAGCCTCCAGGACATTAAACGCCAGCCAGGAGTGCCAGCCCTGCCTGCCTATGGAGCCCTGGACCTTGTCCTGTGTGCCACACTGCCACCTCCCTCCCCACGGAATCATCTGGGTTGGGAGGGCTCTGTGAGACCATGGAATCCAGCTGCTCCCCCGCAGAAAGGAAAAGAAAGAGAGAAAGAGAGAAAGAGAAAAAGAGAGAGAGAAAGAGAGAGAAAAAGAAAGAGAGAGAGAGAAAAGAAAGAAAGAAAGAAAGAAAGAAAGAAAGAAAGAAAGAAAGAAAGAAAGAAAGAAAGAAAGAAAGAAAGAAAGAAAGAAAGAAAGAAAGAAAGGAAAGGTATCACCACCCGTTTCCCATCCATCGGGGTTGGGAGCCCACAAAACAATAATCCAGAGGGCCACTTCTAACCTGGGTCCCCAGATGTCACAGCCACACACTTATTGAACTCTTCCAGGGGTGGGGACTCCATTCCTGGCCTGGGCAGCTGTGCCGGGGCTGCACAGCCCTTTCCAGGAGGAATTTTCACAATATCCCACCCAAACCTCCCAGGCACAGTCTGGGGCTGTTCCCTCTCCTCCTGTCCCTGTTCCCTGGGGGCACCCCCCGACCCCCCGACCCCTGTCAGGAGTTGTGCAGAGCTCAGGGCCCCCCTGAGCCTCCTTTTCTCCAGGCTGAGCCCCTTCCCAGCTCCCTCAGCCTCTTCAGACCCTTTCCCAGCTCTGTTCCCATCTCTGGACACACAGGCAGCAGCGGGGCTGGGGAGAGGAGGGCCTGGAGCATCTCTGAGGGAGCTGGGCCTGCTCTGCCCTGAGCAGAGACACCTGAGAGGGGACCTGTGCGATGAAGGGAGATCTCAAACCAGGCTTTGCTCCGTGGTGGCAGCCACCAGGACACGAGGCAATGGGCAGGAACTGATGCCCAGCAAGCTCCACCTGAACATGAGGAAGAACATTTTTCCTGTGCAGTGACCGAGCACCAGAACAGAAACCAGGGAGGGTGTGGGGTGTCCCTCACCAGAGATATTCCAGAGCCCTGTGGACACAATCCCCTGCCATGTGGTCTGTGATGACCCTTCCTGAGGACCCCCACGACGGCTCCTTCCAGCCTGACCTGCCCTGTGGGATTCTGTGAGTCTGGGATTTCATAATCCCACCGTACCCAGTCCAACCCACAGCCCCTCTGTGCCCGGGGGCATTTGAGGATCAGCTACAGGCGAAGCTGAAAGTGGAAAACACAAGAACCAAAGGCTGTGCTGAGGCACAGGAAGGGGTTCAGCTCTGCCCCTCCCTGCAGCCCAAAGCTGACCTGCTGGGGAAGCCCTGGGTCCCTCTTGGTGGGGGTGAAAATGGAATACCCTGTGCCGCAGCTCTCCACAGCACAGCAAACCTCATGTTCCAGAGCACCTCCTGCATTCCTGGGAACTGGGAAGAGATTCCTCCCTGGCAGGGTGGGCAGGCCCTGGCACAGGGTGCCCGGAGCAGCTGTGGCTGCCCCTGGATCCCTGGAAGTGTCCAAGGCCAGGATGGACGGGGCTTGGAGCAGCCTGGGACAGTGGAAGTTGTCCCTGCCCATGGCACTGGAGTTTGGAATGAATTTTAAATTCCCTTCCCACCCAAACCATTCCATGATTCCATGACTCCCGAGCTCCTGGCAGGGGCACATCTGCCTCTGCCCTGTGCACAGCCCTTGTGGGCACATTTTGGGACTGCTTGGCCAAGCACCACGAGCTGGCACAGGTCTGCAGGTCCCCAGAGGCCACTGCCCACATCTGCTGTGGCCACAGTGGCCACAAGTGACCTCCTGGAGGTGTTGGTGGCGCCGTGAGCTGAGCAGGAGGCAAAAAGCTCAGCTGGGGGAGCTCAGGCTCAGCCAGCTCAGGCAGAGCAGCCACATTATGGGCTATCAGTTACCAGGTGAATTCGGAACCCAGGGCATCCCCCTGGGTGCCCTGCATGGCTCCAGCCCCTGGCAGGAGGCTCAGAGACCTTGGCAGGAAGCCAAAGACCCTTGGGTTTTCAATTTTAACCCGTGGAGCAAATCACCAACCCTGTATGAAGAATTACAAGTCACAAAAGTTTAAGAGAATGATAGTTAATTTATCACAGGGTGAAAAGTGAAATTTTTGAGGTTTTTAAAATAGGGGTTTAGGAGGCAAGACGGAGGGATTTGGGCATTGCCTTGTCCTTCTTCTTTCTTCTTCCTAGCCTCCATCTTCTGTGTGATGGTGGCACTTTTGGAGTGGTTTAGAGTAGAAACAGACAGTCTAACATAGGTGATAGGTATGGGAAAATGATTGTAAATAAAGTGCACGTAGTTCTTACTATAAAATGACAACACAGCCTCTGGGGCGGTCAGAATACCACGAACCAACCTGCTAGGCAGATCTCTGCGGGTCAGAAAAAGAATGTTATAGATAAGAGGCAATAAACAGCCTTGGAACCAGAGCTGAAGAATTCCAACTCTTTATCCGATCACCGGGCTGGGATGAAAGAGACTTTCTGACGCATGTCGGGGTCCTCTTGACCACAGAGACATCTCGGAGGTGATGATCTCTGGGGCAAGAGATGCCCTGTCTGCTCGCAGCAGGACGTTCTACCAGCACCAAGCACCTGTCACCGGTGTCCTAGGAATGAGGGGGTGGCGCAGATGGCACCTGACCCTCGGAGAAGGGCAGTGCAGCTCCATCGTTTTGGAACCAGCTCCAGTTAGGTCTGCACACCCTCCAGAGCCCCAGGAGAGCTCCGGAGATGCCCCCTGTGAGAAGTGCATATTATATGGCTCTGCACGGATATCTACTGTATGTATTATGTTGTGTTGATTAGTAGTGCTGTATTAACATTTTAATAGTATGGTAAATGTAGTTTTGTAGTTAAAATATAACTTTTGTAGTTAAAATAGAAACTATCTATGTGGGATTTTTTTTTAAAGAGAGGAATGAGGTACTTGCACTGAGATAGCAGCCACAGGATACGTAAATCTTTTAGAGAAAAAAAATTTATTGCCCCATTATCAGAAGAAACTAACTTGTTCCTGCCTCGCTCAGCCATGAAGACACCATCAGGATTAAGAGGAAAAAGCTGACACTGACCAGGCACAATCCTTTGTTTGAATGGAATTTATGCATCATGTATGAGATGTATGAATATGCAACAGGCTGTTGCTTTTAAGGGTTAATCCTCCATTAATGTGTGTTGCTCTGATTTTTTAAGATTTTCTAAGCCTTCTGGTGTTTGCATTCTTGTAGCAAACTTTCTCACACACATTTTGTAAACAACTTATTGTTTTGCATTCTTTTATGGAGGAGGAGAAACTTGATGGACTGTTGGTTTGTCCAGTGTCATTGGAGAGGTGGCACTTTCACCCTCCAATCCCCTGTCACCTTTGGAAATCTATAAATGCTGGAGTCAGAAAATAAACTACCTTTTTTCCTGCCTTGAGAGCAGCAGCGTGTCTGCGTCGTGTTGTCTCGTGTCCTATAGTAACAAATGTGTGTCCTTTTTTGGGTTTATTTTGCCCAGACAGAGGTATCTGGACTGTCCATAACTGTTTGCTTTTATTGTTGTGTACTGTCCTAATCTCAATTGTTCAAATCTTTATTACTCTAATGATATTACTATTTATATAACCATTTTATCATTATTAAACTTCTAAAAATTCTATAAACAGTTGATTGGCATTTTTCACACCCCCATTCCTAGCTGAGGCCCGAGAAACAAATTACCACCTTTGTATGAAGAATTAAAGGTCACAAAAGTTTAGATAGCATAACAGCAGTTGTCACAGGGTGGAATTTTGAAGAATTTTACCACGGGGGTCTAGGGGGACAAGATGGAGGAATCTGGGCGTTGTACTCTCCTTCTTCCTTCTTCTTCCTAGCCTCCACCTTCTTGGGTGTTGGTGGCACTTTGGGATTGGTTTAGTGCCGAAAGTCACTGTCTAACACAGGTGATAGGTATTGGAACAAAACTGCAAATATCGAATATGTAGGTTATAGTATAAAAGACAACACCAGCCCTGTGGGAGGGCAGTGTGCCTCGGACTGACCTGCAGAACAGTTTTTGCAGGCCAGACAGAAAATGTTTTAGATAAAAAATAATAAACAACCTTGAGAACGCGAGCCAAAGACTCCTGATCTATTCTTCAACAGCCGGGTTGGGGAAAAAAGACTTTCAACACACCTTGGGATCATCTCAGCCAGAGGGAACTCCAAGAGTAAAGGAGTTCCCTGGAAGGGTGCAGCTGTGGCACAGCCCTGGCACCACCCCAGTGACCCTGACACCATCCCTGCAGCCCTGGCACCACCCCAGCACCCCCAGGTTATGGACCGTGCCACAGGCCAGGTGCCCTGAGCACCAGGAAAGGCCTGGCCCATCCCTTTTTCCCAGGAACCACGAGTCAGCGCAGAGGACACCTGATATTCCCTTTCCCACAGAGTTGTGCAATCTCTCCCAGCCGGAATAAAGAGCATTTTTGTCCGTGTCCGTGTCGGCCCGTGCCCGTCCCCTGGGCGCTGGGATGGGCCGGCTCTTGTGGCTTTTGAAAGGGAACATTTTTGTTTTTCTTTCTCCAGAGGCGCCGGGCGGGGAGAGGCGGAGCAGGGGCGGCACCTGCCGGGCAGGTGAGAGCAGCGCGCCGGGGTCTGCCCTGCCCAGGGTCAAACCCACCCTTCCTTCCTTCCTTCCTTCCTTCCTTCCTTCCTTCCTTCTCTCTCTTTCTCTCTCTCTTTCTCTCTCTCTCTTTCTTTCTCTTTCTTTCTCTCTCTCTTTCTCTCTCCCTTTCTTTCTTTCTTTCTTTCTTTCCTTTTATATTTTCTTAAGCAATATAGTCTTTTATATTTTTGTAGGCAATAACAAAGACAGTCACGTCCTTCCTTTGCACTTAATTTAAATTTAATTGTTTTGCGGAATTAAAACCATCACATTGTTTTAAAGTCGCCCTGCTCATGCTCACAGGGGTGGTTCAGTGTGGTTTCACTCTGGCACACCCCGAGGGTGGATTAACCAGGACTCTGCCGAGCTCTGCCTGTGCAGGGATATTTCCAAGGGCAGGGGCTGCCCTCCGCAGGGCAGGCAGGGCTCTGTGCACCATCCTCCTCCTCAGGAAAACGCCCTCAGCAGCCACAGGGGCTCAGGGACCTGTGCTCCCGGAGATGCCTCGTGAAGGCTGGCCTAGAATAGAGAT